TTCCATCATATTTTACAGTTAAACAATTTTTCAAACCAAAAAGTTTTTATCCTTGATTATGGATATAACGTAGTCTATGTAGAAAACATTTTACTCCTAATTTAACCCCCTTAAACTCCTTTTACAAAACAAATTATCGGGGTAGCTCAGAAGTTATAGTGCTCGCCTTCAAATCCAGAGATTTCTGGTTTGATTCTGAGCGGAATCAATTTCTGTAAACAGATGTTATTCGTAATTTTAACTTATTTTCAATTTTAATCATGTTCACCTCAAGGTATTTCGCTTTTTTGTGCTTTGTTTTACTTTTTGGCTGTCTACTCAAAATCTATTTTAAATCATTTTCTTTCAGATTTACCTTTGTTGTTTTTTTCCTGAGTTCTTCTATGTAAGATGTTTTGTGTCACCCTTAGGATTTAACCACCTTGTGTAGCATATTCAGGGTTCTTCTTATGAATTATCTTCTTATCGCTAACACTAACTGCGTAAGTGTTGCATATTTTTGTAGGTCTATAGTGTCATGAAAAGTGATAAGAATATGGATTATACTAAGAAGACCCCAATGATGCCAAAAAAGGTGGTGAAATGCATAGGGTGACACAAACAACTTATCCACAAAGCTCAGGCAAAACAACAACAAAGGTAAATCTAATATATTTCCAGTTCTTGAAACTTTGATAAAAAAAATCATTACAGTATTGTGTCTATGAAATGAGGCGTAAGATTACACAAATAACCGTAGTAAAATTAATAATAATCTACTGGCTTTAAAAGGATTAGTTTACATTTTGATGAACACATCAAACTTCACAATCTTTGAATTTTACTCATCAATATTCACTACTCCAATGTTATCCAGGGGAAGAATCTCTTGGGAAACATCCAACACCTGTCACCTGTCTCGGCAGATCACAGCTAACAGTTGGCTACTTGAAGTGTAGACGAGTTTCTTGTTTTAAAATTCAAAACTCATTATCACTTTGTCCTGTTCACATAACAACTTCACTTGTGCCAACTGCATCCCACAAAATAATGGTTTTACTCGTGCCAATAGCAGCCGCCAATTGTGTCAGTATCTTTTGACTAGTTTGTAGTCTTTTTATAGCGATGCAGTTTGATAACAAATTGGTTAATAGTACCTGCCTAAAAATAACTTAGGTAGCCAGTTTGAATGAGAAAAATTCAGTCAATTTTTTTATGGTTCAAAACTGGGCCCAGCTGTTATTTATCATTGATCCACAGAGAAATAAGGAACAGAGGATACACTTCATGATACACCTAAGTGGTGTCAAGCGTGCTGGTGTCTAGGGAAAAGTCCAACACTGCCTCCCTCACCCTCATGCACAACAACACTCATGGTGGAGGAAGATCCTGAGCAGAGTAAGCCCTGTGCGATAGAAATTTCCACACAGTGCTCGCTGTTCTCTTCCTTGCTTGTAAGTATATTTTCACCCCAACATACTAGAGCTGAAAGCGCACAGTTGTCCCATAAGTGTGTTTCCTCTGTACCTAACTTCTCTCTGTTGTATCTGATTATTGGGCTTTGATAAATAACCCTGGCTTAAGAAACTTTAGAAAAATAACCTGAGAAAAGCTTAAAGTTCATTAATCTCTAAAGGGTTTGAACAAATATAGGAACAAATATGTGTGTTTTAAACATGTAATGATGGTTCTGGCTTTTAGACAGCCAGTAATAATGCTTTTAAGTGTCTCACACTAAATTGTTTTGGAGGAAGGCATTTGCTTCCAACCCGTAAAATTAGATAATGGTTTGCAACCTCTGGAGAAAATGTTTGTGTAAAATATAATTTTAAAGCTACCTTTTAGTTAAAAATTTTAAAATAAATTAAAATAATATGAAGCTATTTCATTTTTGCACTACATGTTACCCACAAAATAACTTAAAATGCATTTTTTTTTCTTCGTAGACTTTAAACTATACTTTGTAACATATTTCTCAATTTGACAATTGCTCTGCATGAAAATGTTTGACTCTTCCAATACATTTGTAATATGTCTACTGGAAATAAACATGTCTTATGTCTTAAAATCATTATAAACTAAGACAGTTAGTGTCGAAATTGAGACAACTATAGAGACCACTATCACTATACTGTAATGATTTAGGTCACGGTTTTCCACTACGGAATAAGTAGCCGAAAGGTTTCCTCCTCCACCTCTACACAAAGAAGTCCTTAATCTCTACACTTAAGCTCTCTACACTTTAACGATGCTTAGTGACTCTGACTAAACAAAGCCAACATAAATTTAAGATATTGATGGAAGAAAGCTGAGACTGGGGGGTAACATAGATTGTGTTAAATGCTGCAAAACGAAGTTGGTATAAGCCAAAAATAGAAATGAGTCTGTGTCAAGCCCTTGGCAGCTGCCGAAGTTCTATTTTGTCAACATAACACATATTTCTGTTGAACCCTTGCCAATTTTCCTTCTTTATACCACTTTGTCTGGCCCCTAAGCTTTGGACCCGGACTCTCAGTCATTGGAAGCTTTCGATTTTTAGCTGGCTCAAGATGGTTTGGTGGATTGGATAGTGAGGTACCTTAGGCAACTGTATTCATCTTTATCAGAAGAGTAAATTAAATTTATTTTAGGTATTATAATTCAGTACTTTTTATTTTGATTGGAAATTTGAAAAAAGTATTGAATGGTAGATAGACGGAATAGGTAGTATTTTTTAGTATATTGCAAGTGTGTCTAAAATTGTGAGGAAGATCTCAAACTGTCAATGGTGAGGTGCTACATTTGGTTGAGAAGACTAGCTAAGGTTTATTGACATGAGCATCTTGGTTCATGGACAGAAGATTGTGTTATGGTTATATTGCTGACCTTAAAGTCTGAAGATGGCTGGTTCGGTCCCAAGCATGGTCCAATTCTGGATACATAGATTGTCATTGGGCTAACTAAAAATTAATGGGTTGACATTAGATAAAATCATGACCATGGGTTGGAATGTTTTATTAAAAATGTAAGAAATGTCAATCACGTAGAAACACACAAAAAAAAAGGATTCGTATGTGCGGAAGCTGGTTGCCATGAAAAGTGTCAAGGCTAAAAAGATTGACTAACAGTATATATCCGGATGCCCCACAGACTTTTTGTTGTTAGTATTTTTTGACTATTTGTTATGGGCCCTCCTTGTATTGAAGTGTCAGTCAGCCAAAACAAAAAGATACCGTTATGAGATTTCATAATCACTCACTGATCAACGCTAGTAAAATGCTGTGGTACAACACAGTGGCACAACATCCTTGTACACACATCAATCGTTGTAAAATTATGGCTGCTATTTTTTTTGGTCTGTGTGCAACTAGCCTAAAACTGTCTTCAGCTGATCCAAAAAGGATGAAAAATCCTTTTCGGATCAGGGAGTGTGTTTAATAGATGACAAAACACTATTTAGGTAGTTTTATCATCATTTAGTTGTATTATCTCATTGTTATGTTCTTATTTGAACTATAGCTAGGCACACATGGCCCCAAACATGAATGTGTTTCGTTTAACACCATTGAAGTAAAGTCAAATATAGACTTGACATGTAGAGCTTTTGACAGGTCTTTGGCAACTGCCAAATATCTTGTCAACATAACACATACTTGACCAGTGTCAGAGCTAATTGATTTGTTTGAACTCTTCACACTCATTATCGGTTCAAAGACTTTCTCTTAAAGATTTTTCATAAAAGGATTTTCTCAGCAGACATATTTTCTCTGCTATTACACTCTTTTTGGCTGGTTGCTAAAAAAAGTTCTGATCTTAACTCCTAAAAATTTTTGACAATATGGTAATTTATGTTGACTTGGCTAATACCTTCAAAATGTAGTTTTCAAAAAGATATATAGCTGTCAAACCCAAGTATCATGGAATCACTGTCGTTTCTTATAGATTAAATTAACCCCTGTTACGTTAAGTTTGTGTCAAGCATTGCTGATTGTGCATCTTGAAACATAGCCACTTTCCTGATTCTTTTGGGGACTATGTCTAAAGATGCAACAACAAGCAAAATATTGACCATCCCTATCTGTATTCTAATAGCGTTTGGAATAACCAATGTTACAAATGTTGAGACTTTGTGTTCAAATTGACAAAGGAAGCATTACTACAAAAAAGTAATACATTAGGTAGGCTATAGATTGGAATTTCCAAAGTGATTTAGCTTTTTCAATTCAAAATTGGACTTTTTTAAACATTACATTGTTGAGCATTTGAAACAAAATTAAATTAAATGTGTTTATTGTCCTTAGAATTTTCACAAATTATTTACAATGTCATAAAACTGCTACAGTATATGGGTCTTTCAATTTTTAGTGAGGAAACACACATGCTGATCCTTGTAAATAGGTTGACAAATGATAAAAGTGTCAACATTGTTGAGAATCTAAACCTTGTGTAAGTTCAGATTCAGTACCTTACAGGCTTCCAGGCAGTGATTTGGATGCCTGCCATACATTTACACTGGGTCTTCAGCCAATATTTTTTACTATGGAATGCATTTATAGGTTTTAATCCTAAAAATCACTGGAGGAGAATTTTGCTTATGACAAGTTGACAACCAGTGTAAGGTGTAATGTTAGTGTGAAACAGTGTAAGGTTAGTAGCCCATTACAGTATGTGTTACTTATACGAAAAAAAAAATGTTTACATCCTTGAACTGATTTTGTTCTGAAAAATGCAAGCCTTCAGTAAAAATACTTGGGGTTTGGAAAAATTAAATTTTTATTCCAAGGCTTTCTTTACATTGAAAAATCGAGAATTCCTGATACACATTTTATTTCCCTTAATCAGGAGTTGTTAACCAATGCAATCTTAAAATTACCTACCTAACACAGCCTTCATAATTGGTCACCTCCACGTCAGGAAAGTATTGAAGAACATCCCCAAATAAAACTTCATTTGTTCCCACAACTGTAAGAAATTTTAAAAGTAGACAACACACAACAAAAATAAGAAAAATGCCACAAAAAGTAAGGTAATAAAACGCCCAGTGTAGTTTTAAAATATATTTATATAAAGTAAACGTTCAGCTGTTTTGAACTTGATCAACATTTCACTTCCGTATGTGGTATTGCAGTCGCACCAGAGAATTCTCCTTAGGAAAGACTAGATATGGAATCACAAAGTAAAAAGTTCTAAAAAAATATCTTGAAGGTTAAACATGAAAAAGTGTAAAAAAAGAGGATGGAAGAAGGTTGTTCACTTTCCCAAGATGATTTTTCTGCCGGCACCGATATTTTGTCCTGCCTGAGAAGCTCCCTTGTTCTGACCAGCCTGGAGACCGATGATGGTTTGTCCAGCCTTGAGTTGCTCTTCGCTAAAGTCACGTTTGCACTCCTCGGAAGGCTTGGGTCCCAACCATGGTCCAGGAAACTCGGGGTGATTGTATGTCTGAAAACATCATTACAATTCTAAGTAATTTTATACAAGAATAATATCATCTTTTGCTCATGTATGAGAAAATGTTCTGGAAATGTTATCAATGTTCAACATCTTCATGGTTTTTCAAGAATGTATTAAGTTTGTGAGTGAAAAAATCAAAATGTTACAAAAATTGTATTTTGTCACTTCAATATTTTGTTTGATCCTCCTGAATGGTAAAATTGTAAAATATCTAATTACTCAGGAACGATTAACAGCGTCCGAGTAACATCATTAATGACATCTGTCCTTTTTTGGTTGAGCAGCTGAGAAATAAAATAAAATAAGTAGGTCAACTACAAACATTAATAAAAGAATCGGAAAATGTCTGTATTACGCTCAAACTCTGATAAAAAATTAAGCTCATTCCACGTCCTACGGTCAGTTATTAGGTGTTGCTAAGAGGTTTTACTTTAAACTCACCTGATTCAGCAACTTTTGTCAGTTAATTGCTTCGGAAATACTGAGCATATAAGTTATTTCCTGTAATTATAAACTTTTAGACCCTAAGCTGACAATAATTAATGGCTTAATAAAAGACCAAATCACTTACAGAGTAAACGACAACATGCATATAACATGATCTGAACATTTAAATCAGTATTTCTTCTTGAGGGAGGTAGGCTAGTTACGCCTCACTACTGTTGGAGTTACAACATCATCCAATTTACTTATTACCTGTTTTATAAAATCATATGTTATATATCTAGTTTTGTTATGATAAAAAAGTAAATAAAAGTTATTATTGTGTGAGTGTTATTAAAGAATAGTTGATTCAATTTTAACAGATTATGAGACTCAATTAAGTGAGGAATATGGAAAGAAATATGAGTAATCACATTGAACTTTTGAACAGAAATAATTATGACACATGGAAAATGCAGATAGAAGCAATTTTAGTTAAAAATGATTTGCTTGGGTATGTGTTAGGAACCATTAAAAGGCCTCTAGAAGAAGGTGAAAGAATGACTGCTTGGCTAATCACTGATGCAAAGGCAAAGGCAGATATAATCCTCTCTATCAGCCCAAGCGAATTAAAGCAAGTGAAAGGATGTAACACTTCAGCAGAGATATGGGAAAAATTAAAAGGCATTTATGATTCCAGTGGACCAGCAAGGAAAGCCTTTTTGTTGAAGAAGCTAATTTTGGCAAAACTGACACCTGATTATGATGTCAGAGATTACATGAATATGTTTTTTGATGTAGTGGACAAATTAAAAGGAATGGAAATCGATATTAATGAGGATCTTTTGACAATTATTCTTTTGTATTCCCTGTCAGATGAATTTGAAAACTTTAGAATTGCTATTGAAACTAGAGATGCACTGCCTTCTCCTGAAACTTTAAAAATAAAAATTGTAGAAGAGTGGGAAGCGAGAAAAGAACATGGTAAGAAAGAGAGTAGTGAAGCCCTGCTAGGAAAATTTCAAAACAAAGTTAGATTTCAACCAGGAAGATTTTCAAAAGACTCTTATAGAAATAGAACGGAATCAGTTGATTTTCCGTTTCGATGCTTTATTTGTAAAGCGATCGGGCATAAAGCAAAATTTTGTCCCAAAGCAAATAAAGATCAACAAAACGTAGCGATTGCTAAACTAGAAGAAGTAGGACTTAATTCTTCTGTACAAGATGACAGTTATTTTGGAAACTTGTCAATGAAAGATATACAGTGGTGTTTGGACAGTGGATGCACTTCACATATGACTCATGTGAACAGTAAATTTACCAAGTACAAGCCTGCAAATGGAAGAAGTATATCTCTTGCCAACAATTCATCGACTGATGCAAGAGGGGTTGGAACAGTTAATATGACCATTTTAAATGGGAGTACAAATCTAAGCGTTAATTTGTATGACACTTTGTATGTACCAGAACTTCGAACAAACCTGATGTCTGTAGCTAAAATTACTGACCATGGGTATCAAGTTTTGTTTAAAAAAGATGCTGCTTTGATAATAGATCAGAATGGACAGACAAAGATCCATGCGAATAGGTTAAATGGACTTTATTACGTACAAGAGAGTAGTGAAGAAATGAATATAAGCTGTGAAAAATCAAGTCTATTGTCTTGGCACCAACATTTTGGACACTTGAACTTTAGAGACTTGAAAAGAATAATCAATTTAAATATGGTTAAAGGTATTAAAGTGAACACAAAAGAGCTTATTCCACAATGTGAGGTGTGTATTCAAGGAAAATTTACAAAAAGACCCTTTCCTAAAAGTGAAAGAACATCTGAAGTGTTGGACATTAGCCTATTCACTCTGACATCTGTGGACCAATGAAAACTGAGTCACACGGAAAATCTCAATATTTCATTACTTTTATTGATGATAGCTCAAGATGGGTTGAAGTTTACTTTTTGAAGAAGAAAAGTGATGCATTAGATTCTTTCAAAAAGTACAAGAACAAAGTAGAAAATTTTACTGGAAGAAAAATTAAATATCTTCAAACAGACAATGGAGGAGAGTATGTTAACAGAGAGTTCGATGGATTTTTGAATTGTAATGGTATTCAGAGAAGATTAACATGTAGCGGAACGCCTCAACAAAACGGAGTGGCTGAACGGATGAATCGTACATTAAACGACATGGCAAGATGTTTGCTCATTGAAGCAAATCTTCCTCAAACGTTTTGGGCAGAGGCAGTTGCAACAGCAGCTCATGTTAGGAATAGATGCCCATCAGATGCAATTGATGGTGTATTACCATATCATAGATGGTATAGGAAAATTCCAAATGTTTCATATCTAAAAAAGTTTGGTTGTAAAGGTTTTATCCTAGACAAGACAAATGACAAGTTTCAATCAAGAGCAAAAGAAGGGATATTTGTTGGTTACTCAGATGTATCAAAGGGCTGGAGGATGTGGTTACCCGAAGATAGGAAAATCATTACAACTCGAGATGTAGTTTTTGACACATCTTCCTTTCCACATGTCGATGCAAATCATACTAATTCGAGCTTTAGGGTATTGCCTGTAGACAGTTTACTCCAAAGACATGAAAAGGTCGAAGAAAATCAAAGAAGTGTTCAAGTTGATCAACCAAAAGGTACTGATGAGAAAAATGTACTTGATGATAGGCAAACATCAACAAATGAAACTAAAGAACATATGTCAAATGAAATGGAAGAGATTGAACATGACGAGCCATATATGATTGATGGGGATAATAATGGAGATGATCATCAGAACAATGATATTAACTTGAAAGTAAGAAAATCTGAAAGAAAAACAAAAGGTGTTCCTCCTAACAGACTATCATTAATAGCTCAAGGAAATGTGATTGAACCAAAATCTTGGAAACAATTGGAGAAATTGTCTGAACCTGAGAAAAAACAATGGGTTGTAGCAGCTCAAGAAGAAATGGAAGCCTTATTAAAAAATGATACATGGGAACTTGTAGATTTACCTCCACAGAAAACAGCAGTTGGATGTAAATGGATATTTAAAGCAAAGTATGGAGATGACGGTATGGTTGAGCGCTATAAGGCACGTTTAGTAGCCAAAGGTTACTCACAGAAATATGGAGAAGACTATGATGAAATATTTGCTCCTGTTGTTAACTCAACAACAGTAAGAATTTTACTAACCATAGCAGCGACAAAAGATCTGACTGTGCATCATTTTGATGTAAAAACAGCCTTTTTAAATGGAAAGTTAGAAGAAGAAATATATATGCAACAGGCCGAAGGTTTTGTGAAATCTGATAATGAAGATAAAGTTTATAAATTGAAGAAATCAATTTATGGGCTAAAACAAGCAGCTCGGGCCTGGAATGAAACACTGAATACAACAATGATGAGCATGGGATTTGAAAAAAGCAATTCTGACCCTTGTTTATATACGAGTAATACTGATGGAAATTATACATATGTAGTGGTTCATGTTGATGACATTTTGTGTGTTGGATCAATTGAAAATGTCAAGAAAACATTTCAAAAACTGACACAATGCTTTGAAATGAAAGACTTAGGAGTTGTTCACAACTACTTAGGAGTTGAAATTGATAAGATGGATGGAGACTTTTACATTCACCAAAGAAGAAAAATAAATAAAGTCATAATTGAACATGGACTGGAAAACAGTAAACCAGCAAGAACACCAATGGAAGTTGGATTTATCAACTCAACAGCTATGTCACCAGATCTACCAGATAACAAAATGTACAGGAAGGCAATAGGATCACTTCTTTATCTTGCAGTGACATCAAGACCGGATATTTTGTCAGCTGTTGGAATTCTAGCTAGAAGAGTTGAAAAACCCACCCAAAGTGATTGGAATGCTGTAAAGCGAATAATAAGATATCTGAAAAGTACCATTGACAAGAAATTAAAATTAGGGGTGGAAAAAGAATTGAAATTGTCATGCTATGTAGATGCTGATTGGGGGGGTGATTTAGCAGATAGAAAATCAATCAGCGGAATGATGTACAAGTTAGGAAACAGCACTATAAACTGGATTAGCAAAAAACAGACCAATGTCACTCTTTCTTCAACAGAAGCTGAATTCATGGCCGCAAGCTTAGCCACTCAAGAAGTAGTGTGGTTAAGACTATTGTTGAAAGATATGGGCTTCCCCCAAGAAAATCCTACAGTAATATTTGAAGACAATCAGAGCTGTATCAAGTTTATTGAAAATGAAAAGATAAGTGCTAGAATAAAACATTTAGATATTCGAAAACATTACGTCCGAGAAATGATAAGTAAGAACGAAGTATTTCTGGAATACTGTCCAAGTGAAAATAATCAAGCGGACCTTTTAACAAAGCCACTTCTAGGGCAAGTGTTTAAAAGATCACTCTTTTACCTAGGACTTTACTAGGCATGATGTTGAGAGGGTGTGTTGGAGTTACAACATCATCCAATTTACTTATTACCTGTTTTATAAAATCATATGTTATATATCTAGTTTTGTTATGATAAAAAAGTAAATAAAAGTTATTATTGTGTGAGTGTTATTAAAGAATAGTTGATTCAATTTTAACAACTACTTTAACCTTTTAGTCTTTTGTAGCACCCCTACACTCAGTCCATAAGCCTTGGAAAATTTTACAGCTGTTGGACACCCATTTTAGCAAATTTTCCATTAAAGGTAAAAAACCATTTGTTGTTTCCTTTCGTCTCATTTAAGACTAACAGTAATTGAAAGTTAAAATCCGTTTCACTCACTGTTCTTCCAAGAGCAAACAATGTGGTGGTTACTTGTCCAATGTCTTTCTTCTCCCATAAGTCTACGGTTTGGAACACATCAATGTCCGGAACTCCGTATTCCTTCAGGGCCTTCTGGAAACTGAAATAAGACTGCAATGTAATGATGCAGAAAAATAGATTGCTACAACAGTGGATTTGTTCGGTAAGAATGGGAAGCAGTGTTTTAGAAGCTCTTGAAAATACAATAGTCATCAGAAACAAAGTTGTCATATATTTAATTCTACAATTTTGCAACCAAGCTAATCTGAAAGGCTACTTATTTCAAACTTTAGTAACTTTTACGTAAGATTAATAATTATCAAAGTTTGAAAAACTAAGGGAGAGAAAAGAACTTTTACTGAAACAAACTCTCTGAAAGACTAATTCTACTGCATTCTGAGAATCAATTGTGTTTTTAGGCGTCAACCATGTCGTCATTCGTAAATTGGTCATTCATAAATGGTTGTGTTGCTAGCCTAGTGGTTAGCGTCTCGGACTTCGGTTCGGGAGGGACGGGTTCAATCCCCGGCACATCCACTAAACATTTACCTCTCGTAACTCTCTCGCGAAATGCCACTGGCGTTGAAAGAAAAAAAAAGAAAGAAAGGAAAGGAAAGGAAAAAAAATTGCTGTCAGAGACCTTTTAGTTCAGCCTAGCTGCTGAGGAAGCCTATTCACAGTAAGGGTAAAACATCAGGCAGCAATTTATATCAGCAGTTGACGCCAAAAACCTCAATGGATTCTCGTGACACTGACTGCTAAAACCTAGACATGAAGATCAACTCTGTTCTATTTGAGTTACAAAATAGGCTATAACTGGTCAATAGATGGGATACCTACTTCAGTGCCAAAATTTCAATGATTTAACAAATGTATGTCTTCTGAGAGTGGACAAAATTCTCAAGTGTTTTTAAAGATTCGAATGTGGTAGGTCAGAGGAAACAGCTGATCACCTGCTCTTGGGATGTGAAGAGATTTCTGAGGTAAAAATGACAACTCTTGGTGACCTGGTAAGAGGTAGTGAAATACCCAAAGAGGAATTTATTGACAGACTAGATGCATTTATCAGGTACTTGAATGTCTTTCAATAAAACAACTTATTGGGGTGCGCAATAATTCAACACATTCGGATGAAGTGCTTTGTGGCTTCAGTCTGCTCCTGCAAGATAAGATAAGATAATTTAAGATCACTTACTTGTTGATGTTCTCCATCATCTTGAACTGTCCTCCCGTGGAGTTGATCTTGGGGATGGATCCAGGAACGAGTTTGTTCATCACTTGACACAGGACTTGTCCATCCCGGATGACATCTTCCAGAGGTCCGGAGAACTTTTGTCCGAGAACTGCCTGGATCCACTCCAAAGCCTGGACCTCCCTCTCGGGGTCACGCTTGCCAGCAATCTGCAAAAGTTGGCTGATAAGCAAGATTGTTAGCTGAGGGGCTATAGGGCTTGCTTGAAAACTAGAAGGTTGCTAACAATTCTAAGGAAGGTCAGTGCCAGAAGCTATCATTCCAAAATGAATCCAGCTGTTTTTTATCGTTGTGTTCAGGCCCGCGTTTTGCATGTGCCACACTATGGACCTGGGACATTTCGCCCCCTTCCCTTTCTTGTGGGGGAATGTTTCTTCTTCTTGCAACCCCAACAAACCTAAAACGTACCAATTTACTAAAGTGGCCATAATTTTGTTATGGTTATAACATTCATCACTAATATTGTACATATTTTGGCATTGTTTTGAATTGCAGTTTAAAAAATTATTCTGACTTAATAATTTCTTCTTTGTTTTGATGATGACTTAACAAACTTAACGTCCCTTCTCAGATGCCTCCATTTTACAATTGAGTACCCCCATTACATAGATAAAACATCAACTGTAGTATTTAGTCTTAGAGAAATTCCTGAGATGCCAAATGAAAATCTGCATCCAAAGTTTTTGGGACTAACTTTTGATACTACTCTAAATTGGCAATATCATGTTCATTTGGTAAAGGCAAGGCTTAGTTCGAGTATATTTGCTATGAAATGTTTGTGTGGTGAATTGAATCAGAATTCTTTAATACAGGCTTATTATGGACTATTTCATAGCCATTTAAGGTATGGTTTGATTGTTTGGGGATCTTCTCCTCATGCAAATGAAGTTTTTATTATGCAAAAAAAAGTTCTTAGAGTCATTGCTGGTGTAAATATGTGTCATAGTTGTAAAAATCTATTCAAGGAGTTTAAAATTTTGACTTTGTTTTCTTTATTTATACAACAATGTCTACTTTATATTAGAGCCAATATTCATGTATTAGACTGTAGAAAAGATGTGCACAGTTATAATACTCGTTTTTGTAATAACATTAATTTGCCAAAAGTAAGACTAGCCAAGACAGATAAAAGACCAATGATGATTGCAATTAAGTTGTACAATAAGTTACCATTAGATATAAGACTGCTTAGTGATAAGGATTTTAAAATTAAATTAAATTATTTTCTATGTAAAAGATCATTTTATTCTATAGAAGAGTATATGTCAAGACAATGGACTGTTAAGGACTTCTGTTGAATATTATTTATTTATAAAATTGACGTGCCAATGTATTTGCATGAAATATTTTCTGGCTGAATAAAGTTCTTATTCTTATTCTTATTCTTATCATACATCTTTCAACCCTTTAACTAATTATTATTAGTTAAATTATTATTTAACTAAATTTTATACTATAAAAATACCAATGAAACTTGGTATTTGACTATAAATCAAATATGAATAGGAAAATTCAAAAAGTCAACATCAGAAAAATGGAACTAGCATTTTCAAGGACTTTGATATATGTATGTAACAAAATTCTGATATTTGTCCCTACTTCAAATGTTAAGTTAAAAATAACCTCAAACAAAATGATTTTACACATTAAAACTGGTAAACTAATTGAGATCAAGTAAAGTGTTCCAAGACAAAGAAATTCAAATTTAACTGATTCTGACCGACTAAAATAAACCCAAGAGAAGTGATGAATGCAAACTTATAAATAACACAGTCGTTGCAAGAAAATAAATTGCCCATTTGACAGTTTTAGACCAACCCATATCTCAAAATGTATTCTATTAATAGAGTCTTTTCTTTCCAAAGTAAATATATATTTTTTAGATTTAAATTTGTCAGGTATAGCTGTGTAGTTATGGAGCTCACTTTAAAACCAGAAGTTTGCTGGTTTGTTCCTGACAAAAGTAAAAAGATTTGGATCAAAACTGAACTCAGCTGTCCTTTATCATTTACAGGGTGGCTGAAAAGTAACTTGTACACCCTTCAACTTTTTAAACTATTTGAGATATTTGAATTCGGTTTGCAACAACCTTCTTAGATATGAGGGGGCTGCAATTATGATATTTAATTTTTTAAATGTTACACTTATGTCACTTTCCTTAGGGCTAAGGAGTAGTTCAACGTTTTCAAGCAGGAAGTATAGTCAACCACTAATAACAAATGGCAACCAAAAATTACATTTAATAACCAGCTAAAACAGCATTGTATTGTGGTGGCAAAAATGATTATTAAAACTTTCAATTTGTTGGGAAACATTTTCTCTAGTTCAGGTCATTACTAATAACTGTATTGTTAGGGTCAGAGAATACTGATAAATGCAACTATGGGGAGTTGGACATTTTCCTGGCACTGTTTACTTTTAGGGTGAATCATTTTAAGTCACCATGATTTTTTTTGTATTCCGATTTTAATTTTGTTTATATCAATAATTGTTTTGTTTCATCAAAATTATATGAAAATCTACTATAATTGCCATTTAAAAATGGTGAGCTAACACCTACCCCTAAGGGTTAAATAAAAGAAGGTTCCCTCATATAGAAGGTTGCTGCGAACCAGTTTCAAATATATCAAATGGTTAAAAAGTTAAAGGGTGTGCAAGTAACTTTTCAGCCACCCTGTGTATGAATGTTCGAAACAGCTGGTGTAACAAAGCTTCATAGATAATCGAATTTGAGATCGATCTCAATCCGTTCTAAACTCACCTTGCATTTATAATATTCAGTTTAAAATATTTTTACAATGCACTGCTCTTTTAAAAGTCATTGACTGATTAAGTGATTATTTATAATTTTATTGATTTATTTCTGCCAAGTATTCCTATACTAAATTAATCTCACATGTCATTTTCATTATCTTAGAATTTAACTCATTTCGTTAATAAAAGCACTTGCTGCTAATTTTGTGCTCCTTATTCCTTAATGATTTAAGGTAGACATATCAAACTTATGATCAGTCAAAATCTGATCAGACCAACATAAATAGACTTCTTTTATTTGAGGGTCAATTTATTAATTTGTGCTTTACTGTTTGGTTATATAGCTAGAGTATGAGTTATTGTTTATGATTATATCGTTCTATTTGGTTAAACGAGGTTTTAAATTACTGAAATAATAAGAAACAAATTGTAAACAAAACACAACCTCTACGGTGCACCGGATGGAACTAACAATAAAATTGTCTTCAGTTGATCCATAAGGATGAGAAATCTACTAAGGGAGTATGTTTTATCTATGTCTGTACTAACACATGTATTGGGGTTCCAAGTTCCAAGTGGACCAAATAAAAGTAGGCCTAAGTCATGATTTTAAAAAATATTCTTATACAAAAATAGCTTATTCCCTATATGGGAAATTCGCTAAAAGGCAGCTCTTATTCTGGGGCTGCTTGGGTACCCCTTGTGTAAAATGAAGTACCGGTACCTTTTATAGAAAAATCGTAGGCAAAGAATTTTTATTTGGAAAAAAACAGTAGTTATGAGATCAAATATTTTTACATTAAATTATATACAAAGACAAGCATAAAGTTTACGATTCAAGTTTGGAGCTTTCTAATAAGTGATTTTTCATCATGTTTTCAGCACTTAAGTTTTTTTTTATCATCATTATGTCGTGTGACACAATTTGTTAAATTTTTCAGCATATTATTATTTTCAAATAACTATTTACACAAACTATAATGAATTTCTAAAAAAATAATTTTTATTTATATTGCCTACTTTAGTTCGTAGATTATTATTTTCCTAGTGAACCACCGCTTTCATTCTGTGGGAGGCTGAATAACTGTTCTCAAGTCTTACTTGAAAATAAAACATTTCTAAAGAAATGTATATTTTTTAAACCTTAGATTTTATAAAAATCATAACAAGACGTGGCATTAGATTACACCACTAAAATTTTATCATTAACATCGTTTTTGTTGAAACTAAAATTTGAAAATCTCTCCTTCATAAAGATTAAAAACTATTGATTAATTGGTTAACAAATATTTTCTAAAATATGCGCAACAAATTTTATATTTTTTAAACTAAAAATATGATAAAGTTTGTTACCTTGGCTTGGACAGCTCGTGCGAGAGACATTCTGGAAGAGAAGTTGATCACAAACTACTCAAGTTTCACTAAGTGTGAGCTTTTATCCTCCAGCAGAAATAGACCGTCCCACTACATGTCAGTCATCACAAGTGCATTCTGGGGGAACTATCCAGCAGTGGTGACAGTGTTCCTCGGATATTTGGATAAATATTCATTGTTGCGACTCCTTTTGTTTTTTAAGATATGTAGATTATGTACACATTTTATAAGTTACAGTTTTAAATACTTGGAGAATAGTAACTGTAAACCTATCTTTGCTAAAGAAACAGCTGATCGTCAGTAACAAAGCTACACAGATCATCTGACTCCATTCTACACTCAACTTATCCAACTTAACTTGGTACGTACACAAATTATGTGGCCTTAGTGAACTGATAAAGTATGATTGTAGTTTTTAAGCAATCAAGAGTATGTAAGTAATTAAAAATATTTACTACAAAGTTTTATTGCGCAATAAAAAACTCTTTACAATAACAATTTTATTCATCGTGTTGAAATAACTTAAAACAAGATACGATTAAAGAACAATTAACATGAATGAAAACAAAACAGAGTTTACAAAACAATAGAATCAGGTTGACAATCATCAATGGATGTTGCAGAAGAATTTGGCGAAGGGACAAACGCAAACAACACTTCTGTGGTAACGATGCAGACGACATCGAGATCAAGATCTTGCCGCTAATTACGCGCCACTTTGTGTTTTTTGGCAACTCGCCATCTGATGTACTGAAGGTTTTATTGACTTGTCGGTGAGTACTTCTACTAATTAATTTGCTAATTTCTTTATAATACAAACAACATAACCATTTTACAGAAACTTGAAGTTACACTCTTGTAAGATTTTTAAGAACAATTCTTAAGTTAAATGTTATAATTGTATTATAATAATGTTATAAAATAAATTAAAATTAAAAAAATAACATGGGTTGCCATGCTGGTGACGAAATAACAACGAAATATAATCAAATCAAATCAAATGAAAGAAATTCCAATCACATGTTTTATTTACTGCGTGGGATGAAAATAGGGATGTCTGTACATAACATATTTTTGGTCGAGTTTTCAACCACTGGACGACCTTTAGTTTATTTAAACAAATTAATTATCAGTCATCTTGAACTAGGAATTTAAATATTGATCATTTTACTAGTTGTATTCCAAATATTAATTGATATTTTCTATGAATTATATTGCATCTCTTTGATGTTTTACAGTAAAAAATTGTTAATTTTCCCCAATAAGAAGGACATTTCTTCTTTTAATTTAAAACACTTATTTAACATAAGTTTAAGCAACAGTTTTACATATTTTCCTTTGGAATTTCAAGAATATATTTTGAAACCAAGTAAATTATTTTAATGATTGTTCTAAGAACAATCATTAAAATAATTTTTCAATGACATTGTATTTAATGTTTTTCACTAGAACAGATTATTCTGTCTAGCATTGTTCCCGGACATAATACAAAAGTACTAATTCATTGTTTATAACATTTTTTGGGAACCATAAGTAATTAAAAGCAATGTTTGGTATGTCTAAAAGGATTTTTTTAGTTCAACCATACTACCACTGGTTTACGATCATTTATATTTAAAAATTGTCTATCACAATCAATATGTATTTCCTGTTAATTAAATTCTGACTATATACTAAAAACCCTCATCCTCCATGATATAGCAAACTGGTCCAAGGACGAGAATAAATATACTAACTCTTGAAAACATACAGACATGTGTACTTTTAAAAACAAACAAAACCTGGTAAAAAATCACAAAATTCAAAAAGTGAAATCGTTTTATTGACTCGTAAAAAATACATTTACAGTCTCCGTCTTCGTTACCTCGTTAAAACCATCTCACATTAACGACCAAAGTTTGTCTATACAAAAATAAACATCGAAGCTTCTGTAGGGATTAAACAGTGAGTATAAAAATATATATAAAAAGTATAAAGTTTTTCACTTTCCTAAGATGATTTTTCTGCCGGCGCCCATGTTCTGACCAGCCTGAGACGCTCCCTTGTTCTGTCCTGCTTGGAGGCCGATGATGGTCTGTCCTGCCTTGAGTTGGTCCTCGGTGAAGTTCCTCTTGTGTTCCTCAGAAGGCTTGGGTCCCAACCATGGTCCGGGCCACTCAGGATGGGTGTAGGTCTGCGGTAAGAAAAACAAGAGTGAGTGAATCAGTTGTGAAGTTTTCATTTTGTGAAAGACACACCTGGTGAAGTGGTTGAGTGCAGGACTTATGTTCTGCTCGCGATCTAATCCTACAGACCTTTATTTGTTATACGACTACCACTGTAATTTGCATGTAACGACACCGGTACACAATCCCAGTTATGATGTACACTACAGATAATGCTATTAGGGATTGTTTTAGCAAGGGATTTTAGTTTGCACTTGATTTTTCTCATTTTAGCTATACACTGGTTGAAACCAGTACTGCTTACATCAGTAACATAATATAACTAGTGCTAAAAATTCTAAAATTTTACAAATCAGAACTGAACATGGAGGTCCAAGAATATGTGCTAGCAATTTTAAAAGCGATGAAAAAATTACAAATCATTTTACCACTATAAGACACTTTCTAGACCCCCTTCTTAACTGGTCATTATTCCATTACCCCCAGCCCCTGGCCCCCTGATGGAAAAATTAGATGGATGCCCATGTAACTGAAATATACCCTCTCCATCACGATTCATATGCTTAAAATACATTTATTTTTAGTTTAAAAATTCATATTTTTCTTTGTACCCTTTGATTTGTTAATCCCCAAAATGTTCCCCCTCAAAAATGAATAATAAGCTACGGTTTATGTACTTGGACCTATTGTCCTCCACTTCCCACAAATCACTCCGGTCCTTTCTAACCGACCCAAAAAATCTAATTAAGAGCTTTTTCATTTTCTAATTCCCTCGCACCATAAAATAAGAAACTGAGTAGAACAAAAAACATTGAAGCAATATGCAGCATAATTATTTGTTTGGGAATTTCTTTTATGAATACGTTTGAAGCTTAAAAAAAAATTCTGTACATACTCACTACACATTCAGTTTTCATTAAGGGTACCGGTATGTAGGAAAAATTGCATATCAACAATACTGGAAACATAAGATATATTGTCATGAGAGTTGCTTAGACTGTATGACCTTTGTGATGAGGTGCTAAAGTACATTTTACTGATTTGTGTATTGGTACCTTTATGGTTTCTACTAAAGATGGATTAGTGCAGTATTTTAACTGAATGATTTTGATTTTTTTGTGCTTGTATATGCCTTATCTATGTCTAATGAGATAATGAGAGCCTTATTAAAACATTTTTTGTGAAAGAAGTCCAAATATGTTTTGTGGGTGTGCCAAAAATCAAGCCCCCTCCTGCATTGAAGTACGAAACACTAACCACTAGGTTTGCAACACCCATTATTGTCCGTATAGCCGCAATCAGGAAAAAGGGCAAAAAAGCGAAAAAGAAAAGAATCACGTCGCTGGTTATGATATTTTTAGGACAGCTAATATCATTGAAACTGCCATTTGAAATACATAGCTTTACGAATATCTATTGGATTCTGAAGTAGACACCTGATCTATATGAACCACCTTTCACATTTTTTAAAATAAAAAAATGAACATTGTTATGTGATTGTGTGATCCAATCACAGAAAGCACTAGTGTCTTCAATTTTATTTTATACTTTAATTTTGGTTGCTAACTTAGTTTATGGGTCATAGCATTTGCTATAGCTCACAATAAGTTGTTCCATCAGTTTTACTTGGTAAAAAAGTATTCAAACAAAATCTGTAATTTACACCAGCACAATATTTTTGACTCGCTCTACAGTAAATTTTGATCAAAACTTAATATGGGGTTGGTATGTCTAGTTGTATTAATAGTCAAAGCTTTTTAAGATACTACTGAATTGTGAACACGGAATGGAGTGTACAGATATCCTTGTGTTTCTCAATTCAAGCCCTACACTGACTATACTATACAAAGTTCAGTTTCAGTACTCACCGTCCTGCCGAGGGCGCACAGTGTTGTCGTGACCTGGGCAATGTCCTTCTTGTTGTACAGGTCTACAGTCTGGAATACATCAAGGTCTGGCACTCCGTAAGCCTTGATTGCCTTCTGGAAGCTGTAACACCACAAGTGAAAATGATGAAGAAAAAAGTATGTTGAAAAAAAGTTGTTTGTCAAAAGTTAGAATATATCTATAGGTTGAGCTAAGACTAAAATGATCATCATCATTATTTTAAAGCCAGCTAAGTGTGCATATTTTTTTAGTGAAGAATGAAATTATATGATACGTTGGTTTTGTTACAGACTAAGATCAGCAGATTTTTTCTTATAAGTTGTTCAAAGGTTTATTGCGGACATTTTCCATCACGATTGTAAAAAACAATACTCAATGTTTCGGGATCTGGAATCTGATCCTGTCCTCAGGTGAAAAGACTTAACTAACACATTTCAACTAACAATACACAAACTACTAACTATAACTTAGGTTGGGCGTTTGTGTATTGTTAGTTGTAATGTGTTAGTCCTTTTCACCTGAGGGCGGGATCAGATTCCATATTGAACGTTGTGTATTGTTTTTTACAATCGTGATGGAAAATGTCCGCAATCAACCTTTGAACAACATTAACTCACCATCACCAACAATGAACTTCAAACAAAGGACTTTTTTATGTTCCAATCAGCAAAACATTCTGACAATAATGATAAGTGTATTATACCTGTACTAAGTAATGATGTTGGGACAAGGACATAATACTGCGTGTTTAAACGTGAATACAATGTGCAGAAGTGAGACACCTTTGAAGATTTGTTACTGACTAAAAAACTTTATGTTTAAGCCATTTATTTAAAAATTCCAATGATTGAGAAGTATTTCGGAACTCTAGACTACTAAGGAAGTTTCCATAACTTATTTCAACTAGAAACACCCACTTGTTAATGTTCTCCATCAGTTTGAAGTCTCCTCCGCTGGTGTTGATCTTCTTGATTGATCCTGGAACGAGTTTGTTCATGACTTCACACAGTACAACGCCATCTCGCAGAATGTCCTCGTAGGCTTCTCCTGCCGGGAACTTACGGCCCAGAACTGCCTCGATCCATTCCAGAGCTTCTCTCTCCTGCTCTGCGTCTCGCTTGCCAGCAATCTGTAAAGGTTCAACCCTTAATGATCACTGCTGATTGGTTGATAAAAATTGTTATCCTACCACACGCCATGAGCAAGTAAGCTGAAGTTAACTTTTGACAGTGCAAGAAAATCCTCATCTTTCCTAAAATCAGTAGCTCTGCTTTTGTGGTCGTTATATTATATTCATTATCTTTGTTATCGTGACTGCTCTTATATTCGTTATTGCAAGTTATATAAATTGTGATTGTAATTATTAATGACCAGTGGCAGGGATGCTTTAATAAATGGACTGGGTGATGGGCTCAGGCCCAGGGGCGCAAGAGGTATTAGGTTTGTTGGGGGAGCAAGAAAGAGAAACATTCCTCCTCGAGGTAGGTGGAGAGGGGCACAATTATCTCTTTAGCTCATAGCAGTACATCACATGCAAACCACGGGTCTGCAGTATTATAAAAGTCCACGTATGTTATCCTAGGTGTACAAGGCTTTAATAATCCGATATTTATTTTTAGTAAAATTCTTTATGCTTAAAAAGAAGCTTAGAAGTTTTTCAATTCAAGTTTTAGAAATGCTATAGTAAAAAGTATTATTCATTGAGCAATTTATTATTGTTCTTTTGTTAAATTTATCAAAAGACATAAGCTTAGAAGTGTCATTTTATAAAACTTAGACTAAAGATACATCAGAAATTGGAAAGCTTATTGAACCTCTATTCAAAGATAGACGGAATCTTTTAAAGAGATAATGCATTCCTAATGAATCTTATGTACACCATTTTTTATTACTTCCTTTATAATATTATTTTAAAATGAAATAAGTAAGATAGAAAGAATAAAAAATATAAATACCCCCGCCGCAGCAAACCTGCAGACTAAGCGAATTTCCATTTGCCTGATTGGATTTACACTAAAATGTCTCATTAAAAATATCACATTTATTCCCTATTTAAATAGAATAAGTTTAACACATACTTAGGTTTGCTGCAACAGGGACAGTAAAAGTGTTTTTTTATGTAAAATGTTAATAGTTAGTAAGAAATTAAAACATTTTCCAAATTTGGGCAAAATATGTTAATAAACAAGCAAACTACAACAGTTTACTTATCCTCCATAAGAATAACATGGGAATTTTAAATTAACAATTTCTCCGTAACCATTAGGCGCATTATAACGCTTCATTATACTAAATTATTTGTTTTTTTAAGCTCTACAAAATAGTTTGGAAAGAAATTACAAAATTTTATGTTTTTTGGGTCAAAAATTGGAAAAACCCATTTTTACCCCATAAAAGCCCCCATAAACCCATGTTCCGATCATGCTGGTTCGCGAACTCGTTCGAATAAACGTAGGTTTACACGTTTGTACCAAATTTCATCAAAATCGGATCATTTTTGCTCGAGTTATCGCGCTAACGGGCACATATATATATATAAATATATATATATATATATATATATGAATTTGAACGGATGGTGTTTTTGGCCTCTAGGGACCTCAAAACAAAAAAAAAATCGGTCCCGGGTCCAGGTCTTTCCATGAGTACTACGGTAATAGCTTATTCCCTATATGGGAAATTCGCGAAAAAAACTAATATAATTTAATTGTTTGTTTTCTTTAAGGTATAAGCGAAGCACGCCAAAAATATTTTGATATCCTCTTATTATCAACTGATTGATTAACAGTAAGTTTACATAGTTTATGGCTAAGTAAGTATTAAGTGTTTCTATATTTCTTTCCCATTATCTCAAGCCCAATAATTTTATTGTATTTGTTTGGTCAGATTAGTTAAGTGCATGACTATTGGATACTGAAGTAGACATCCTATCTATATGGGCCAGCTGTCGCCAATTCTTAATGAAAAAATAACATAGTTGTGTGAGCTAGTCAGTCACAGAAAGCGCTAGTGTCAATTTTTTTTTTTAAATAAAAGCTAGAAATAAATATAAATTATAAACCAAACATTAGAAGTTATTTCCACAAAAACATATGCGTGTGGGAAAGAAATTATCATTGTTACTCACTACTTTGCAGAAAATCACTTGAGTTAAAAGGAAAAAAATATACATCTTTAACTTATAACTTGATTACCGGTAAACAAAAGAAAATGAACACAAAATTGTGTTGCTGCATGAAAAACACAAACCAAGTAAAAAAGACTTATGTAATTTAATTTAAGTTGAATTTAACTATATTTAATCAGTACTTAAATGAAATTTTAAAAAATTACGTTGACTTAAGGAGTTCATATTAGATGTAATGCTAATAAGTATGTGTAACGTGATACTAATAAGTATGTTATGTAATAGTTATAAATCTACTTATCTTCATCCAAAGAAAACAAAATTCGTTTATATTGATTCAACTTAGATTATGTACTTGGATTCGATAACCACTACTGCAGCACTATCACTTAACAAATTAGGGGAAGGTAACAGAAAAGTACTAAATGTGCATACTAAATAAAACACAACAATATTAAAACAAGTAAATAATGGGCATTAATTTCTAAGCCATACTATATCAAATGCATTAAACTCATAACGATATAAAATTGCTTAGTAATCATCTAAATCAATTCCTACCTTAAGTTGCACTGCTCTCTCCAGGGACATGGTTACTCCTTGGTAGTTGGTAACAGTATTAACGGTAACGAGTTCACTACTAAAGTACCGCCTCCAAGGGAATTCCCTCCTTTTATCTCAATCAAAAATAGCGGCCCCCGCCCCCCTCCATCCCTCCATGTCTATAGACAATATGATAGACTCAGTCTGGTTTTGCCACGGCCGCTCACGTGGGCTTGACATAAGGGGAACATCGCTAAATTTTTGTCTGGTTTTAATTATTTGTTATTTTAAGTGTTAGACTCACAAATATCATACAAATAATAATATCCATTCTATAATGAATACATGAACAGGTTTTTTTTGTTATATTTTAGTGGAAACAGCTGTTTTTATTGTGGTTAAGTATGACAGAAGCAACTGGAAGTCAAGGAGATCAGCTGTCATTTTCCTGTCGTTGAAAATATGTCTGCTGGTTTTGAAGGCAAAAAAGAGAAAATAGTCCCGGTTAATAAAATAATCAGTATTAGTACATATTGGATTTGTTTTTGTTTATCATTGTGTTACATTGTACATTTTACAAGAAAAAATACTCTTTATCAATACTTACTAATTGAAAATTTAAAAAAATCACTAGTTAGTATGAGCTTGAAAGTCTTAATATATATTGGGAGATTATATAATTTTCGAAACATCCAACATCAAAAGACCAAAACAGGCCAAATATTTCAATTTGAATACATTTGTAACCATTTTTTGTACTGTAAAACATGTTGGAATTTATTTATAATCTTGTTCCTCATTGCCTTCTTGGTACTAAGTTAGAAGCAGCTGTCATGTGTTAATTATATGCCATGTGATTGCTATGTTTATTAATTTGTTGTAAATAAACATCACTTCAACTATGGACTTTAGAAACCATACTGTGTAGTCATTTTACTCCTATTATTATAAAGGAAAATCAATTATAAACAAGTGGTTATGGGCCCAGTTTCACTTTTACTGTAACATGTTCTCTGTGGCCTATTTTGAACAGTTTAATTTTTGAAGAGAAGTGTTTAAGAAATATTATACAGTAGGACCTCAATATCTCGAATCTGAAGGGGATATGATAAAAATTCGAGTTATCAAGTTTTTCAAGTTAGTGAGGTTCGAGTTATGAAGGTGCCATACAAAAAAGTTCGAGATACTGAGGTGTTTGGGCCTGACAGTGATGTAACGTTGCGGCCTTTATAACTCGACTTTTACATCCTAAACCTTTATAAATCGAACTCAAACTGTATTTATACGTACTGAAGAGTAACTGTGGAAGCAAAATAAAACAATTTTAATGCACATAAAGTACTTTATTTATTATTGGGCAATAAGTTTGGAAATAAGTTTCATAAAGTACATACGTAAAAAACCTGTTGAATTAACAAAGAAAAATTATTTTAAATACTGAACAAAACACAAAACAATACAAATTCTAAACAAAATACAAGTTTAACTTTTCAAAATGTAGTTAAGTAGGCCTACTGAATCTAAACTCGACTTTTACATCCTAAACCTTTATAATGTAAATCGAACTCAAACTGTATTTACCCACGTATTGAAGAGTAACTGTGGAAGCAAAATAAAACAATTTTAATGCACATAGAGTACTTTATTTATTATTGGGCAATAAGTTTGGAAATAAGTTTGATAAAGTACATACGTAAAAAACCTGTTGAATAACAAAGACAAATTATTTTAAATACAGGTACTGAACAAAACACAAAACAATACGAATTCTAAACAAAATACTGTACAAGTTTAACTTTTCAAAATGTAGTTAAGTAGGCCTACTGAACCTACTTTGGCAAAACGGGATGAAAGAAATCTTCAATTCTTGCTTGTTTACCTTTTATGTTTACGGCACTGTTTCAACCACGTTAAAACACATTCGTCCACGTCTTTAAACTCACCGCTTTTACATCTCTTCTTATTGGTTAGTCCACCTTCAGCCTCATACTTTTCCCGGTTTTTCATAATTGTTGATAAAGTGTTAGGCGGAATTCCGAACTCCTTAGCGATTTCACTTTTTTTCTTTAATCCTTCGTCAACTGCCTTAATAACTCTTCTTTTTTCATCGTGTGTCAACGTTTTGCACTTACGCTTAACCGACGACATGACGTCCGACGCGCACAAAATTATCTCAACAACTGGCAGACTACAGTACGTATCCAAACAGACACAGGAAGCAACCACCGGAAGTTGGATTTTCACGTCTCGACAGGAATCAAAACACTACTGACTTGCACTGTAAGGCAAAACTTCGAATTATTGAGGCGCATTCGTGCGAACTTCGACTTATAAAGGTAAACTTCGAGTTACTGAGGCTCGACGACGGGAAAATTCGACTTATAGAGGTGGAATATTACCGTTCAAAAGTTGTTAAAAATCGACTTATTGAGGTTGTGTATTTAGAAACTTCGACTTATAAAGGTACTTTTAACATTATGATTAATGTGGATTTCAAGGGGATTTAAAAAAAATCGAGATATTGAGGAATTCGAGATATTAAGGTTCGAGTAATTGAGGTTCTACTGTAGTAAATTTCATTGGATGAACACTTATTAATTACTATGATGGGAGACAAAAAAGTTATATACTCCACATCAGCCCCTGGAATTTCTAAGTTGAAAGAGTCAGCCAACTATGCCAGTTGGAAATTTGACATGAAGATGGCTCTAAAGTATGAGGGATTGTGGAATTGCATTGAACCACGAAATAATAACACAGAGACGACACCACTAACTGTTGATCCAGACAAAGATGAGAGGGCACATGCCAAGATTGCCATGCACCTGGAGGCAGCTCCAAAACTACATATCAGGACGGCCATATCAGCGAAGGAAGCATGGGACATTTTAGCAAAGCAGTATGAAGTCAAGAGCACAAACAGGAGAATATTTCTGCTGGACCAGCTTTTAGATTTGAAGTTGGAAGTATGCAACAGCATGAGTGAGTATATTTCTAAATTTCTTGATCTCAATGCTCAACTTGCTGACATAGAGAAACCCGTAGACGATGAAATGAAGGCGTGTCTACTTCTAAGAGGTTTGCCTGAGTCTTACAGGGCATTTAGGATGGCAGTCGAGAGTACAGATAAAGTAGAATACCTATGGTAAAGTACTAGACAAATTAAATAGCATGGCTGAAAAGGATAACACTGAGTCCTCTGTAGTATTTTCAACTTTTAAAAGCAGTACTGGGAAGCCTTTTTTATCAAAATCAAATACTAATCAAGCTAATTCTAATAAAAGCTCAAAGATGAGGAAGCCTTTTATTCCTACTTGTTACAAATGTAGAAAGGCAGGCGATATGATAAGGGATTGTCCTGAAAATAATCAAGCTAATATTCGTAATAGCTCAAAGATAGGGTCATTTTCCAAAATTGGTAAGTCAGATGGTGAAAACAAAAATAAAAATGTGAGTTGGATAACTGATCTGAATGTAAAGGTAGAACCTGAAAGCTGGTACTTAGACTCGTGTTGTTCTGACAATCTTTCTAAAAGTAAAGAAAGTTTTCAAACGTTTAACTCGAATGAAGGAGTTAAAGAGGTCACTGTCGCTAATAATACCAAAATCTACTCTGCGGGTTCTGGGAAAGTTTCTGTGAATCTTAAAAACTTTGGTGAGAGAGTGATATCGAATGTGACGTATGTACCAGATTTATCTACAAATTTGCTATCTGTGAGCAAAATAGCTAGTAAAGGGCAAGTTTTAGTTTTTGATGACAAAGGGTGTAATATTTACATAAAAGATGGGTTTTCAGTAAGAGGTGAAATCTGTGGAACTGGAACAAATGTAAACGGACTGTATCGGTTGGATACAGAGAGTAAATGCAACATTGATCCAAATTATGACAATTTGGCTATGTCTACTCAAGTTGACCAGTCAGTTAGTGTGGACCTTCATAATTTATGGCACAGAAGATTGGGTCACTTGAATCATGTTAGCATGGGTATTTTGAAAAAGGGGATGGCTTTGGGTATCGATTTTCCTAATCAGAGGCCAGAATCTTGCATTCCCTGTGTAGAGGGGAAACACTCCAGAGAATCTTTCCCAACCACTCCAAGTAAGAGAGCTGAGGCAAAACTAGAGTTAATCCATATGGATGTCTGTGGGCCTATGAATGTTCAGTCTCTTCAAGGTAATCGCTTCATGCTAATATTTATTGATGACTTCACCAGAATGACCTTTGGTTATTTCTTGAAATCAAAGGATGAAGTAGTTGATTGTTTTCTCAAGTTTAAGACTTTAGTTGAAAATCAGACCAACCAGACTGTAAAAACTGTTAGGTCAGATGAAGGCGGGGATTACATGAATGCGAGACTAGAAGAAGTGTGTAATAGATTTGGAATAAGGCACCAGGTTACTACTCGATATAGTCCTGAGCAGAATGGGGTAGCAGAGCGTGCAAATAGAACTATTATTGAAAAGGCTAAAAGCATGCTAAGTGACTCAAATTTGAGCAAGGGTTACTGGCAGTATGCTGTGGAGGCAGCTATTTATCTTAAGAACCTAAGTCCTACAAAAGCTGTTTTTGGAGTCACGCCACAGGAGAAATGGACTGGATCGAAAGTGGACCTCAGTCACCTTAGAGTTTTCGGGTGCATAGGCTATGTGCATGTGCCTAAGGAGAGAAGGACCAAATTGGACTATAAGAGTGTTCCTCACATTTTTGTAGGTTACAGCGAGGATGTCAAAGGTTACAAATTGGTCGATCCTAAGTCTCCCCGTAGATTGATTTATTCTAGAGATGTCATGTTTTTTGAAAACTTATTTCATAATGGGCGTGAAGAAAATAATGGTGATGAAACTATACAACCAGTCGAGACCATAGTAAGCATCCAGACCCCCAAACTTGATGAACCTTGCAGGAATCCTGAGGCAGCTGATTTTGTTACCTACATGGTTACCTGTGAGGATCTAGAGCCAAGTAGTTATCAAGAGGCAATAGAAGATCCGAATAAGAATTTGTGGAAGCATGCTGTAGAGGAGCAAGCTGATGAAGAACCTCTACATGGTTTTGTTGATGCCAGTCATGGAAACAACTTTGATGGGAAAAGTTGTACAGGATATGTTTTTAAACTGTGTGAAGGACCTGTGTCTTGGGGAAGTAAGAAACAGAGATGCATGACTGATTCCTCAACAGAGTCAGAGTTTGTAGCAATGGTTCAGGCATGCAAGCAAGCAATGTTTCTAAAGCACTTGTTGGAAGAGCTGGAAACATTTTGAGCATGTAAATTTGCATTGTGACAACATGCCAGCAATGAAGATTTTGCAGAAGAGAACCGTGAATACCAAGACCAAACATATAATTCGTAAACAGTTATTTGTCAGAAGAAAACTAGTTGTGCTGAATTACGTTCCAACTTCCAAGATGGTAGCGGACATTTTGACAAAATCACTTGGCAAAATCAAGCATGATGGTTTTATGACCGACCTTGGTCTTACCCCAATGAAGGATCAAGATTAAGGAGGGGTGTTGGAATTTATTTATAATCTTGTTCCTCATTGCCTTCTTGGTACTAAGTTAGAAGCAGCTGTCATGTGTTAATTATATGCCATGTGATTGCTATGTTTATTAATTTGTTGTAAATAAACATCACTTCAACTATGGACTTTAGAAACCATACTGTGTAGTCATTTTACTCCTATTATTATAAAGGAAAATCAATTATAAACAAGTAAACATGGTGGAAAAAGGAACTTAGTTTTAGGAGCTAACTTTCTAAAAAATAACTACCTATGTAAAGTTTTAAAGCCCATTGTTTATAGGCCTTTTGATTGTGACTTAGCTTAGAGAGAATGATGTGGTAGTTCCAGCTATTTTATCCCTCCCTCAACTTTGCCTTGATTTTGTGTACAAAAGTGATAAGTTTAAAAAGTCACTTTGGGTATGTGATGAAATATCTTATCTTACTATCTTACTAATATTATAAATCTGAAAGTTTGTGAGTTTGTATGTGTGTTTGTGTGTTGCTCAATCACGCATAAACTACTGGACAGATTGGGCTGAAATTTAGCATGATAATAGCTCACATTCCCAATTAACAATTAGCCATATTCTTATCTCAAAAATCCTTTCGGGCTTCGCCCCAGTGGCTCTGTAGTTCCCCATGTTAACGTTATGAGTATTCATATTTAAAGGGAATTAAAGAATTTAGTCAGCTGTTTCAACTTTACAAGTTGGTTCAATAATCATTAAAAAGTTACAAAAGGCTTCCCAACAGGGTGCAGCACTATTATTATTTTGTTTTTGCATATATGACAACAGCTAATTTGAACTAAGCAGCAACAAAAATCTGTGATACACAATGAGAACTGTCAAAGTAGGATTGTTTACAGTTAGGTTTGAGCTTATAATTTAATGAATAGTTTGTGTTATTGTGCGAATGTTTGATAATTTATTTTTTATATTTTTTAGGTGCAGTGGTAAAACATTATGGCAATGAACTTATGAACCAAATTTTATTAAACTGTGTCCTCCCCCATTGCAAACGCAAAGCTTGAGTATAATAACTGCAATAAGCATTTTATACTTATATGCCAACCCCGTACGAAAGACGGGTGCTCTGTTAATCTAATATATAAAATTCTCGTGTCACAGTGTTTGTCTGCAAACTCCTCCGGAACGACTTCACCGATCGTTATGAAATTTGGTGTGTAAATTCTGTAGGTATGCGAATAGGAAGTAAACTATTTCCCGTTTCGAAATTCTTAAAAGGGCTCCGCCCCACTGGCTCTGGAGTTTCCCATGTTAACCTTATGAGAAATGGAATTAATGCATCTTAACAGCTGTTTCAATTAAACAAGTTGGTTCTGTTCTATGATGTTCAATAGCATTAAAGTTACAAGGATTACCAACAGGGTGCAGCACTATTATTTCTTTTACATTTATGACAACAGCTAATTCGCAACCAAAAGGTGAGTGAGCGTAGCGAACGAACTTCAACCTGGAGGCGAGTTAGCGTAGCGAACGAGCTAAACTGAAGGCAAGTGAGCGCAGCGAACGAGCTCCAACCTAAAGGTGAGTGAGCGTAGCGAACGAGCTCCAACCCAAAGGTGAGTGAGCGTAGCGAACGAACTTAACCAGGACGTGATTGAGCGATGCGAACGAGATCATCTTGAAAATTAAACGTACAGGGTGCAGCACTATTATTTCTTTTACATTTATGACAACAGCTAATTTGCAACCAAAAGGTGAGTGAGCGTAGCGAACGAACTTCAACCTGGAGGCGAGTTAGCGTAGCGAACGAGCTAACCTGAAGGCAAGTGAGCGCAGCGAACGAGCTCCAACCTAAAGGTGAGTGAGCGTAGCGAACGAGCTCCAACCCAAAGGTGAGTGAGCGTAGCGAACGAACTTCAACCAGGACGTGATTGAGCGATGCGAACGAGATCATCTTGAAAATTAAACGTAACGGTACTTTCTTTCCATCGGTCTGTCTTAGGGGAAACCTATAACTTAGGCGATACGAAGTTCGCCGGGTCAGCTAGTACTATTATAAAATTATGTGATATGTTTTTACCTTTATAAACTTTTTGGTACAGGGAAAATGTTTTTTACAGTTGTATTATGAAAATTCCTGCCTTAGATTACGTACTTCTCAATACCTCTAAGAATTTCCAACGGATAAACTAGTAAATTAAACATTATCCACCCAGAAATATTATATTTTACATACAAGTTTAATTAACACCTGTTTATTAACCATCAAACATAAATCTACGAGGAAATGTCTCTCCAAAAACTTCCATGAGTTCTGCCCCTTAAAATAACTTTTTCTTTGTACAGGGCTTGTTAATTAAATATTTCACGGTTACTATATATTTTTAGACGACGAATTATTTTGGCAGCAGGTGGCACCAAGGACAATAATGATACTTTGCCAAACGATCTACCGAGTTCTACGCCTACGCTCGCACCAACGTAGGTGAATCAGGTGTTTATATACGACATGCGACACAATTGTGCAAGAGAATTGTCTTTTATGACTCATACCACTCTTAGAATGCATGTTCTGATGTAAGAATTACTGGTGATTAATATAAAGTTACCAAAACTGGTTTTGTGCAGGATAGAAATCATGAAAATTCCTAGATATTATCAGAATATGGTTTATTTTACCTTGCCTAAAATGATCCTGTATAGTCGTCAAACACGACAGCTGTTTCGTGCTACAATGAGCACATCTTCAAAGTGAAGAAACACAAAATCAACTCATTTAGCCCGCGGTTGAGCGCGTCCAAAAACACATAAAGTACACTCATTGTAGCACGAAACAGCTGTCGTGTTTGACGACTATACAGGATCATTTTAGGCAAGGTAAAATAAACCATATTCTGCTAATTTTAATGATCCAGAGGCTATCCATCATGAAACTAGATATTATGTAATTTTAAGAGTTTATAAAAGGTAAAAAAAAATACGTAATTAAGTTTTCTAAAAGTTTTATTTGCATTCAATATTTAATACAATATGGAGTCAGTGGCGACTTCGATGCCATATAACCCCCTCTTGAGAGTTGAAGAAAGATTTCATACCGTAATGTTATTTAGTTATTATTGTTATTAATTAATTTATATAGTTAAATATTAATATGAAAATTACTCAAAGTATGTAATGCACATCGTTATAGATTAATAATGTAACTGAAATTCAATTGGGGGAGGGGGGTATTTGAATTCATAATATGAAGCAATCCCCCCTTCACAAGGATCCATCCTGAAGCCCCCCTGAATAGAGTACCAGTAATTCAAACTTATTTATGTTTACTTGATTAGTTTTATTTTGGTTTAGTTTTTATTGGGACGACAATAAAGTCTTGGAACTTTGTGCATTTTAAGATGTTATGAGTGAATAAATAATTTGCATTTAAAATGTGAATTCAAAGTCCTCTTAATCCAAAAACCAAATAATTTGCAGGGATACAAAATCCAAGACATAACAATGAATAAGTGTATTCATAAAAACTACAGCACAAACAGAATAATCTTTTAGTTCTAAACTACATTGATTCAAAAAAGTGTAATACATTGTTTTCAAAGAGAACACTTTTGAGGTTAAATTACACCATTGATCTTAGACAATGTATTTGCTAGGGTGAAGCCAGACTGCTTATCAAAGGCAATTGCATTGCAATTGAGTTGAATACCCATTGTGTTTTTTCATATCTTCACCTGTCGTCATCCAATGTACCTTCACACTTGTCTGAGAAATTGTAAACTTCTTAGATTTTACTAAACTAGAATTTTTATATATAAAATTTGTAAAATAAATTATTGTGGAAAAAAAGTTCTAAGTATATAAATATTTTTTATTGATTTTTACAATAAAATACATGAATGAAATAGTACAATACTGGTATCTTTAAATCTGATACAATCTCCAAGAAAACTTAGTCTAGACTTTGTCGACAAATTTGGTTGAAATTTTACCAAAATTTTAATCTGAATGAGAGTTTTTGTGCCTATGGACATACAAATTATACCTATTCATAACAATTTCAACAAACAGTATTTTTTTTTTTTGCTTCAAAGTACCTTGGAAAACGTAGGTGCAATGATTCTGTACCTAGGTCTTGCTAAATTATATAATATCAAGAATAAAACAGTTAAAAATAATTGTTAAACAGATAGTCACAAAAATATATTGACAACTTAAATTGTCAGGTTTCACTACTTCCCAAGCAGTATTTTCCTGCCAGCTCCAAAGTTTTGGCCAGCCTGAGTAGCGCCTCTGTTAAAGCCAGCTTGAAGTCCGATGACACTCTCTCCGCTGCGGAGTTGCTGCGTAGTGAAGCTGCGTTTGTGTTCTTCTGAAGGCTTCGGCCCCAGCCAAGGCCCAGGCCATTCAGGATGTGTGTAGGTCTGCGGAAAATTAGATGTTAAGGTTACATAGACAATTGAGGAAATCATAATATGTGCAAGGAGTAAAGTGAGGAATTAGGTCAGGGAGTTTAAAGATGGTCGTGAAAACTTTTTTCCATGGTGCACTTCTGTGAGAAGTCTAGGTACCCACCAAAAAGAATTCCTACTGAAATGGACATTTTAAAGGGCAATTTTACACCCTCAAACCCATTTCTGCACTTTACCCTCACTCATTGCCACAACCTTAAGTAAACTGACGATGAATGTCAGCATCGAATATACTTGATACTTGGTGATCCCACTAGTAGGGCAGCCTGTCCGTGGTCGTCAAAGTTGTGTTGTCAAGTTTTCCCCCAGATATACTTCAATAGAAAAATATGACCTCATCAGTAAATAATTTTTGAATTTCCTCATGAATTCATCTTGGTTTTCAATGTTTCTTGTGGTAAAAAAAATGTATCACTGACCCACATCACATGTGGCGGGAGATCATTTAAAAATTTCCTAAACACACATCGAAGTGTACACGTCAGCTACATAGTGAGGTCTGATAATTTTTGTTAACTTCAAAAATTTTCTATTGGTGTAAACATCAAATTCCTAAGCCAAGGTTTAAGGTAGATAATCTATCTCTGGCCTGTAAAACTCTTTTTATGTTACTCAATTAATAGATGTAAGATCTAGATCACTTACTGCTCTTCCCAAGGAAAACAAAGTAGTTGTTACTTGGCCGATGTCTTTCTTCTCGAACAAATCTACTGTCTGGAAAAGATCTACATCAGACACTCCGTATGCTTGTATGGCCTTCAGGAAACTGGAAAGCGATACAAGTTTTGTATTACTGTGTTAAAACAATATAATTAAAAATTAAAAGTTATAAAAGAGTAGAAATAATGTGAATTTTTTTTACATAAAACACAGGTAGAATACAAAGTATCTACCATATAGCCTCCTCTAATACAAGGCCGTGGAAATTGGTGAGTGGCATGCCTGTTGCCGTGGTAATAACAGAAACAATAAACTTGTAAACATAAATATAGTGCATATGCTCCATTATTAATTAGTGCAACAGCTGTTTAATCATGCCGGGTCTGCAGCGTTGCCACTTTTGTCTCGCCGTGACCTTGTATTACAGGAGGCTATTATCTGCACGAATCAATAAAATTGTAGGACAAACAACACAAAAAAATGCTATAAGCAAAGAAAACATCAACAGCTTAAAACTCTGTAAATGCAGTCGGCAAAATCTTTATTGCAGTGTGTAATGACAAATAATTCTGTATATTTAGATAAATCTATAACTTGGAGCCTTTGTATACTATATGCAGTGTGAACTCTCTGTATACATGCAAAATATATGCATTGTAGTAATGAACACTTAATACAGGGTGAATAAAAAGTCAAGACCCCCCCATCTAATATTTTTCCAAGTAAATATACAGAGATATCCTTTTGGTGGTCGAGCAATCTTAGCAGAAAGTTTCATTTTATCATTTTGAAATTTTTGAGTGTCCCCCCAAAAGGGGGATTTTGGGGGCAACTCAAATATTTTAAATGTAAACCCCCTTCAAGTGACACCTCATTTGAAAGTGTTTACAAAAACTTAAAGAATGGTGAAAGCTAGAGGTCGCTATCTTTTATCTATCCAAAATGGTAGCCCGTCAAATGTTGTGGAAAATCAACGGTAAAATTGTTAATATTGGCTGCCATTTTGGATAGAGAAGAGATAGCGAGCTCTGGTTTTCACCATTCTTTAAGTTTTTTTTAAACACTTCAAAATGAGGTGTCACTTGATAGGGGTTTCTATTGAATCATTTTTGTTGTCCCCCGAATCGGCCTTTTAGGGGGACACTCCAAACGGGGGATTTTGGGGGCAACTCAAATATTTTAAATGTAAACCCCCTTCAAGTGACATCTCATTTTGAAGTGTTTACAAAAACTTAAAGAATGGTGAAAACCAGAGCTCGCTATCTCTTCTCTATCCAAAATGGCAGCCAATATTAACAATTTTTACTGTTGATTTTCCACAACATTTGACGGGCTACCATTTTGGATAGAGAAGAGATAGCGACCTCTAGTTTTCATCATTATTTAAGTTTTTGTAAACACTTCAAAATGAGGTGTCACTTGAAGGGGGTTTGCATTTAAAATATTTGAGTTCTTTTGGGGGGACACTCAAAAGTTTCAAAATCATAAAATGAAACTTCCTGCTAAGATTGCTCGACCACCAAAAGGATATCTCTGTATATTTACTTGGAAAAATATTAGATGGGGGGTCTTGACTTTTTATTCACCCTGTATGTATACACTCGATAGCAAAAATTTAATAGTGTATAGACAAATCTCTGTATACTTAGTATCTAACTTTGCTTTATCATAAAACTAGCTGTTGTACCTGTGCTTTTGCAATGGGAAGAGAACACAAAATATAAACATTGTAATCTTTACATTGTAACGGTCAGACAACCCCACACAATACCACAGAAAACGTACTACTATAACCCAGAATGTCAATCCGTAGGCAGCGCCACCAGCGTTGCCATGCAATAGCATAGCAACGCTGGTGGCGCTGCCTACGGATTGACAGGCAAAGCTCTCTCAAACCGCTTAATGCTTTTTACCATGCGGTTGGCATTCTGGGTTATAGTAGTACGTTTTCTGTGACAATACACACATCTCAATCGGTACATCTGTTGCATATAATAGTTACACATCCGTCAACGCTTTTAGAAACAAATTTCTACTATTAAGTTATGAATTTTAAATCTGGTAAGTAGAGGATACCACCATTTTGATTTTGATTATTTTAAAATCTTGTGTAGGCTGATATGAGAAAAACTGACCAAATCTTCGAATAAAACTTTCACATACATGATTTACCTTCATCTCCCTCAATTACATATCTTTTTTCTTTATTTTTGACATTTTAATTCAATTGTATTAATTTAATCTTATTTAATAACAAGATTTCCTACTTTTCTACAGTACAACCCATTTCACATTATCTTGACATGTTTTGTCTGGTTCTGGACTGAAATTCATCTCGGTTCGCGGAATATAAACAACTCTAAACGCTCTTAGATAAACAAACAGTTCGGGCTAATTTCATCTTGTATATGCGAGAGGGTATCGACCAATCTAACCACTCTATGAGAGCATTTCACAAGCATTCAAAAAGCTGTAGTGTTTCCCATCGTACAGTAAATTGTATATTCTCGAATCACTTAAATAAGGAAAAAATAAGAGGTTAAATTTTCTTTATTAAGATTTTGTCTAGTGATTCCTATTACTTCCCCTAAGGGTGGATGACCATCGTTTTGGCAACTATGTCTCTTCAGTCATGTCTATGTCTATGGCGACTATGTGGCCTCAGTTGTAGTTAAGTATTTATTTTTTCTGTCTTGCCTAAATATTTTTGTGTTTGTGTTTATTGCTTTGACAACCTCAATATAAGCAAAGATTGATATTCTTGACAAGGATCCTAGGAAGGTGACATAGTCACCAAAACGATCCGCATACACCCTTAGAGCAGGTACTAGGAATCACTAGACAATTTAATTAAATCAAGGTAATTTAACCTCTTATTCATATAGAATGTTCTAGCTAGGTAAACAGATAAAATTAACAGTCACTACTCACTTAATAGTAAAAATACTGTTTTTTTTTTTATACTGCATCTGTGAATCTCCCATTTTGTAGAAAAGCTTTTTGGTGTATGGGTACTGTGCATAAAAAACAAAGCCATTTAAAAAACAATCTTCTAAATCCATACTCAAGAAGAAATAAATCTTGAAAATCTATATATATATAAAAGGCAAAGCCCTCACTGACTGACTCACTCATCACTAATTCTCCCACTTCCCACTTACCTAGGAGGCTGAAATTTGGTACACTGATTCTTTAGGCATTAAATAGGAAAACTAAGTGGTTTTTATTCTGATCGGACTCTCGGGCTCCGCCCCAGTGGCTCTGGAGTTTCACATGTTAACCTAATGAGTACTCATATTTAAATGGAATTAATGAATCTTAACAGCTGTTTCAATTAAACAAGTTGGTTCTGTTCTATGATGTTAAATAGCATTAAAGTTACAAGGATTACCAACAGAGTGCAGCACTATTATTTTTTTTTTATATTTTACAACAGCTAATTTTAAACCAAAAGTGAGTGAGCGTAGCGAACGAACTTCAACCCGGAGGCGAGTTAGCGTAGCGAACGAGCTAACCTGAAGGCAAGTGAGCGCAGCGAACGAGCTCCAACCGTAAAGGTGAGTGAGCGTAGCGAACGAACTTCAACCGGGACGTGTGAGCGCAGCGAACGAGCTCCAACCTAAAGGTGAGTGAGCGTAGCGAACGAACTTCAACCAGGACGTGATTGAGCCATGCGAACGAGCTCACATATGAAGTTAAACGGGGCAAAGCCCGCGGGTACAGCTATTAAGTAATAAAGGACTTTTTAAAACATTTAAACATTAATTATCCTTTTCTGTAAAAATGTAATATAACAAATATATTGACATTATTATGTGGAATTTGGCAAATAGAAGAGAATAATTTGTATTTTGTTCTCCACAACCTTAACTTACTTGTTGATATTTTCCATCATCTTGAACTGGCTGCCAGCGCTGTGTATCTTCGGCACACTGTTAGGTGAAAGTTTGTTCATCAGTCGACACAGGACTTGTCCATCCCTGATGATGTCCTCGTAACGTTCCTTCGCAGGAAACTTCTCTCCCAGGACAGATTCTATCCATTCCAGAGCTTCCTTCTCCTGCTCCTGGTTACGCTTGTTGAGGATCTGAAAGTATTTTGGGTTTAATTTTGTTCAAGGAAAAGGAAAATGAAGGTTGTAAATATTGATCTTACTTCCTTACTTCCGGAGAGTTATCAATATTCTTCCTTTTTGGGAGTTTCTATGTTTAATGTTTTGTGTATGTGTGTTCCTTTATGAATTCTTTTATTGTGTAGTATGGCCTAGCGGTTAAGTATAATTTTAATTTTTTCCAATGTAGGGTGTGTTCGATTTTAAATGTTGGGGTAATTGATTATAGAACATCGATTCAGAGTATGTGGTTGTGTTGTTTTTTTAAGTCTGTGTTGTGGTATGGCAATGTTTGTTTTATTTCTGGTATTGTGGTGTTGTGCTTGTCTTAGGTTGGGTTTGGATAGGATGGTAAGGATTTTTGCTTCGCAAATATAAAGTGGGAAGACCGTCATTACGTTATGTTGAATGAAGAGGGGCATGTGATGGATTTGTTCTTCTGATCTTGTTATTGTCCTGAATGCTTTTTTCCCATATTTTTCTGCGTTGTAGATCCCCAGGCTACAATTCCGTGGCGCTGATGTGAAGCTAATAGCGAATAGGGCTCTGTATGCTATGAGGGCTGTTTCTTGGCTGGTTATATTTCTTATTCTTCTTAGGTACTTTCCTGTTAAAGGGAACATTATTATCGATGACTTCTTTTCAATATATCGATATTTTTGTTTTCTATCCGATATATTGATGGTAACAAAATTGAAACATATCAGCTGACAACTACGATAAGGATACGGTAAATAAATATTGTTCAGTGTCAACAAACAATAAAAAAAAATTATATTGAAATGAAACCGTTCTAAACTAACCTAACCAACCAAACTTGCTGTAACATTTCAAAATTCCGTATGATAGCCTATTCCATATGCCTTTTCTGTTATCAAACGGAATTTTGAAACGATAACTTAGCCTACAGCAAGTTTGGTTAGTTATGTTAAGTTAGTTTAGAATAGTTTCATTTCCTAATCCAATATAAGTTATAGGCTATCATTTTTGCCTAAACAAGGTTAGTTCTTAATTTGTAATTTAAATGTGTTTGAAGATATTAAAACAGGAGAAATACCGACCGTGAAGTAAAACAAAAATATCAATATATTGAAAAGAAATCATCGATAATAATGAATGTTTCCTTTAACAGGAAAGTACCTCTTCTTATTAAAAATATTGCTGATGCCCACAACACATGTATTTTTTAAATTTAAATGAGCTTAATACTTCGTAATTTAATACATATGAAATAATACTCAAAGACTACTAAAAATTGTGTAATAGAGAATATCACAGTTGTTTGTATTGCATTCTATAGAAATGTAGAAACCTTCTCAATTCTCACTGTACAATTTAAATGCTAGGACATTTGAACAAGGCTATTCATGAACTTTTAACTGAATTCATACGATTAAATAAATGTTAACAATCAGTTGTCAATGTTGACAGCAGGTGTTTCAGACAGAAATCAGACGACGGATGTATGTTTGACAACTTGGATTTCTTCCAAAATCACTCTGAAGTTGAGGGTTTCATCTCATCAACCACAGGACTCGTAGTAAATGACGCTTGATTTTAGCATATGTTTGAAAAATGTTGCATTAGTTGCTAAAAATACATTTCAAAGTTTTACGTAAGTGCAATAAACTTAATCATAGTGAATTACTGTATTATGTGAGGCTTGAAAACATTAACTGAATTTATTTCAAACCTTTATTAGTGAAAATTATCTGCTTATCTCTGAGTCATTATAGTGCTCATCTTCGAATCTGAAGTCTCCTAGTTTGATTCTTGTTGATTTGTCATATAGTCTATATTAGTTTATCTACAAAATTTGTACAAATGTATTAGAAGAACTGTACAGATTGAATTTATCTTCCAAAATTCTTTTAACAAGTAAAATTCCCTCTCCAAAAGAAAATTGTTGAAAAATAATGTAGTATAAATGAGTTTGGGGGATGTTCTTTTTCAGCAAGTTTTTTCTTACATATTTTTGTCCTACAAACTGTGAATGAAAATAAACTTAAAACTATTTAAATTCCATTCCAAGCAGATTTTTATTATTAGATTTATGGGTATAATATTGTTGTTTTTCCATGAATGTGTCAAAATTACTATTCATAATTAATACAAACTTGTAAATATAAGAGCAGTATAATAAGGTTAAAATGTTGAAGTGAGTAATGTTTCAACGACCAACATAGTGGAAAAATAACACAAAAGGTCGGATAACCGAGATCGAATAATCAAGACTACTGCCATGAAAATGTTCGGAGCTAAGAAGCAAAGTATTTCGTACAAGTTCAACACCAAATCACATAATTCCGCAAACAGCAAGTTTTGAAGTCTACTTTTAGCTCAAAATACTCAAACTAAATTTGGAATCATATTTTTATCCGCACGTGAAATAATGATAAGCTAAACCTCATTAACACCGTAAACACATACCTTGTTCCTAACAGCTCGTTCCAACGACATATTTCCTGCACGATGTAAACCAGTAATCCGGAGAACTCCTCCTTAACTCTGGTACTACGTCAGATCGCAACTTACATTTGAGATCTGGCAAAAATAAATGAGAAATACCGGATCCAACTGTCCGAAGTCATTTCCGACGCCTCATTTATTTTGAGACATTCTGCTGCCGTTTCCGTTTTGACTCAACGAGCGAGAACGGTTCTTCAATGCTTGTGTTGGATTGGAATTTATTTTGAGTGTAAATATTTCTGCAGCGAAGACACTTGGAGATTAATTTTTTCTTACATCATTGTGAATAAAGTGTACGTGTCGGTTAGCATGGAGAATTTACGGGAATCGAGAAAAAACAGTAGATATGTACCTAATGATATAGGAAATATTTTGTTACTTAAGGCCCTGTAGCTTGAGTCTATAATTAGGTACAATATCTTAGCACAGATGTAAAGAATATTAATCCTGCAGTTTAAATTTGGATTGCAAAATGTTTGTTATATTACTTGGTTGCAAATAATAAATCACAATTAAAGGCAATACTGTATAAGGGAAATTCTAGTGTTAACTACATTGGTTGAGATTCAAAGTTTTTTTTAATGTTTTAGGTAATTAATATTAATTTATGGATTGATGAATATTAAACATAGACAATTGAAAAATCTACAAAACGAGAGACTTTAACATAAAGTACATAAGATAACTGCAGTAAAATTAAAGCATCAACATTTGACAAAAATTATTGTTCATATATATTCTTAGAGAATAGTATAAAGCATCTAGTAATGGTGTTTGACAAAGTACTGCCATACTGTGGTGTAGGCATGTAAGTCAATATTATTTTCATGATAGAATTTCACCACTCATATTATGCCAAATTCTAAAAGAAACATGTTTAATTTATTTTTGAATCAGGATTTAACTTTTAAATCTGGTTGACATATTTTACAGTCATCCAATTCTTCACTAGTTCGCCCAATGGGTTTGAAAAATTTAGTAAGCAGAACAATTTTTGGGTTACTTTAAAATAGTCATGAAACATTCTGAATTTAGACCAGGTGTTAGAAACCAGATGTACTTAAGTTTATTTCACAACACCTTTAAACGAAGGTTGCCAAATTAGTTTAATATGTTGAGAGACAACTCGTTATAATACTATAAACTAGATTACCGAAATATACCGAGGAAACTAAAGTGTGAGAAGTGCAGGTGTGTACAGCGTCCGTTTTAGAAGGTGTAATTTAATTTTATTTACTCAGTCGAAGCTACTAATTCGAACTAAATTTAGAATTCCGAATCTTAAAAATAATGAGGACATACAGTTTACAACATGTTTTGTTAGATTATGATAATGTGCGTTTTTACTGTGAACTAAATACCAAGAACTGGAGTCGATCGCATGACAATTGTCTTATTAGAGTGGAAGCAATGCTTTTAAATTTCCAAATTATTTAACAGGAGCTATGCAAACAGCTGTTACAACTAGCTAATACAGCTGTTGTAGAAAGAAATATCTAGGTCTTCGGGTGATGGCGTAGAGGCCGACGTTTCGGATGCGTAGCAGCTATTCATCTTCAGGACAAACTACTATTCAACTAAAGAGGGTTGTGTGCGTCGTCGTAGGTTATATTGGGGTGGGTTTGGCAAATGTATGTGGAGTTTTGTAGAACGTTCAGGATTGTTGTTGTTCAGGGGGTCACTGATGATACCTGTGTTATTTTTGTTATCTCTGAAGAAATTTCTGGGCCATATTTACATGATACATAATTAATTTACTAAAAATTAGTGTCCAGGTTGGGCTGATTTCTAATCTGTGATCCCTGTTAAAATGACAGAAATTTCAATTTTTGTAAAAATAGTTAACGTTTAAAACCATTCCAGCATTTATTGTAAAAGTGTAATGTGCTTGTCCAAACCAGTCTAAATTGTATTGTGCACGTCATTGAGAGCACTGAACAAACTTTTTAAAAAAGTGTCCCATAATAGTGATTAGTAGATTTCCGGACTCTAACTGATTTACCGTTCCGTTTTGGTAAACAAAGACTTTCAGGTCCTCAAAGAGTACAAAATCCAGCTGCTTAGTGTTGTAGGGAAAAATATTTTTTTGCTCTCAGCAGGAAAAATAGCTTGCACAACCAGTGTTTGACTTCAGCTTAAACCAAGCATTACATTAAATATAGCATCTTCTATGTTTCGGATAGTTTCCCCCTCCCACATTAACTATAGCTGGCTTCTCTTGACTTGGCTGTACAACCAGCTAAGCTAAACATGACCCACTATAGATCCGAGAATAAACACAACAGAAATAAACCAGAGTGGCGAGCCAGTTGTGTGAACCAGTTTCTCAAAGTAAACATGATAAATTATGTTTTGCAGCTGCTTGTCAGTTGGCTTCAACACTTACAGATAAAACTTTAAAATAGAACCGATCAAACTAAACTGGTTTAAAAAAATAACAAAATCAAAACAGCTGTGACATTGTACATGCAGCTCTATAATAACCAAGTTTTAAACTATACTAGGTGGCGTTCGCCGAAGCATCCACAAAATTGAGCGGAGTCATCAAGGGTTCATATTATATTGTTTTTGTCATACTGAAGTAAAAACAGTCGTTTTTAAATAATTTTTAAGCTTTAAAATTTTGATTTTAAACTTTTTAATTTTTTTGCATTGCGGCTCTAAAGTATCATTTTTACTCTTTAGTGAGGAAAAATCGTTTTTAGCCTCTATGGAGTAAAAATCAGCTGTTGTCAAATCAGTTGTAAATATCTATTGAAAGTGATTGCATGTATCGAAATATGTATCGATTCGTGCTTCGTAATCATTTTAACCTACAGTCTACAGTCTCTTCCCATAGCATTTTAGCATTGCAGATACATTAATCCATTCCCACACCCAACACTGCTCACCTTTACAAATTCCTTCACCACCCCCTACGTCGTGGACCTGTTTCCCTCTCTTCCCATAGCGTTTTAGGATTGCAGATACATTAATGTAATTGCCAAAGACAGTTCCCACACTCTGCACTGCAAGCCTTACTAAATTAGCTTTTTGTTTTATGTTGCCTTGAAGTTCTTGATGTTATTAAATTCCTGATGTGCATTTCGCCACAAGAACTTCAACGCAACATAAAAACAAAAATGTAATTTATTAAAAATGTTCTTGAAACTGGGTTATATTACAAATTAAGCCTTACTACTTCCTTCACCATTTCCTACGTCATAGACCTGTTTCCTTCCCTTCTCATAGAATTTAAGAATTATATACATTTATCTAGATGCCCAAACGGTTCCCCCACTCTGCACTGCCAGCCTTTACTACTTCCTTAACCACTTCCTACGTTGTGGGGCCTGTTTCCTTCCCTTCTCATAGCATTTTAGGATTGAAGATACATTATTCTAACTGCCACAGACGGTTGTCACACTATACTCATACTTTACAACTTTCTAAGCCACTTCCTACATCGTGGACCCGCTTTCATCACTTTCCATAGCATTTTAGTATTTTAGATACGTAAATCTAATTGCCAAAAACATTGCCCACACTCCTCACTGCTATCCTTTACTACTTCTTTCGCCATTTTCTATGTCGTGGTCATGCTGCCATCCCATCTCATAGCATTTCAGCATTGCAGATACATTAATCGAACTGCCACAAACGGTTTCCAGTTCCCACACTCCACACTGCTCACCTTACTACTTCCTTCACCTCTTCTTACGTCGCGGACCTGCTTCCCTCTCTTCCCATAGAATTTTAAGATTGTAGATACCTTAATCTAATCGTCATAAACAGTTCCCAGACTCCAGACAGCTTGCCTTGACTACTTCCTTCACCACTTCCTACGTCTCAGACCTGTTTCCCTCCCTTCCTTTAGCATTATTGGATTGAAAATACCCTAATCTATTGGTCATAAATAGTTTCCACACTCCGGACAGGTCGCTTTGACTACTTCCTTCACCACTTCCTACGTCACCGACCTGTTTCCCTCCCTTTCCAATAGCATTTTTTGATTGTAGATACCTTAATCTAATCGTCATAAACAGTTTCCACACTCCGGACAGGTCGCTTTGACTACTTCCTTCACTACTTCCTACGTCGCGGACCTGTTTTCCTCCCTTCCAATAAAATTTTAGGATTGCAAATACCTTAATCTTATGGCCATAAACATATCCCATACCCCGAACAGCTCGCCTTTACTACTTCCTTCACCACTTCCTACGTCGTACCTGTTTCCTTCCCTTCCAATAGCATTTTAGGATTGCAGATACCTTAATCTAATAGTCATAAACAGTTCCCACACTCCGGACAGCTCGCCTTGACTACTTCCTTCACCACTTCCTACGTCACCGACCTGTTTTCCTCCCTCCCCATAGAATTTTAGGAATGCAGATACCTTAATCTAATCGTCATAAAGAGTTTCCACACTCCGCACAGCTCGCCTTGACTACTTCCTTCACCACTTTCTACGTTGCGTACCTGTTTCCTTCCCTTCCAATAGCATTTTAGGATTGTAGATACCTTAATCTAATAGTCATAAACAGTTCCCACACTCCGGACAGCTCGCCTTGACTACTTCCTTCACCACTTCTTACGTCGCGGACCCGTTTTCCTCCCTTCCCAAAGAATTTTAGGAATGCAGATACCTAAATCTAATCGTCATAAACAGTTTCCACACTCCAGACTGCTCACCTTTACTACTTCCTTCGCCACTTCCTACGTCACGGACCTCAAGCTAGTGTCGTCATTTGATTATATTTTTAATCCATACCGTTTCTGTTCTAATATCTGTGGAATAATCCTAACAGCTATTTCTTTATCTACTGCATTTAAAAGTCAACAGCTGATCATAGGCCTATGTCTTTGTTTATGTGTCAAATACTGCTTCCATCAGGATTACATTGAAACTTTGAGACCCAGTGGGGCGGATTCCTGTGAGACTTTTTTAACGCCATATAGATGTTGGCACTCACCGATATGGTCTTTATCACCATGCAAAATTTGAAAACGATTGATTCAGCCATCTAGGAGGAGTTTGCGTATTACGAAATGCATAAGAGTCGACGTATAAGAGCTTCGCTCGCTCCGCTCAACTAATATTGTAAACATTTATCTTTTTATGTACCTAACAGTTACTTTTTACGAAACCAGTTATTATAATGGTGAAAAAACATAGAACATACTAAAAATTCCTAATAAAAACTAAATAATTAAAAATTAAAATAAATAATCAAATTAAAGTTTGATGAACACAATAAAATTTAAAACTCTGTTGACAAAATGTAGGTTAAGGGGAAGAATTCTATCCCCTCTACTTGATCAAACTTTTAAAACAATGGCTGGACGGCTGAGGTTTGCCAAAAAGTTAATCAGCTGAATCATATACATTAAGGGAAAATATGTGGTAGGGGAACTTCTCCTGAAACCGCCAAAATTTTGTGAACGGAGTATAGTACAGAAAATAAAATGAAACTAAATAACTAAGCATAGAAATACTACAAACAAGCTATTTTCAATAGTACTCTTTAGATCTTAGATCTGAGAAAATTTACAAAACCTATTTATTAGGAATTGTTCTGAGGAACACGTTTCCAACATAAACTCGGCTGGTTTACTGACTCGAAGTTTCCAATGAATCATGTATAGATCTATTTCTGCTTGCTCTATAACGCACATTCATCGCACATGCTGCAGTTGTGGTTTATACTTAAGTCTATTTTTAACCATTCAGTGCAAACAGCTGATTGCTTTCTTTGTGCATTTACAGTTGGAAATGTTGATTAATAAACATGATCAATGAGTGAAAAAGTACATTTTTAGAAACTTGTTTGTCCTAAATTATTTTAATATGTTTAACTGTTTCAGTAACAAAAATATCAACATACTGTGTTTTGCCACAAACAGTACTGAGAAAGATACATATTGTTTTCATGATTTTTTCTGACCCAAGAAGTCACAAGGAGTAATAAATTTACGTTAGATAATTTTTACTCAGTTTAAATATACTTATATGTTAGTTCCAGAAAGTTTCAACCATAACAGATTTTATTAAATTTATCCTCAAAACATTTTAAACTCTATTCAATCTATTGGAAACAATCTGAATTTTTTTTCAAGTCTATTATCAAACCATCTATAATTCCAGCCTATAAGCTGATCAGTTGACAATTTTAATTGTTGATCCGACTTGTTCCTTTTGATAGTCACGTATAGTTAGCCTAAGTTGGTGGAAGTTAAAGGAAGGTAGATTAAACTGATTTAAAAATGTCAGTTAGTAAAAGTGTAAAGTTGACGATATGGAAATTGAAATGATGGAAATGATGAAGTTGACGAGAGCACAAACTGTTTGTGCTAATCTTTTGCCACCAAAATCGAAACACAGGTATGAAATTACATACCAGCAATTCATAATAAATAAGGTTAATAATTCAAAATAAGGTAAAATATAAAATGAAAATGTGCTTCTGGTTTATTTTGAAAACCTCTTAACCACTTTTTCACCCAACTCGTTGTGGACCACTTATCCGATGCTGAAATCTAACTGTCAATTAACTGGTTCACTATATTATTCAGTTGTCAAAAAAAATATGCAATATTTCCCTAATTGTATCTGATACAGTATTTATGGTAAGAATACTGCTAGCAGAACCTATTCCCTGAAAAAGTAACGTATTATTTAACAAAGTTTAACACTAATACCGAAACCCCGGTCTGACAGGCCCACGGGAATTTTCAAAAACGCATGTTGGCAACTCTGTTTACTTGGTAGATTCCATTCCCCCAATACCTTCCCCTCTTTTCCTCCCCTACCTATTGATATATCATTTGTTCATTTTGCATGGGTGCCGTAACCTTGACAGGTCGTCTGTTCATAACATGTCCGTCTCAGAAGCCCAGCGTTAGTGTATTTTAAAGCGGGGTCTCACAGACCGAGGGTTTCGGTTTGTGTGTTTCTAAGCGGGGTCCATTATTTTTCAAATGGGGTCTCACAGACCGGGGGTTTCGGTTAACGTCAGCCTAGGTGGGGTTTCGGTATTAGTGTTAACAAACACGTAATTACATGAAATCAGCTGATTATACAATAATTCGTTGCATCACTTTCAGTGGCAATGACAATAAACCAAAACATAACCTCTCTAAGAAGTTATGAGTAGTGATTGTTAGTAATTAAAAACCAGATTGTTAGTAATTAAAAACGGTCGTAGGTAAAGTAGTGTAGCAACTCGCTTTAATAGTCTTTACAACACTTGTAGAAGATTTTAAGGCACTCGCCTTCTACTCGTGTCGTAAAGACTAAGTTAACGCAATCGTTACGTAAACTACTATAACGAATGGTCTACCTACAGGTCTATGCAATTGCTGAACCTTATACAATTCCACTCAAACTATCTAAACATAGAACCACTTAAATTTGTATAAAATTTAATATATCCGAACCAAATCAAATTCAATCCTATTGAGTGAGTCAGTTACACTAAATTTATAAGTAAAGAGTGAATTAGCCAACTATCTACCGACCACGAGAGTTTGGGGCGTTCAATAAAACATTAAAAAAATTAGATGCTTAATATAATACAAAATTATATTTATCACTTTACATTCATGCTTACAATTTACAGGTAACAATAAGCTTAAATATATTAAAGCTTGTGTTTTAAAAGAGGACGTTGAATAATATGTTAAAGGAAAAAATATATTTTATATACTGTACATACAAACATGTATTCACTATTATAAATATAATTTGGTTAAAATGCAGTCAACAAAAACGGCTTGTAAAACTAACATACACTTTCCAGCAACTTCAAACCTAGATAAATTATTTTCTTAAATACAAATAAATATGAAAAAATATTATTATTCTTTTGCAAGTTAAAATAAGATTTTCTGATACTGTTTGTAACTTTGTGATCCAAACACGTCCACACGAATACACCATAACAATATATTTTAAAGCTAAAATATTTCATAAAAAAATTCAAAAAAACACAACATTCGAAGCACATTCTGAATTTTTCTCTTTTTGAAATGTCCTTCGATAGTTATGCAGTTTCTTTGTTAACCATACTTTATATCACAGATATGAATAGATAACGTTATATATTTATGTCATGATTGGAGTCATCAGTAGGGTGTCTTTCAACACGGCCATTCCTCTATGAAGACAACAAACTCTGGGGAAACCACTGTTGAAAAGCAGTCTGGAGAACTGAAACAGAATATAATGAAAAATTTAAACATAAATAAATAATTGAAATGTAATCTTTCCCTGACTTAGCAAAAGAAAATTATTAAATTAGTATATTTCATCACAAGGATCTAAAGTGACTCTTTTTACTCCAAAAATATCTAAAAAATAGTAATAATAAGATTGACAAAATTAAACAAATATTATGTTTATCCTTATTATTTTTTGTACACCAGCTTAGCATTGGTTGGTAAAAATTAATGTTTATGTGTGTGTGTTTTTACGTCAATGGCATTTATTAAGTTTTCAAAGGGAAAAGTAATTAAGAGTAAATTTGGGACCTAATGATGAAATACTATTTGAACCTCTTTTTAACATTGAAATAAACTACTTAAATCAACCTTTTTATGGATGCAACTTTGATAAAATATTAAAACAAAACTATAATAATGCTGTCTCTGTTAGTGCCCTCTACAGGGCACTGTGCACTGCCTGAGAAATTCTTCAATGGAGGAAAATTTTCTTCATTGTTTGTTATATTTATTTTTAGTGGAAGGTGCATACATAAGCTACCAGCTCTTTTTTGTTGGAAATTGTTTTTACTAGATATGGGTCGATTCCAAAAATTTTTGATACCGATTCTTTTGAAATTGATTCTTGATTCCGATTCCATCAATTTAAAAATTAAAAAGTTATAAACCCTTTTAAACATATCATTGTCTTGACCGTGGAAAAATCATGAACATCTCCTGTGGTCGTGTAGACATTATTATGAACCTCTCCCGGGGTCACGCAATCTTTATTGTAGTCTTGCGCGATTGCAGCAACTGCGGTAGTTTCCCGATTGCGCGATGTATGCAGCCGAGTCGGGAATCAGTATCGGAATCGACTTTCAGCAGTCGATTCTCGACTCCCATTCCAATACCAAGAATCTGTGAAATCAAGAATCGACTTTTGGAATCAACCTATCCTTAGTTTTAACACTGTATTGAGACACTATCACCTAAGTAAGTTACTGACTTCATACAACTATTTTCAACCAGACCCAGAATTCAGCACATACCGTGGTAGCATCACTCATGGTGTCTCCTCCCACCACAATGATCTTCCCCTTGTTGCTACACAGCAGACTCAGTTCAGGACTCTCAGGAACAGCCAGACTGATGGAGCTGTCACTTGCAAGATCATAACACTTACCTTGGTAGCATCAGTCATGGTGTCTCCTCCCACCACAATGATCTTCCCCTTGTTGCTACACAGCAGACTCAGTTCAGGACTCTCAGGGACTGCCAGACTGATGGAGCTGTCACTTGCAAGACCATAACACATACCTTGGTAGCATCAGTCATGGTGTCTCCTCCCACCACAATGATCTTCCCCTTGTTGCTACACAGCAGACTCAGTTCAGGACTCTCAGGGACTGCCAGACTGATGGAGCTGTCACTTGCAAGACCATAACACATACCTTGGTAGCATCAGTCATGGTGTCTCCTCCCACCACAATGATCTTCCCCTTGTTGCTACACAGCAGACTCAGTTCAGGACTCTCAGGAACTGCCAGACTGATGGAACTGTCACTTGCAAGATCATGACACTTACCTTGGTAGCATCAGTCATGGTGTCTCCTCCAACCACAATGATCTTCCCCTTGTTGCTACACAGTAGACTCAGTTCAGGACTCTCAGGGACTGCCAGACTAATGGAGCTGTCACTTGCAAGATCATAACACTTACCTTGGTAGCATCAGTCATGGTGTCTCCTCCCACCACAATGATCTTCCCCTTGTTGCTACACAGCACTCAGTTCAGGACTCTCAGGGACTGCCAGACTGATGGAGCTGTCACTTGCAAGATCATGACACTTACCTTGGTAGCATCAGTCATGGTGTCTCCTCCCACCACAATGATCTTCCCCTTGTTGCTACACAGTAGACTCAGTTCAGGACTCTCAGGGACTGCCAGACTGATGGAGCTGTCACTTGCAAGATCATAACACTTACCTTGGTAGCATCAGTCATGGTGTCTCCTCCCACCACAATGATCTTCCCCTTGTTGCTACACAGCAGACTCAGTTCAGGACTCTCAGGGACTGCCAGACTGATGGAGCTGTCACTTGCAAGATCATGACACTTACCTTGGTAGCATCAGTCATGGTGTCTCCTCCCACCACAATGATCTTCCCCTTGTTGCTACACAGCAGACTCAGTTCAGGACTTTCAGGGACTGCCAGACTGATGGAGCTGTCACTTGCAAGATCATAACACTTACCTTGGTAGCATCAGTCATGGTGTCTCCTCCCACCACAATGATCTTCCCCTTGTTGCTACACAGCAGACTCAGTTCAGGACTCTCAGGTACTGCCAGGCTGATGGAGCTGTCACTTGCAAGATGATAACACTTACCTTGGTAGCATCAGTCATGGTGTCTCCTCCCACCACAATGATCTTCCCCTTGTTGCTACACAGTAGACTTAGTTCAGGACTCTCAGGGACTGCCAGACTGATGGAGCTGTCACTTGCAAGATCATAACACTTACCTTGGTAGCATCAGTCATGGTGTCTCCTCCCACCACGATGATCTTCCCCTTGTTGCTACACAGCAGACTCAGTTCAGGACTTTCAGGGACTGCCAGACTGATGGAGCTGTCACTTGCAAGATCATAACACTTACCTTGGTAGCATCAGTCATGGTGTCTCCTCCCACCACAATGATCTTCCCCTTGTTGCTACACAGCAGACTCAGTTCAGGACTCTCAGGGACTGCCAGACTGATGGAGCTGTCACTTGCAAGATGATAACACTTACCTTGGTAGCATCAGTCATGGTGTCTCCTCCCACCACAATGATCTTCCCCTTGTTGCTACACAGTAGACTCAGTTCAGGACTCTCAGGGACTGCCAGACTGATGGAGCTGTCACTTGCAAGATCATAACACTTAGCCTACCTTGGTAGCATCAGTCATGGTGTCTCCTCCCACCACAATGATCTTCCCCTTGTTGCTACACAGCAGACTTAGTTCAGGACTCTCAGGGACTGCCAGACTGATGGAGCTGTCACTTGCAAGATCATAACACTTACCTTGGTAGCATCAGTCATGGTGTCTCCTCCCACCACAATGATCTTCCCCTTGTTGCTACACAGCAGACTCAGTTCAGGACTCTCAGGGACTGCCAGACTGATGGAGCTGTCACTTGCAAGATCATAACACTTACCTTGGTAGCATCAGTCATGGTGTCTCTCCCACCATAATGATCTTCCCCTTGTTGCTACACAGTAGACTCAGTTCAGGACTCTCAGGGACTGCTAGACTGATGGAGCTGTCACTTGCAAGTTCATAACACTTACCTTGGTAGCATCAGTCATGGTATCTCCTCCCACCACAATGATCTTCCCCTTAGATTATAAAAGGTATAATGTTACCTGGATCTGCCAAAGTAATCCAAATTGCTGTCTGTCGAGACTACGCGTTTCGAAGCATTAATAGCTTCATCATCAGGTCTTCAAGAACACTTATCACTCATCAGAGGTCATCAAATAAATATAATTTTTACAAACATACATACGAGTAGGCCTACGAACCGCGTGCGCGCACTTAGACAGGTTTGTCATGACTGCAGCGGTGAAGGTTGGTGTCGTGAACTTTGTCCCTTGCCGGTTAGCTATTAGCTGTTCCTGGTTAGCTATTACAGTATCATACAATGCATTTGACTGGAAATTTAGTTTGTCGTTTAATAGATCATAACTATGGCTTTTTGTTGCTTTGTATATCTCGTATTCTTCTATGGCGTTCATGAAGCTTCCTTTTGTGCAAAAATGTAGGGGTGTCATGTTTGTTTCGAAATTTGTATAGTTATGATTTTCATTAATCAGATGGGCTGCATAATTGGATTTTAAATGATTTTTTGCTTTTGGAAGGTGTTCTTTGAATCTGGTTTTGAAAGCACGGCCGGTTTGTCCTATATAAAAACTATTGCAATCATTTTTGCACAAAAGGAAGCTTCATGAACGCCATAGAAGAATACGAGATATACAAAGCAACAAAAAGCCATAGTTATGATCTATTAAACGACAAACTAAATTTCCAGTCAAATGCATTGTATGATACTGTAATAGCTAACCAGGAACAGCTGACCGGCAAGGGACAAAGTTCACGACACCAACCTTCACCGCTGCAGTCATGACAAACCTGTATAAGTGCGCGCACACGGTTCGTAGGCCGACTCGTATGTATGTTTGTAAAAATTATATTTATTTGACGACCTCTGATGAGTGATAAGTGTTCTTGAAGACCTGATGATGAAGCTATTAATGCTTCGAAACGCGTAGTCTCGACAGACAGCAATTTGGATTACTTTGGCAGATCCAGGTAACATTATACCTTTTATAATCTAAAAACAGTAATCCTGAGACAAGAAACAACATGAAATCTTCCCCTTGTTGCTACACAGCAGACTCAGTTCAGGACTCTCAGGGACTGCCAGACTGATGGAGCTGTCACTTGCAAGATCATAACACTTACCTTGGTAGCATCAGTCATGGTGTCTCCTCCAACCACAATGATCTTCCCCTTGTTGCTACACAGCAGACTCAGTTCAGGACTCTCAGGGACTGCCAGACTGATGGAGCTGTCACTTGCAAGATCATAACACTTACCTTGGTAGCATTAGTCATGGTGTCTCCTCCAACCACAATGATCTTCCCCTTGTTGCTACACAGCAGACTCAGTTCAGGACTCTCAGGGACTGCCAGACTGATGGAGTTGTCACTTGCAAGATCATAACACTTACCTTGGTAGCATCAGTCATGGTGTCTCCTCCCACCACAATGATCTTCCCCTTGTTGCTACACAGTAGACTCAGTTCAGGACTCTCAGGGACTGCCAGACTGATGGAGTTGTCACTTGCAAGATCATAACACTTACCTTGGTAGCATCAGTCATGGTGTCTCCTCCAACCACAATGATCTTCCCCTTGTTGCTACACAGCAGACTCAGTTCAGGACTCTCAGGGACTGCCAGACTGATGGAGCTGTCACTTGCAAGATCATAACACTTACCTTGGTAGCATTAGTCATGGTGTCTCCTCCAACCACAATGATCTTCCCCTTGTTGCTACACAGCAGACTCAGTTCAGGACTCTCAGGGACTGCCAGACTGATGGAGTTGTCACTTGCAAGATCATAACACTTACCTTGGTAGCATCAGTCATGGTGTCTCCTCCCACCACAATGATCTTCCCCTTGTTGCTACACAGTAGACTCAGTTCAGGACTCTCAGGGACTGCCAGACTGATGGAGTTGTCACTTGCAAGATCATAACACTTACCTTGGTAGCATCAGTCATGGTGTCTCCTCCCACCACAATGATCTTCCCCTTGTTGCTACACAGTAGACTCAGTTCAGGACTCTCAGACTGATGGAGCTGTCATTTGCAAGATCATAACACTTACCTTGGTAGCATCAGTCATGGTGTCTCCTCCCACCACAATGATCTTCCCCTTGTTGCTACACAGTAGACTCAGTTCAGGACTCTCAGACTGATGGAGCTGTCATTTGCAAGATCATAACACTTACCTTGGTAGCATCAGTAATGGTGTCTCCTGCCACCACAATGATCTTCCCCTTGTTGCTACACAGTAGACTCAGTTCAGGACTCTCAGGTACTGCCAGACTGATGGAGCTGTCACTTGCAAGATCATAACACTTACCTTGGTAGCATCAGTCATGGTGTCTCCTCCCACCACAATGATCTTCCCCTTGTTGCTACACAGTAGACTTAGTTCAGGACTCTCAGGGACTGCCAGACTGATGGAGCTGTCACTTGCAAGATCATAACACTTACCTTGGTAGCATCAGTCATGGTGTCTCCTCCCACCACAATGATCTTCCCCTTGTTGCTACACAGCAGACTCAGTTCAGGACTCTCAGGGACTGCCAGATTGATGGAGCTGTCACTTGCAAGATCATAACACTTACCTTGGTAGCATCAGTCATGGTGTCTCCTCCCACCACAATGATCTTCCCCTTGTTGCTACACAGCAGACTCAGTTCAGGACTCTCAGGGACTGCCAGACTGATGGAGCTGTCACTTGCAAGATCATAACACTTACCTTGGTAGCATCAGTCATGGTGTCTCCTCCCACCACAATGATCTTCCCCTTGTTGCTACACAGCAGACTCAGTTCAGGACTTTCAGGAACTGCCAGACTGATAGAGCTGTCACTTGCCAGATCTACTGTAGAAAGTGGAATGTTGACACTCCCTGGGATTGCTCCTTCACTGTAGCTAAGACACTGTTGAGGAATATTGCGGTTGTGATATTTTTCAATACAACAAAAAAACCAACAAATTTTGCAATAAGAAAGTAGAGCTATCAAAAGGAAATTATTGAATATGTCATCCCTAATCCAAAACCATTCACCAAAGCCAAAGAAAGATTATTTATCTTCCCCCATTTGAACTTCCAATGACTAAAAATACCAAATATGTGTACGAAACCAATTAAATAGCCAACCCATCACCATTCAACTCATTCATAGACACATAGACTATATGTCATCCCTAATCCAATACCCTTCACCAAAGCCAAAGAAAGATTATTTATCTTCCCCCATTTGAACTTCCAATGACTAAAAATACCAAATATGTGTACAAAACCAATTAAATAGCCAACCCATCACCATTCAACTCATTCATAGACACATAGACTATATGTCATCCCTAATCCAATACCCTTCACCAAAGCCAAAGAAAGATTATTTATCTTCCCCCATTTGAACTTCCAATGACTAAAAATACCAAATATGTGTACGAAACCAATTAAATAGCCAACCCATCACCATTCAACTCATTCATAGACACATAGACTATATGTCATCCCTAATCCAATACCCTTCACCAAAGCCAAAGAAAGATTATTTGTCTTCCCCCATTTGAACTGCCAATGATTAAAGTACCAAAAATGTGTACAAAACCAATTAAATAGCCAACCCATCATCATTCAACCCATTTATAGACGCATAGACAACTTAAGTGGCTCTCATACTTGATCTGTGTATTTCAGCCACCACAGACACTCTAAACTGTAAAGGATACTCTTCTCTCCTTCTGATGTCAACTACAAACACCTTTGGCCTTGAGAACTTTGTGCTTAGAAGCTCTATGAGGTCGGCTCCACTGATGCGAGGCGAGACTTCTGACTGAAGCTCAGCTAGAGTCACTCCAGTCAGTTCCTAGGAAAAACAAAAAACAATACAATTCTTTCTTCTTATTTAAAAAAGAGGCCTCTTTTCCCTTCATCTGCCCATCCATATGGGACACAGAGGCTTGGGGTGAGCAAGGGGTGATCCGGTGCATACAAGGGGTGAGCCGGTGCATACAAGGGTGAAGTGTAGGCCTACTGATAAAAAGTAGTAACAGGTACTGGGATCCGAACCAATACATCGCTGCCTTAAAAATGAAGTCTGTGGCAGTACCAACTGAGCCACCAACTCACTGACATTTTTACCATTGTTTTTTATTTTTTACTTATCATTTGTTGAAAAGCCATACTTTTGCAGTCCTCTTAAAGGAAGTATCTTCATGATCGATACTCAAACATTTTGGCACACTATAAACCACAAGAATTTATGAGCATGAAGAGAATAAAGAGGAATATGTGTCAACAAACACATTATATTTGACTGCTATAGAAGGCAAAAAAGTAAAATTTTACCTTGTCTATGAAAAATGCAAGAAACAATAGTATTGATATTCACCAGTTCAGTGTTGGCAGATTTGTTAGTGTTCTGTAGCTCGTGTTCTCTATGAGTCACACTACGAGGCGTGCTGCAGTAAAGCTCTATACAGTCAGTCACACAGCGTTCTATGTCCACCTCTGTAAAAAGTTCAGGTATTTTTGTTGATGTGATAAGAGAGTGTACAATGAAGTAATCTATCTATCTATCTATCTATCTATCTATCTATCTATCTATCTATCTATCTATCTATCTATCTATCTATCTATCTATCTATCTATCTATCTATCTATCTATCTATCTATCTATCTATCTATCTATCTATCTATCTATCTATCTATCTATCTATCTATCTATCTATCTATCTATCTATCTATCTATCTATCTATCTATCTATCTATCTATCTATCTATCTATCTATCTATCTATCTATCTATCTATCTATCTATCTATCTATCTATCTATCTATCTATCTATCTATCTATCTATCTATCTATCTATCTATCTATCTATCTATCTATCTATCTATCTATCTATCTATCTATCTATCTATCTATCTATCTATCTATCTATCTATCTATCTATCTATCTATCTATCTATCTATCTATCTATCTATCTATCTATCTATCTATCTATCTATCTATCTATCTATCTATCTATCTATCTATCTATCTATCTATCTATCTATCTATCTATCTATCTATCTATCTATCTATCTATCTATCTATCTATCTATCTATCTATCTATCTATCTATCTATCTATCTATCTATCTATCTATCTATCTATCTATCTATCTATCTATCTATCTATCTATCTATCTATCTATCTATCTATCTATCTATCTATCTATCTATCTATCTATCTATCTATCTATCTATCTATCTATCTATCTATCTATCTATCTATCTATCTATCTATCTATCTATCTATCTATCTATCTATCTATCTATCTATCTATCTATCTATCTATCTATCTATCTATCTATCTATCTATCTATCTATCTATCTATCTATCTATCTATCTATCTATCTATCTATCTATCTATCTATCTATCTATCTATCTATCTATCTATCTATCTATCTATCTATCTATCTATCTATCTATCTATCTATCTATCTATCTATCTATCTATCTATCTATCTATCTATCTATCTATCTATCTATCTATCTATCTATCTATCTATCTATCTATCTATCTATCTATCTATCTATCTATCTATCTATCTATCTATCTATCTATCTATCTATCTATCTATCTATCTATCTATCTATCTATCTATCTATCTATCTATCTATCTATCTATCTATCTATCTATCTATCTATCTATCTATCTATCTATCTATCTATCTATCTATCTATCTATCTATCTATCTATCTATCTATCTATCTATCTATCTATCTATCTATCTATCTATCTATCTATCTATCTATCTATCTATCTATCTATCTATCTATCTATCTATCTATCTATCTATCTATCTATCTATCTATCTATCTATCTATCTATCTATCTATCTATCTATCTATCTATCTATCTATCTATCTATCTATCTATCTATCTATCTATCTATCTATCTATCTATCTATCTATCTATCTATCTATCTATCTATCTATCTATCTATCTATCTATCTATCTATCTATCTATCTATCTATCTATCTATCTATCTATCTATCTATCTATCTATCTATCTATCTATCTATCTATCTATCTATCTATCTATCTATCTATCTATCTATCTATCTATCTATCTATCTATCTATCTATCTATCTATCTATCTATCTATCTATCTATCTATCTATCTATCTATCTATCTATCTATCTATCTATCTATCTATCTATCTATCTATCTATCTATCTATCTATCTATCTATCTATCTATCTATCTATCTATCTATCTATCTATCTATCTATCTATCTATCTATCTATCTATCTATCTATCTATCTATCTATCTATCTATCTATCTATCTATCTATCTATCTATCTATCTATCTATCTATCTATCTATCTATCTATCTATCTATCTATCTATCTATCTATCTATCTATCTATCTATCTATCTATCTATCTATCTATCTATCTATCTATCTATCTATCTATCTATCTATCTATCTATCTATCTATCTATCTATCTATCTATCTATCTATCTATCTATCTATCTATCTATCTATCTATCTATCTATCTATCTATCTATCTATCTATCTATCTATCTATCTATCTATCTATCTATCTATCTATCTATCTATCTATCTATCTATCTATCTATCTATCTATCTATCTATCTATCTATCTATCTATCTATCTATCTATCTATCTATCTATCTATCTATCTATCTATCTATCTATCTATCTATCTATCTATCTATCTATCTATCTATCTATCTATCTATCTATCTATCTATCTATCTATCTATCTATCTATCTATCTATCTATCTATCTATCTATCTATCTATCTATCTATCTATCTATCTATCTATCTATCTATCTATCTATCTATCTATCTATCTATCTATCTATCTATCTATCTATCTATCTATCTATCTATCTATCTATCTATCTATCTATCTATCTATCTATCTATCTATCTATCTATCTATCTATCTATCTATCTATCTATCTATCTATCTATCTATCTATCTATCTATCTATCTATCTATCTATCTATCTATCTATCTATCTATCTATCTATCTATCTATCTATCTATCTATCTATCTATCTATCTATCTATCTATCTATCTATCTATCTATCTATCTATCTATCTATCTATCTATCTATCTATCTATCTATCTATCTATCTATCTATCTATCTATCTATCTATCTATCTATCTATCTATCTATCTATCTATCTATCTATCTATCTATCTATCTATCTATCTATCTATCTATCTATCTATCTATCTATCTATCTATCTATCTATCTATCTATCTATCTATCTATCTATCTATCTATCTATCTATCTATCTATCTATCTATCTATCTATCTATCTATCTATCTATCTATCTATCTATCTATCTATACTATTATAAAGAAGAGGTGGTGTCTGTGTGTGTGTATGTTTGTATGAGGTAATCTCAAAAACTACTGAACCGACTGGGCTCAAATTGCACACAAATGAAGCTACAGCTCCGAGGATACATATAGAACTATTCCCGCTTCGATATTGTCCTAGGGCTCTGCCCCGTGGGCTTTCAAAAATTTGAGGTGAGAGATTTAAAAGTAAATATTGATTGATGGTATCCATGGTAACAAAGAACAAACCTACAAAGTTTAAAAATGTAAACAAGCAGAACTAACTGTCAAATGAATTTTGATTTCACAATTCCACACAGCTGGTTCAAACATATTAAATACTACACGAATATTAGAACAGAGAGGGTAAGGATTATAAATTTAAAATAATTATGTCACTAAGCCCGAATGTAAACATTATTTAACATTACTTAAATGGAGCTGTCAAACCATATGTTAATGTAATTTCATTAGTGTATGATTCTTTCAGTTACTTCATTTGTTTATGTTTATGATCTATTATACTGAGTCTGTTCTAATATTTGTGAAATGCTGTAATAATATTTTACAGGGAATAAATCTTTGTAAATAAATTGTTCATGGAAATAGGAAACAATTAAGATTCTATAATCAGAAAGTTTTGGATGTACGGATGTATAGATGTATGGATGGATGTTTGTGACAAGTAAACGCGAAAAATACTAAACCGACAAGGTTGAAATTTAGTATGATGATAGCTGACATTCCCGATTAACATATAGACATATTATTCTTACCTCAAAAATCCTTTCAGGCTCCGCCCCAGTGGCTCTGGCTCTGGAGTTTCTCATGTAAACCTTATGAGTATTCATATTTAAAGAAATTAAAGAATTTTGTCAGCCGTTTCAACTTTACAAGTTGGTTCTATGATATTAAATAGCATTAAAAAGGTATAAGGCTTACCAACAGGGTGCAGCACTATTATGTTTTTTGCATTTATGACCAGAGCTAATTTTAACCAACTAGCAACAAAAAGTTGTGAGAACTTAACTTTTTTTCATGGTTTAGGTGCAGTGGTAGAATATTAGGGCTATGGTAGATACTATAGGACACTACATGATACTATATAATACCGTTTAAATTAAAAGACCAAATTTTAATAAACCGTGCCCTCTCCCATAACTAAAAGCATTTATACTTATATGCCAACCCCGTACGAAGGACGGGTACTCTGCTAGTTGTAAAAAAGACTTCTTTAAAGAGAATATTGAAGAGAAAATGCAATAAGGATGAAATACCAGTGTTATGTTTTGTGACGTTTTATTGTATATCCATTATCCCTTTGATTCTAATTTAATAAGGTAACCTGGCTGAACTCATAATTTTTCAAAATTTGCTTAATCCCTTACTTGGTTTTCCTTTAAACTGTAATCTCAAAAGCATTTGTGATCCTTCCAAGCAAAATTGCACTTGCTCAGACACTGACAAAGGGGAAAAAGCTTAAACTACTATAAATATCTAACCTGGCAGATCGGAGAAGAGCAGGATGCACTCGTTGAAGCCGGATGACAGCAGAGTATCCCTGAGCTGTTGCAGGATTGCCAACCCAACATAAAGAGGAAACGAGGCGTCTCCCAGAAGCAGCTTGTCCCACAGGTGGAAGATTTTGTGTAGCGGAAACACATCTGGAGAAATGAAGACAAAATAAGTCAACATATTAACTCTTTGAACCTCGAGGATTATTCAGTGATTCAATCATGTTTGTTTTAAAGAGCTGGATTTGACTCTGATTAGATTAATGTTTTTGTAAACCGTTACTGTTCAACTTTACTCTTCCTTATAACATCTTCAAAAGACACAAGCCACTAGTATATTGTATTCAGTGGTTATCCAATGAAGAGACTGCAATTGTTTCTGGTCTAGATCATGATGTTTGGGTGATGAAGGATGCCAGAGATTTTTCAGAAATGTTATAGTCGTCCAGCATCATGATTACGTAATCACATATCACACTGACTGAAGAGGTAAACCGTTGTAGATTAAGATTAGTCTTTGAGTTTTGTGGGATTTCCTTGAGCATCCCAAATTGGCAGTTATATTTTACGAGCTTGGAAACAACTGATATTTAAAGGTTGAGGAATTACATAAATATAGTTAGTAACTAAAATTCTAGATAACAGTTTGTTTCCTCTAGCCCAGCATCGTTTGTACTTAATTCAGGCTAGGCCTAAAGGTTGTGCAGAATCATCACTAACATAAAATCCATCGGTGATCAGTTGGATTTGAACCCAAGACCTCGGGGTCTGAGGTCCCGTGCTCTACCACTATACCAGCTCGCTCCTTATCTATTAAGTAAAAGTAAAACAGTTACGGTATTGGGGAGTTCACACTTTTAAAAACATCTCAAACAAGCTAAATATTTATCTAAAACAAATTTTGTCCACACAACAATTTTTGAAAGTGTGTAAAAACTTACGAGAAAACATAGTGAGAAACCATGGAATAGCAAAGAGTTCCGGGATGAAGTTGATCTCCTGGAGATGTTTGGAGAGGACAGGGTCGTGGAATGTGATGAGTTGAGAAAACTTGAGGAGATACTCGCGTATCACAGCTGAGTTGTCTTTGAGGAAGAAATTGTGGAGATACTTTGGAATGAAAGCAGACAGACAGACGTACGCTCGAGCTGAAACAATGAAAGAGTATTAGTGAATTTTCACCAAGTAGCCTTATAAATTACCAGTTTCTCTAACAGCTCTTACTTGTCTTCTGTATGAAATAAATAAATATATAGGATGAAGAGGACACAGCTAACTCACCTGATGAAAGGTTGCAGAAGAGTCAAAGAACACATAAAATCACACACGTAATAATAGGGTACTTAATATTTCGCCTCTTTCAGAGGCTTCTTCAGAAGTAGGCCTAGATGGTAGTTACAAGAACAACAGTTTAAAATAGATTCTAAACTGTTGTTCTTGTAACTACCATCTAGGCCTACTTCTGAAGAAGCCTCTGAAAGAGGCGAAATATTAAGTATTATTATGTGTGTGATTTCTTTGACTCTTCTGCAACCTTTCATCAGGTGAGTTAGCTGTGTCCTCTCCATCCTATATATTTATTTAATCTAAGCTAAATGCTTTTTCCTAAAAACATTGTCTTCTGTATGTTGATTTAGAGCAAGGGCTATACTAGAAAAACAGGCCATGCTGCAGGATCCATGACGTCACACTAGTAGATAGATTTTTTGGTAGATTAACTGCCATATCCCATTTGTTTTAGGTAAATAAGCTGGCTGTGTGTCAGATTTTAATGGTAAGACTTTAGTACAACTATCCACCACTGTTGCACCTGATGTTGTGTTGCGGTGTCCCCGCTGCAGCATGGCCTGTTTTTCTATTGGGGGCTTGTTTAGAGGATTTAGTAAAAGTGTTTATATTTTAAATGCCAAATAAGGTGTTTAATTTGGCAGTTTTTTTTTACGTACATGTTGGCTAGAACTATAAAACACAATAAATTTCTAAAGTTCTAAAACTTACCCCGAAACAAAATTAAATACACTCTGTAACTATAGGCTAAGTATTGTGTTCTCAACAAGTTTTAAGATTGGAATCGTAACTGTCCATAGAGTAAAGATAATTTCTTCAGTGCAAGATAAACAAACTATGCTCCTCTTTAGCCAGAAACGTAGGATTGAGTCATGGTCTTCTGATGCAGTGTATGATATTTATTACCTACATTTGTTTTAGAGATTTACAAAAAAAAAAAAAAAAAAAGTAGAAAATATTTTGAAAATTGTTAAATATAGTAAAAACGCCTTACCTTACCTTTCTTACCTTCTTGCCTACCTAACCTACCTAGGTACCTTTCTTAGTACCATGCTTACCTTTTCTCTTAAGAAAGGGATCTCAACTTGCCACCTGTATATGACTCTAAATCCATATCCACGTAAACAAAAAACTAACAACCCATCCACCAAGCCCTATTTAGTACAGATTTTATGGCCATTTTTCGTTCCCTTTTTGTGAAATTCTGTAGTAATGCAAACATAGTAGATGTAAGAAAATATTCATTCTTTTTTTATTAACTGAGAAAGATGTTTAACTAAAACGAGTATCAGGTTCAAAGGTTGCCTAAACAACAGAGAGTTTATACACCGCGTACATTCACTGACCTTCATTGTTGAAGTTGAGAAACAAGAAAGGAGCGCAGAGAGAGTCAAGTCCTTGCCAGTAAACATATTGAGGGTGTGACACGACCCATGCCTTCAGAACTCTCTTGAGCTTCCGATGACCTTCACGTGACGACAACAGCTCATTGTACTGATGACATCTGGGGATATCTACCTCTATCTGCCATCAGAATAGAAGAAAGGTTGATCAGTTGGTTGTGATGGAACAGCTTTGAGTCCTTATTAAACCAGTCTGGTTCTAACAAATAATTCTCATGGATGAAATAAACGGTATCAGCAATCTGAGATATACTATCTTCCATCAGCTTTTCAACAACCCTTATCATAACCCGTTGGGAGTTACTAATTATATTTTATGGGGAAAATCATAAAAGTTGCAATAACTGTTAAACTGTAATTTTTACAGCATAGAGGGTTGTACCATCTGTTTAAATTTATAAGGACCATTGTTTAGTATTTCAAACTTTATTTCTTGGCAATTCCACTGCACACACATACTCCATAATCCTGTCTAATACCTGCCTTTCATGAGCACTAAAAAACAAGCTGAGGATATTCTACTCTAGCTAGAAGAGGATTGAGTTCAGCCCACTTGATTTGAGTATGTAGGGTGAGTCATAACCTCTATTGCTCCCTCCTTTTTACCATTTTAACTTTTACCAATTTTCGCCTTTTTCAACCCGCATTATAAAACATGGTCCTTCGCAACCGCATAATTAATTGAACCCGCCTTTTAATTTACATTTTTTAAACTTTTAAAGTTGATTTTTTACTGTGTGCAAGTTAATAGTTCAATTTCAAACTTTAACATGTGACTTTCTGAACTTCATATTTTGCAATCTAAATTAGTTCACTGTTTTTAAAACTATTTTAACTTTTGAGGAATATCAAATTTAAATCTTTTTGAAGTGTGTTTTCAATATTTGAATTCTATTTTTACCAATTTTTTGGAATCTTCAACTTGTCTACCTTCTACAAGTTTCTACAAAGTTCTACAAGTTGTCTTCAAGTTTGTACAGGAAGTGGAGTTTTTGGACTTGAAAGAAGTTGGAATTTTATTGAATTTTGATCTACAATCATCTTATAAACACAATTGAAGAAGCATAGGCCTAATTTGCTTACATATCTTGCATTTATTAACTGGATTTGACATTGAGTCTTATTAGCCTAATTAGGCCTACCATACACCCATCTTATGGTAAGTTACAACTTTTGATTTACCTGTTAACTAGGCCTAGCCTAACGAAGATTCAACTTGTGATTTAATGCCAATTGAAGATGCTGCTAAACATATCCAATTGATATTTCCCGCTTTTTACCGTTTTTATTGAGTTTTGGCTAAACATAGGCCTAGCCTAGCCTATATGAAGAAATGTCTACTTTGCCTTGAATTAGGCCTAGTGCCTGTTTAAAATTATTTTTGGCTTTTCAAAGATGAACATAGGCCTAGCCTATAGCCTAATGTTTTAACACATATTTATATCGGGCTTACGTCTGATAGGCCTAAATTATTTCTCAACCTAACTTGAATTTTTCTTGTGAACCTGTTGGCTACCCACACAATTTGTCTGCAAAATGCCTATTTCAGAAAAGGCCAAACTTGAATTGAAATCTCAAATTGATGTCCTTTGTTTTAAAAAGGAAAACTTGAGCAAAAAAATAGATACTGTTTACACGCTAAGCCAAGAAGTAGATTTAAGCCAAGAATCACCAAATTTCTCTACATTTGAGGTTAGGCTACATAACCTTGACTCACATTATGAAGCCTACTCCAAGTGCATTAATGAAATAATTAAGTTAAGTAAACTTGCTGAGATAACTGTTGACGTAAATGAGTTGCAAAAATCACTTGAAGGTATTGATGAGAAATACTATGCAATTTTGTTAGTGAAAAGCAAACTAGGCTTCAATCCAAACACTCCTGAACCGGAGCCAGCGGCTTCGACTTCAGTTCACAATTTGAATTTACCGAGAATAAGTCTGCCAGTTTTTGATGGTACTTTGCGGGATTGGCCAGGTTTTAAAGACACCTTTTTATCTCTTATCCACGACCAAAGTGGACTTTCAAATATTCAGAAATTTCATTATTTATTGTCCTCCACAAAAAATGAGGCTCTTTCATTAGCTAGAACGTTGCCTGTAACTAATGATAACTATTCAATCATTTGGAAGAAACTTTTGGACAGGTATGACAACAAGCGTGTACTTGCCAATTTTTACATTGATGAAGTGCTGAATTTACCATGTCTCACTAGTGAGAACCCTAACGCTTTGCGACATATGATCGACACAGTATCTGAAAATAGGCTAGCACTTAAGAACTTGAAATCAGACAACATTGATGATTTTATTTTAGTTCATTTGACTTTGAGAAAGTTAGATAAGAGATCCCGCCAATTGTTTGAAGAAAGTTGTCCCAAAACAGATCTGCCAACATTTGATAAACTGTTAGAATTTTTGAACAATCACTGCCATGCAGTAGAAATAGCTAGTGAGTCATCTATTACTAAGCCTAATGTAGCCTATAAGCTTAGTGACAAATATTTGCCAAAATCTAGTCAAATATCGAGACTACAGCCTAAAAGGGCAGAGTCGTCCCGGCAAGCATTTTTATCCGCCTTTGACACTTCTGGGAATAAACCTACTTGCCTTTATTGTTCGGATATGCACAACCTTTACAAATGTCCGACCTTTTTAAAACTGAACTCAGTGCAGAGGCGTGAGTTTGTTAGATCCAAGGAAGCTTGTTTTAATTGCTTATCTAGTCAACATATGCGTAAACAATGTCGTTCAAAATCAAGTTGTCGTAAATGCGCACAGCGGCATCACACTTTGGTACATGTGGATACTACTCCCGAGTCTCAACTTTCTTCTGTACATAGGCCTAGAAGCTCTGCTGGTGAGGTTGTCACTCAAGACAATGAAATCAAAACCAGTTGTACGTCTCAAATTGTTATGTCTACTGAAACCTTGTCTTATGTATTGTTGGGCACTGTTCAACTTTTAGCTCAGAATGTAGCTGGACAATTTGTTAAAATTAGAGGTCTAATTGATCCAGGTTCACAAATATCATGCATTTCTGAAACATGCGTTCAAAAACTTTGTTTGCCTCGCATCAAGTACAATGTACCAATCACTGGTTTGTCCCAGGTGCCCATTTCAAAACCTAAAGGAGTTGTAAAGTGCGTTTTGAAATCACCTCATAGTGATGACCTTGAAGTAGTCACTACTGCTGTTGTACTTAATCGTATCACAAATCATCTTCCTTCTCGTAAGCTGAAGTCATGTGTTCGAGAGCATTTTCATCACATCCAGTTAGCGGATAACAACTTTGACATCCCTTCGCCAATTGAATTTTTGCTTGGCGCTGATGTTTTCCCCCAAGTTTTTGATGGAGGAAAACTTTTTATTACTGATGGTTTACCCTCTGCATTTCACAGTATTTTTGGATGGGTTTTGTTAGGCTCAGTTGATTCAAAGTATTTTGAACATTTCAACCCGTCAAGCGCATTGCCTGTCATGTCCAACTTATGTCTTCTTGCATCACAATCAACACTTGATGAAAGTTTAAGGAAGTTTTGGGAAACTGAAGAAACTCCTTCAAAACCAGCGTTAAGCCCTGATGATCAATTTTGTGAAGATCATTTTCAGCAAACCCATACCCGTGACAGTAGCGGACAGTATGTTGTCAAACTGCCCTTTAAAGAAGACCCGCCTACTTTAGGAGAATCATTTCAACCTGCTCTGCGTAGACTATATTCTTTGGAACGGAAACTTCACAAATCTTCAGATTTAACTTCAGTCTATTGTAAATTCATGACAGAGTATGAAACTTTGGGACACATGACACTGTTATCTCCCGATGACACATCTTCTAAATACTTCATCCCACATCATGGTATTTTTAAAGATGAAACACAGCCTAAGAAATTCAGAACAGTTTTCGATGGATCGGCTCAATCCTCAAACGGGAAATCACTTAATGACGTCCTTCATGTCGGACCTAAGCTCCAAAAGGACATAACTGATATTATTTGTCGCTTTCGCTTTCATGAGATAGTCTTCACTGCTGATATCTGCAAGATGTACCGCCAGATTTTAGTACATCATGAACATCAACCTTACCAAGTAATTTTATGGCGATCATCCCTCGATAAGCCTGTAAATAAATATGCTTTGCAAACTGTCACTTATGGACTTTCATGTTCGCCTTACCTTGCCATGCGCACAGTTTTGCAACTTGCTAATGATGAAGGGTCAAATTATCCTCTTGCGTCACAAGTCATACGCAATGACATGTTTGTTGATGACCTAGTAACTGGTACCTCCGACCTACAAACAGCTAAATGTATAAAATCAGAACTTGAACATATTTTTGCCAAAGGAGGTTTTGAGTTAAAGAAATGGAGTAGTAACAACTCAGAATTTTTATCAGACATTCCTGTTGATTGTCAAGACAAACCAATGTCATTCGATGTCGACCAACATTCTGTAAAAAAAATTCTTGGCTTACAATGGCTTCCCTCTCTGGATGTGTTTACGTACAATGTTGATACTATGGATTGTCCTCCAACCAAACGAAATATTTTATCTCAAATATCACGCATTTTTGACCCTTTAGGCTGGCTGACCCCTGTGGTATTGTGGGCAAAACAGTTAATCCAACAACTTTGGACAGAAGGTCTTAACTGGGATGATCTTCCTAGCCATGAGATACAATGTCAGTGGACCCGCTTTGCACAAGAATTTTCATGTTTGAAAGAAATATTTATTCCACGACTTGTTTTACCGAAGACCTTCACCGATCTTCAAGTCCATGGCTTCTGTGATGCATCAGAACAAGGATTTGCTGGAGCAGTCTACTTTCGTGTTACACATAACGACTCTTCGGTTTCAACACATCTGGTCATTGCAAAGTCTCGGGTTTCCCCTTTGAAGAGGATTTCCATTCCACGATTGGAATTGTGCGGAGCTGTACTGTTAACCAAATTGTTAGATTTCTGCAAATCATTTTTGATGCAAATTCCGAATTTAAAGTGGAAAACGTATGCCTGGACAGATTCTACTGTTGTTCTTAATTGGATCCATACCTCGCCTCATCTTTTGAAAACCTTTGTGGCGAATCGGGTATCTTTAATTCAAGAAAGCACCAGTCCTACTTTATGGTTCCATGCTCCTGGCGAGTCTAACCCTGCTGATTGTGCATCAAGGGGTATATTTCCTCATGAAATCATCCATCATCCTTTCTGGTGGAGGGGACCACCTTGGCTTTTAACAGCTTCAGAACTCTGGCCTCCGCAAGATATTGTGAACAAGACCCAAGAGGATGTCCCAGAACTTCGTAAAGTTTTGTGTGCTTTGACCACAGAGGAACCTACTGTTGATCTCACTGTTCTAGAACGATTCTCATCGCTTTCACAGTTAAAACGAATTACTGCTTGGTGTTTACGATTCTACCAGAATTGCAAGTCTAAAAAACTTAAGGGATTGTTAACTGTTAGTGAACTAAATGATGCATTAATTATTTGGATCAAGAACATCCAACAGAAGTATTTTCCCTCTGATTTAATTTCTCTACAAACCAAGGGCTTAGCCAAATCACAAGGAATTCTTCGCCTAGACCCATTTCTTGATGAAGATGGAGTTATCAGGGTGGGCGGTAGACTACGGCACTCAACTTTAGCGTTTCAGAACAAACACCCGTCACTTCTTCCAAAAGAAGGACATTTGACCGCTCTTATAATAGACAGTTATCACAAGGTTTATTTGCATGCAGGGCCTAAGCTCTTGCAATCCATTCTTTCAAAGGAATTTTGGATTTGTTCTGCTCGAAATACTATCAGGAAACGATTGTCAAAATGTGTCCAGTGTACAAGATTTCGAGCCTCACTCCCGCAACCTTTCATGTCTGACTTGCCCGCTGTTCGTCTACAATGTAGCCGTCCCTTTCTGTCATGTGGGATAGACTTTGCAGGTCCCTTTCAAACCAAATCAAATGCTCTAAGAGAATCGCAGCTTACAAAATCATATTTATGCATTTACATTTGTATGTCAACCAAGGCCGTGCACTTAGAGGCAGTTTCCAGTCTTTCCGCAAAGGATTTTTTGGCTTCATTTTCAAGATTCACTGCTCGTCGAGGTCTTCCACATGATGTTTACAGTGATATGGGTACTAACTTTGTTGCCGCTGCTAAAGACCTTACCGAAATGCACAAGCTTCTATCTAAATCACCTGTTTTAGAGGTTATTCAAAAGAGTTTGACTGATAAAGGAGTACAATGGCACTTTAATCCTCCTTCGGCTCCACACTTTGGAGGAATCTGGGAGGCCGCGGTAAAGTCGGCAAAATATCATCTCAGACGAGTGATAGACATCCAAATCTTCACGTTCGAAGAACTTTCTACCTTGTTTGCTGAAGTAGAGGCAGTGATGAACTCGAGACCTCTTTCCCCACTATCACCTGATCCAAATGAAAATAATGTCCTCACTCCAGGGCATTTCTTGATTGGTGAAGCGTTCACTGCAGTACCTTCACCGGATGTGACAGATATTAAACTCAATAGATTGACTAGATGGCAACTTGTCCAACAAGCAACTCAACATTTTTGGCGGAGATGGAGCTCGGAATATTTACATAATCTCCAACAGCGCGGGAAGTGGACTCAACATATTCAAAATCTTCAAGTAGGAGACCTTGTTCTCATAAAGGATCCAAACCTACCTCCTCTTTACTGGCCTACTGGACGAATTGTTGCTGTACATCCAGGAAAAGACCATACAGTTAGAGTTGTAACGTTACGAACTTCTTCTGGACAATTAACACGACCAGTGGTTAAATTGTGTCCACTACCCAAAGAATAAGTCAAATCACAAGTTTTGTTTTCAAGAAGAGATTTTTTTGTTTTTTTTACTTTTAATTTCAAGTACCTGAAGATTTTTACAAAATGTTATTTTATTTATTTGAAGAAGAGAAGACTCTTTCCATTGAGAAGAAATTTTAATTGCATTTTTAAAACAAAAAAAAGGAAGTAGTTTTTTTTTTGTGCAAGCTCATGAATTTTAATTACCTTTTGAGAAGAAAGAAAACTTTCAGTTTTGGTGGGCGGTTTGTTTAGTATTTCAAACTTTATTTCTTGGCAATTCCACTGCACACACATACTCCATAATCCTGTCTAATACCTGCCTTTCATGAGCACTAAAAAACAAGCTGAGGATATTCTACTCTAGCTAGAAGAGGATTGAGTTCAGCCCACTTGATTTGAGTATGTAGGGTGAGTCATAACCTCTATTGCTCCCTCCTTTTTACCATTTTAACTTTTACCAATTTTCGCCTTTTTCAACCCGCATTATAAAACAACCATAACATACTACATTTGTAAATGTTAATCAAATCGTTCAACCCATATTTGGGGAGGTTTTATTTTTCTGTTATTTTATGTGTTTTAATGAAAAACAAAATTTTGAAAAGTTAAAAAAATATGGAGATAATTGAGTTCCATGGATTACCCATATATCAAATTTTATCAAAAACGGACCACAGGTCTATTCTGTAGCTCTGAAAACATTCACATACACGCACAGACATCACTTCCAAAACAATTTTATTGGTACTAATTTGAAATAATAACTTCGCCAATATATCTGAATTTTTAATTTTTATTAATTATTTAATTATAATTTATTTAATTAATAAAAAAAAATAATAAAAAATAAAAATTATAAATTCAGATATATTGGCGAAGTTATTATTTCAAATTAGTATTAATTCCAATATTAACAGTTCTTCTTGAAGAAAAAATTTTATTGGGTTTAGAGAAAACCAAAACTGATAATTCTACCCAAAAAATTTTGACGGAAACAATAATTTCTCTATATACTATGTATAGTCGGAGAAAATAACAAGGGAAGACAAAATTGAATTGATGGTGATGAAGAACAAGAAGAATATTAATAGATGGAGTACAGTGTGTTAAAAGAAGAGATAGCAGAGGGTAGAGGAAGAGGAATTGTGAAGATACAGAAGATAACAGAAACAGAAAATGATATGTGTGAAAGTGCTTTACCTGTCTATCCGTGGCTGTGAGAGTCTCCTTATCAATGTCCCTGTAGACAGTTTCTATGTCTCCGACCACTCCTAGCAACACGGACCACAACTCTCCTCTGTACAGGGGTGGAATATCCTTGTGTGCCTCCTTCAAGATGGCAGCCTTCTTGTATGGATAGCCCTGCAAAACAGAATAAAAACATTTTTTTAAAGCTTTAAATTTTTTAATAGACCTATCTAACATTTTCAATTTTTCAAAAACATACACTTAATTACAAACTATACATATAATTTTCATTCTGTGTTCCACAGTAAAAATATTTTTTATTTGAAAGTCAGTAAATCATTTAAAATATGTTTGAAACAAACGATCCCATGGGATTATTCGTTTAAACACTTTAAGGGAATGTTCTAAGGCAGTAAAAAACCTCCAGTCAAATTCACCACTCTATATAATTGGTAACTATAGTTGAGATTATCTAGGGAACAAATCTATGGAAAGAACTCAATCTGTCTGATGAACAAAAGTACCTTTAGCAGTCTATCACAGAGCACTACTCTATGGAACTGGTACCTTTAGCAGTCTATCACAGAGCACTACTCTATGGAACTGATACCTTTAGCAGTCTATCACAGAGCACTACTCTATGGAACTGGTACCTTTAGCAGTCTATCACAGAGCACTACTCTATGGAACTGATACCTTTAGCAGTCTATCACAGAGCACTACTCTATGGAACTGGTATTCTGTGTCTCTTTCTCTGATGACTAGAGGCAGTGAGGCAGCATCACTCTGTTCTTCTACTCCCAAAATAATGCTTGACCTGGAAAAATGCATGTAGGCCTACATTTATAAAACTAGAACGATTTGAAAAAATAGGCTTAGACAATAAATAGGCTTAGGCTGAGAAAATAGGCTATTTTGATATTTTTAAAGTAGGTTTACGTCATCCCTGTTAACAAAGAGGAATGGAACTGTCTAAATAATATATAAAACCAATACAGTTTGGATCAGAATCATTCACTGACAGTAGACAGTCCAGAAAGCTTGGGGCAAAAATAGAAACACTCCACTTTCAGATAAACTTTTGGGAGTGGAGCAACTCATCAAGCCAAATTTTAAGCAGAACCACCTCCCTCCAAAATACAAGTCTTTCTACTAGGTAATAAGATTTGTGCTCAAAATATTAAATGAACTGTAAATGAAAAATTGTTACAAACAGCAGTGGACCAAGGATTGACCCCTGAGGCACACCACAAGTGTAGACCTTGTTAATGAGTTTTTTTATGAATCCTGCTCTTTAAACAAACTGGCATAATTAAACATGATGGATAGCCTCTGGATCATTAAAATTAGCAGAATATGGTTTATGTTACCTTGCCAGAATGATCCTATGTAGTTGTCAAACACGACAGCTGTTTCGTGCTACAATGAGCACATCATCAAAGTGAAGAAACACAAAATCAAATCATTTCGCCCGCGGTTGAGCACGTCAAAAAACACATAAAGTACATGAAGTTCACACAAAAACACATAATACAAACACTTGGCCAAGTACCGCGAACACGTGACGCGGCGCCGGTAATGTGTAGGTCATGACTGGCGCGTGGTCACGGTGGTAGCGGAGACATCCACTTCCCTCCCCATCACCTGTTGTTTATCAGGACCCTTACGCTGATTGGTCGAGTTCATGATGCGGATGGCGGTGTTATAAATAATATTCGATTTGAATGACAGCTGCTCATTCAAGATATGGTCAGGATGTGTTCTAGCTGCTCTGTAGATTTCAAATTCTTCTATTGTATCCATGCGCCTCTTATTGTTGCAAAAATGCATGACTTCTAAATTTGTTTCTATGTCAGTGTAGTTATGGTTATGGTTAATGAGATGGTCGGCGAAAGCGGATTTGTTGTTTCTTTTTGGTAAATGTTCTTTAAATCTGGTTTTGAATGAACGAGCAGTTTGTCCGATATAAAAACGTGGGCAGTTGTCACACTTGATTTTATAAACTCCTGTACCATTCACTTTACTACGGGGATTGTTCTTGGTCTGTTGTAGGATGTTGGAAAGTTTATTGGAAGTTGTGTAGGCTATCGTAATATTATTTCGGGCCATCTGTTTAGTTAGGGTATTATTTAGGACTGTGCCAAATTCAGCGCTGACATACTGTTTGTTATTTGTTGTGTTGCTTTGTCTGGTCTTGTTGTTGTGTTTCCTTATCAGTTTGTCAATTAACGAGCTGTTGTAACCATTGGCCACTGCTATGTGTTTTAAGGTGTCGACTTCATTTCTATAGTTTTCATTACTCAACGGTATGGATAATAGTCTGTGAACGTAACTGTTGAAAGCTGCTGTTTTGTGGTTATGAGGGTGGTGTGAGGATGAATGGATTGTTTGATCCGTCGTTGTTGGCTTCCTGTAGATATTAAAATCAATACCTTTATCTGTTCTGGTTATTGATACATCTAAGAAATTTATGGATTTATTGTTCTCAGTTTCTAGTGTGAAGGTTATGTTACGGTGGACGGCGTTCAAATAGTTGGCTTGTAAGTTGATCTGCCTCTGGTTTCCATTGAACAACACTAATGTATCGTCAACATAACGGCTGTAATGTATGATTTTTCCTCTATGTCGGTTCAAATCTGACCATAAAAATTCGTTCTCTATGTGGTTCATAAACAATTCTGATAAAATACTCGACAGAGGGCAGCCCATGGTTAGTCCTTCATTCTGTTTGTAAAATTGACCATTGAATGTGAAGTAATTTTGATTTAAAATGCATTCTGTTAATTTGATTAGTTCCCTTTTAGCAACTGTCGACAAAGAAGAATTTTTATTTAAGTTAGTTTCTAGGATGTGGATTGTTTCTCTAACAGGCACGTTGGTGTATAAATTAACGACATCGAAAGATGCAAGCATGTATGACCCTTTTAATTCAATGTTTGTTAATTTGTTAACTACGTCTACAGTGTTTTTTACGCTTAACAAATTAATTATTATCCATACCGTTGAGTAATGAAAACTATAGAAATGAAGTCGACACCTTAAAACACATAGCAGTGGCCAATGGTTACAACAGCTCGTTAATTGACAAACTGATAAGGAAACACAACAACAAGACCAGACAAAGCAACACAACAAATAACAAACAGTATGTCAGCGCTGAATTTGGCACAGTCCTAAATAATACCCTAACTAAACAGATGGCCCGAAATAATATTACGATAGCCTACACAACTTCCAATAAACTTTCCAACATCCTACAACAGACCAAGAACAATCCCCGTAGTAAAGTGAATGGTACAGGAGTTTATAAAATCAAGTGTGACAACTGCCCACGTTTTTATATCGGACAAACTGCTCGTTCATTCAAAACCAGATTTAAAGAACATTTACCAAAAAGAAACAACAAATCCGCTTTCGCCGACCATCTCATTAACCATAACCATAACTACACTGACATAGAAACAAATTTAGAAGTCATGCATTTTTGCAACAATAAGAGGCGCATGGATACAATAGAAGAATTTGAAATCTACAGAGCAGCTAGAACACATCCTGACCATATCTTGAATGAGCAGCTGTCATTCAAATCGAATATTATTTATAACACCGCCATCCGCATCATGAACTCGACCAATCAGCGTAAGGGTCCTGATAAACAACAGGTGATGGGGAGGGAAGTGGATGTCTCCGCTACCACCGTGACCACGCGCCAGTCATGACCTACACATTACCGGCGCCGCGTCGCGTGTTCGCGGTACTTGGCCAAGTGTTTGTATTATGTGTTTTTGTGTGAACTTCATGTACTTTATGTGTTTTTTGACGTGCTCAACCGCGGGCGAAATGATTTGATTTTGTGTTTCTTCACTTTGATGATGTGCTCATTGTAGCACGAAACAGCTGTCGTGTTTGACAACTACATAGGATCATTCAGGCAAGGTAACATAAACCATATTCTGATAATTAAACAACTGATAATTGTACTCACTTGGTCTCTGTTAAAGGGTAGTAAGCTGTGAGGGGAAGTTGAGAGAGTCTTTGTACCAGAGTGTCCAGAGGTAGAGGAACAACTCTCAGATCTAACATCGTAGCTTGGTCTCTGCTCTGACCAAACAATGTACCTTCTAGAAGAATTAGACTGAAACAGTGATAAATGTTTTGTTGTAGCACTCAATTCTTCATCAATAAATTTGATTTTTAATTGGTGTAAATACCTGCTTCCTACCTACTTTTAAGATGCGTTGTTTGTGTGTCAATATAATACGTGAATCAACGACCTTCTGATGAAGTGATCATGACATCCTTTGACGCCTAAAGATGACTTCTTTAAAGTCAAAACTAGTTGCGACATCAGCAACGATTTGGATTACAACGAAGCAGGTATTTACACAAATTCATAAGATATTTCCTACACAATGTCTAAGGCCTCATATGTTAGGACTACTCACTTGGGCAATGACAGTATGGGAGCTTTGTTGCGGACGAGACCTTGTTTTTTCAGCTCCGTGTGTAGATCACCTCCTGCCAGTCTCCACAAGTAGTACAACTCTTGTAGCGGCCGCTCACTCAACAGGTTATTCTTCCAGTTCTTTACCCTACAACAGACGTGGGAAATCACACACTTATGAGACTGAAAGCGCGTTGGATTAGCCTACAAAATAATACTGAACATGACCTTTAAGCTAAGAAAAGTCAACTTATGAAGGCTCATTATGTATCAGTCCTTGTTAATTAGTTTGTGAACAAGTGAAATTTTTCATTGAATACACTTAAAAATAATTTTGTAAAACACTACATTAGCAAAATCTAATTTGAACACTAGAAACATGAACAAACTGATAAGAGTCAGGAATAAACTACAAGTAGTAGATTAACTTTAGGTGAGTTGGTTCTACTGTAAAACCTGTTGTTTTCTAAAAGCATTTTACACCAGCTTACACCTTGCTTCTGATAACCAAAGGCTTACCTCTGATCCACAGCCAAGGTAGGAGAAGTGACCTGAGGCTCCATCACTTCCTGAGAGAACACTCTGTGGTCCAACAGCTGGGCTGCTGTCGGCCTTAGTCTAGGGCGAGTCTGGAGACAGAGGTTGATCAAGTCTACGACGTCCTCTGGTAGAGACTGTGGGACAGAAAGTTTAAGTTAGGTCGGAGTTGGATGTACACTGTCAAAATATTATATTGATTATATTTGTACCATGTCGATGTCAACAAACCAGAATGTGTGATTTTAAGTGATCAGTTTTAAGTGAAGAATTCAGAGTGAGTGTTGACAAGCAATTTTCAAGGATCTCTGTGACTGACCAATACTAAACTATATTTACCATCTGTCTCTGTGGACTTACATAAGCTTAATATATTTTTACCGTCTATTTTAGTGGCTGGAACTTAACCTAGTCTCTAATTACAGTAGAACTTCGATAACAAGTGGAATTTTAAAATAGCCATGAATTTATATTACCTACTCTCAATTACTTGTTACAGCAACCTCGATAACTAGTCAACCTTGATGACAAGTCTTATTTTATAATCCCCATGAGCATGAGAGTCTTGTTTTCAATGTTCTTAGGAACCTATCTCTTTAACAGTAGCATAACTTCCGTTTATCTTCAATCTCTGTACCCATCCTAACCCAACTTCTGTGCACAACAGGGTTCGGATGACAAAACCAGGGCCCTCAGTTCGCCCCTCATACAATACAACCTAACCTTTAACTATCATCAAACTCTGCAACTGTATTCAAACAATTCAAACATAGACTCTAACTACCACCAATCTCTGTAACTATATCCTAACCTAGCCTCTAATCATTTTCATTAATCTCTGTAATTCTATGCAAACCTAAGTTATCTAGCCTATAACTATCATCAACCTATGTAGCTCTGTCGTACTATCAAAAATCTCTGTAACTACCCCTAACCTAACCTCTGGCAATCTTCAATCTCGGTAACTCTATCCAAACCTAACCTTTTCCATCAATCTCTGTAGTTCTTCTAACTAAACCTATCAACCTATCTATCTGTAACTCTTACCCTAACCTAACCTGTAACACAGCCAGTCTGTCTGTTTCCCTCGCCAGTCTCTCCAACGTAGATGTGTCACAGTGCAGCAGAGACAACACTTTGCGCAGAGTCTGTCCCAGATTGAGGTTAGCCCAGAGTCGCTGGCCCAGCACCAGTTCTGCCAACACGATGCCTAGCGACCACACGTCAGTCTTGCCACTACTTGGACTAGAGTTCTGCAGTAGGAATACTTCTGGAGCAGTGTACTTGGGAGATCTGTCAAAATGATGGCGTAACTTAATGGCTAGTGCTTTTATAAATTATAAAAATTGTTCTTTTATTTACTGATTAATTTGACAGTAGGCCTACAGGTAGGCATAGTCTTTGCTATACGCAATTCTGGTTTGTGCTATTTTGTTTGTTTTGAGATCCACACAAATGCAATTTCAAATGTGAAGTTGGTTGTGATTGTGTTGAAAAAAGTTAGTTGTTTTTTGATGGTTTGAGACCTAGCTATCATTGAGCTTTTAAATAGCCTAAATGATTCAGTCTAAGGAAATAGCTAGTCTTAGTCAGAATCAAACCTACGTTTAAGACATCTCACTCCAATCTACACTTGTCTTTCAATCACATTTAAGTTAAAATTAGCAACTGTGTGCTAATCTTTATAGAATGATATAATTAGTTGTGAATTCACACTGTTTCTCTATGCACAGAACTTTACCAAATGACTCTACTTGACAAAGGTACAAGTAAAAGTAAGTTACAGACAACGTAAAATGTAAAAGTATTTTGATAATTTAGCATTCATTTTCACCAACCTACCCGATCGGGAACATGACATCAGTGCCAGCTCCCGTCATGTAGTACAAGCCATAATTAAACAGCTGAACTCTTCCTTCGTCATTGATCAAGATATTGTCAGGACACAGTCCTCGATGGACCAGCCCCTTGCTGTTTAGGTAGCTTAGTCCTTCCAGCACCTTCAAAATATTGCACATCAATGTTGCAGAAATTTCAAAACGTGAGTGTAGTACAGTAACACAAACAATAGAAATAGGCCTAAGGGATTTGTTATTGATTTATATTTATTAAGTACTAAACAGTATTGATTAAGTACCGGTACATTAGTTTCTGACTAAACCAGACATGGCAAAACAGAATAAGTTGGCGCCACTCATCCTACACTCATCTCCATTCATATTTTGCATAAAGTACCTACTTTGTATGGTCGCCTTTTCATTGAAAAAGTATAAAAGTATTTAAAGTTGTATAAAGGTTTGATAACATAGATAGAATTGAAAAGTATAAAATAAAGTATAAAGAAGTAAAAAAAGCTATTCTAAACAGGTTAAAAAAAATAATAAAATCATGCTTATTTTGTTAATTTGCAATAGTCAAACTAAAATCAAATTCAAATCATTTAAACCCTCTAAGCTACACATCCCCGTTTAAAGATTACCTCTTTTGCCAGTTTCACAATTTGAGGAAGTGTTTTTACAGGGGGGTAAGCTTGATGTAGAGGTCTTCCGTGATATTCACATACCACTATTGATCTCTCTGCAACAAAATCGGTGAGGTATATTTTAAGAATCATTTACTTGCATCAATAAGTTAACGATAGGCTAGGTAAATCTGGCACACAAAAAAACGTACCAGCTGTGGGCCCGTCCTACTCATAGGAATCAACTATATTCGGTTAAAACTGTTTCTGATCTAGCCTATAGCAGTTTAGCAATTTTTTAATTTTCTACGCTATTGGCATTTCTTAACATTTGTTGTAGAGGAACAGTCCGAACCCTTGTCTTCTTACTATTTAACATCAAATGCTCAATAGGAACATCTGAATACATATTGGCCACCGTAGAAAGAACGGGCACTCTGATAGTATTAATAACTTAGTACCCTATGTATTTGTTTGATTCACAAAACAGATTTTAACATGACATTAAAATATTTATGGATGAAATTCGTTACATAAAGTAGATACCTACTTAATTTTCAAAACCCCAAAACTATACCGGCCGAGGTAAGTTGTTTTAATCAGCAGATTCCTCAACACACAATTAATTTTACAATTAGGTAGCCAACAAACTATAACTAAAATTATAACTGAACCTTATTTGAATGAAAATATACTTCCTTAATATTTTTAGAACCAAAGAAATAATTTGGTAAATGAAACCAAGTAAAAAGTTAGTAAAACCTTGAAGTTATTATTTCATGAATCTTCATATTTCCTACTCGACTTGAAGACCTAGGCTTAGTTTAAAACTTCTTGGTACTAAACACAATACTACTAAACCTTACCGTGTTTTCCTCTCATTACATCCAAATATGAGCAGAGGTTGGGGTGCGTCAATGTCTTCAGATACTGGGACCGGCCTAGAATCGTGATGGAATTGGGAGTCAAAGGCAGACCATTGCTACCACACAGCTCTCCGGAATGTCGCATGGCAAAGAATGTGGATCCCACAAACTGCGGAGCTACTGCTGTACTAGCCATCCTCCAGTATGAAGTTAACTATAATCAAGGGTATTATATCAATCAACAAATAACCACAAAGACTTAGGCCTATTTAAACTTATTCTATTTAAAAAGGTACCTATCATAGGTGTAGGTATAATAAACATTTTAATGCATAGGTTAGTATATATTATCCTGTGACTAAATATGATCAAAATCTAACGAAGATTTACAATTTGAACTTACCTGGATCGTTATAAACTTGTCCCTATTTCTATATTAAAAGGCAGACTTTAGGTTAGGACAACTCCTATAAGTTTTATAGCAATTCCAGCAAAGTTTTATACATCACAATATCAGTGTGACTTTAATTTACTAAAGAAATTTGTGTTATTTTCAACTGTACTGTCATTTTAAACAACACTAATAATTAAATTAGTGGTAGGTACCATGTTATTGTAAAAACAGAGAAAATCTGACACTTGAGACTTGTGGTTTGTTTAACGTTTGACTGACACTGACAGTGACAGTGAAGAGAAGGAGAAGGAGCACAGTCAGTTCAGTGTTCAGTGCCAGAGTGCAGACAGCAGACAACAGTATTGTTCAGTCGGTCGTTGGTCTAAGGCGGAGCTAGATCGCATACAGCCTGAAGAATTTGTTATGCCGCTGATCATTGGTTTTTAAATATTATCAGTCATTATTCATCATCAGTATATCAGTTATTTAGGTTTTTTTTAACTTTCTCGTCCTCTAATTATGTGTTTTATGTTTAATGCATCCAGTTAAATAAATTAATAAATACTTTATTGTCTTGACAATATAGATTACTATATACAATACAGTATTACTATATAGTTTACATGTTTTATTAAACATCCAAGTATGCGGCAAATATGCATTTCAGGGTTTATTAGACGTCAGTTCATAATAATAATAAATTATTCTTGAATTTTTGCATATTCGTAATTTCCTTGTTATTTCGGTTAATTTGAGTACCCACATGAAGTGTTTTGGTAAAAAAAAGTTTTTTGTAGTTTTTCGGGGTTATCGTCATCGAGGAAAAAGTAAACGTCATTTTCGGAATCAGCGTTGAATTTCAAGTATAATCGAACACATTTAAAAATCGAGTGCAAGCCCTAAAAAGTATACTAATCAAATAATAATCATTGAGCGGAGCGAAGCGAAGCTCTTATACTATACTCCTGCTTTTGTTTTACAAATACTCCTCCTGAACGGTTGAAGCGATCTGCATGAAATTTAGCACAGTCATAGTAACCAACCATGGGAAGGTATTAATCTGAAATGGTACAAATCGGACCACAGGGCTTTTCCTTATGTGAATTTAAACTTTTAGAAATTTAACATGGGCCTTATGGGTTAATTGGTTGCCATGACAGTATTTGCAAGATAACAATAAAAAGGTAAACACAAGTTGTAACATGTGTTTACCAATAAATCATCTAAACTAGCACATTGCAAAATAGAGAACAAAAGGGAAGAACAATCGGATTGATAACGTTGAGCATTATTTGCTACAAAATGTATAGCCAATAAGGATTATGAACCATTGGCTTTTAATGTTACAAGTAAACATTTTAAATTTATGTTAACCAGACGTACAATTTACTTTGAATACTGCACATAGGGATTCCAAATTATGTGAGCCAAATATATCATTAACTTTGGATACAGCAATTAGACATTACATTAACGTGAACCAGATGCATTATTGACTTTAGATACTGGAAGTATAGATATCTCATTTACAAGAATCAGAGACATTGACTTTGGATACTTCAAGTAGACATTTAATATATGTAAACCAGATTAACTGTTGACTTTGATACTGCAAGTAGACATCCGATTTACGTGAACCAAATGTATCATTAACTTTGGATAGGTACTATAAGTAGACATTCCATTAATGTGAACCAGACGTGCCATTGACTTTAGATACTGCAAGTAGACATCTAATTTACGAGAACCAGATGAACCATTGACTTTAAATACTGCAAGTAGACATTTCATTTACGTGAACCAAATGTGCCATTGACATTAGATACTTCAAGTAGACATTTAATTAATGAGAACCGGATGAACCATTGACTTCGGATACTGTAAGAAGACATCCCCTTTACATATAACACATTTGGGTTCTGCAAGTAGACATTCCATTTACTTATTGAACCAAATGTGCTATTTGCATTGGATACATCAATAGACATTTAATTTATAAGAACAGAAAGACCATTGACTTTAGATACTGCAAGTAGACATCTCATTAACGTGAACCAATTGCACCATTGACATTGGATACTGCAAAGAGACATCTCATTTACGTTAACCAAAAGGAGCATTGACTTTGGATACTGTAAGTATACTTCTCCTTTACGTATAACAAATGTAGCATTACCTTTGGGTTCTGTAAGTAGACATTCCATTAATTATGTGAACCAAACGTACCATTGAATAAGGATTCGACCAGGAGACGTCTCATTTACGTGAACTAGATTTAGCATTGACATTGGATACAGTAAGTAGACATTCCATTTACATAAAACAGACGTAAGCATTGACTTTAAAAAAGTTGATTAATATACTTGCTCCGCTCAATATTGCAAGCGCGCATACAACTGCATTGCACACCTAGTTTTAAGTGTCTTCTAGTACCTCTGCAGTACGAAAATCAATGTGTAGTTTATAATAACACCATTGACTATATAACACTACAAGTGTGATATAGTCAATGATAACATTCACCACCCCTTCATTCTGTTTTGATAACCGTGACATCATTATTCATTCTCGTTCTAAGTCATAACCATAGAATTAATTTCTGAGAACACTTTCTTAACTATGTTTCTATATCTATATTTATAATGTTTTCATGTAGAAAATGTTTAGAGTGCGCTGATGTCAACCAAACGTTCCTATTTTATTTTAACATATATTTTACGGATTAATTGAGCCCTGTTTGGGTTTCAATTTTAGAGGGCAGGCTATTTTTATCATTTGGATGGAAAGTTTCAATTAAGTTTTAAGCCCAAGAAACAAATAGGATACCAGTAGAGTAACGCCAAACGTGTTCTTACGCCAATGGGAGAGAAGTAGTCTGAAAATCCTAAGATTGTTTTCAGCTGATCTGTCAAATCTAAGGAGTATGTTTTGTCATAAATGAGTATGTATTATCGAATTTATCAACTAAATTATTTGATTTATTGTTTCTGTTAAATCAATAGTAATTAATCCATAATCTGTGTAGGGAGTCAAAAGTTACACGGTTAAATAATCATACCTGCACAAGGTTGGTATTGTATTGTTGTCTGCCTCTGCGGCCAACTGTGGCTAGCAAGCGTTGTCATGGCAACATAACCAAAATGGATACTAAACAAAACATTACAACATTACAACATCGACTAAAATGTGTTTACTTCTTGTGCTTTAAATAGTTTGAATCTGTTTTTATTATGTTTTTTCAGGATATTGAAGTGTTTTCTCTTGAGTAAAGAGCAATAACTTATAGTTGATTTTGATGATTTAAACTCCAAAAGCAAAATTAAATCGAATTTGAAATTAGTAATAAATGTTCCAGTGTTTATTTCTTGTGTTCACAATGGTACACCCTTCATTTCGTACAAATAAGTTGGATGGGAACATAGATGATGTTTTCACCTCTCAAGACTAGGATGATTACTTGCATAGCCCAAGGAGACATAAAATACATGAGGCCCAACTCTTCTAATTTAATATGGTGACAGATTACTAAAAAATGATGAACGGGATTGTTGATGAAAGGAAAAAGTTTATTTTATCAACTGCTGGTAATCGTACATTCATGCTTTAGTAAAGTTATAGTTATGACAATTACTAGACAAAATCTTGTCATTAACTTAGAGTTAGTGCTATGGAGCAATGAGTTAGGCTAATATTTGTCAGGGCTGCACTTTACTTTACGTAATACACTCATCCGAATGAAAATATCGATTATTCGATTGTTTCATTCGATATATTGTTTGGTTAGTTAGGTTAGGTTAACCTTAGCTAACTAACCAAACGATATAACTTATCATATAATCGATATATCGATCGATATTTTCATTCGCATGAGTGTAGGACGTAAAGTAAAGTGCAGCCTTTGTCAGAAGTAGAACACATTAGTCTACAAGACTCCATTTTAACTGGACTCCTCGGGACCGAGGCCAGTCCGGATAACAGGTTTCCCGGTTAGGCCAATGTTCCCAAAAACTCGTTAAAATGGACAGTACATGCATACTTACTGTAGGCTATACAGTATTTCACTAAAATTTTGGATGGCATTTAATTTAAGTTAGACACGTGATCAGTGGTCTCAAATCTTTCCCACGAGAACAGCCGTTTCAGTACCGCTCGCTTCCTGCCGATCTAGTCCGGTTAGACCGACGATGTGCTGATAAATTTGTCCGGTTAAAGAGATATCATTTCCGCTTAGTGTAGTCCGGTTAAGTTAAACCGATGTCCGGATAAGAGGGAGTCTACCATATTTACAAATTAATACTTCAATTTTAATCAAATTTAAAAATATGTGTAATTTGTACCTAATTTAAAATAACCTTAAGTTATTTACTAGGCCCTATGGCTGCACTTTAGTTTACGTCCTACATTTTCTTACATAGGTACCTACTGCAGTTTGGTTAAGCTTAGGTTTAGTTTAGAAAAGTTTCATTTTATAATCAGCTGGTAGTTAAGTTAATGTATAATGTATAATAGTAAATGTAGGACGTAAAATAAAGTGCAACCAGCCCTACTACTTCATTATGAGTTGTGTTTCTATAACTTTTATCTGGATTTGTTAACTGAGTTTGTATTTACATTTTATATACAAAGAACCGTTTATTTTAAAAGGATGTTGGTATTTGTAAAATTTTAACTAGCACAAGTCCAACCACTACTGTTTTATCCATGCAACTTCTCATAGGTTAGTTTGTTACATTTTGGATTTTTTCCTTTTTTAAATCAATGTGAAACTAAGATTAAACTCAACATTTTTAACTTAGTCAATGTTGTTGTGAATTATGTTTAACCACAGAAAATACTACTATAACCCAGAATGCCAACTACATGGTAAAAAGCATTAAGTGTTTTGAGAGAGCTTTGCCTGTCAATCGTAGGCAGCGCCACCAGCGTTGCCATGCACTCAGCATAGCAACGCTGGTGGTTGACAGGCAAAGCTCTCTCAAAACACTTAATGCTTTTTACCATGCGGTTGGCATTCTTTGTTATAGTAATATGTTTTCTGTGGTTTAACTTAGCTAAGTTGTCGGACAAGTTTAACTTAGGCTACAGCATTTTAGAGTGTAATAAAAGTACGCAACGGTATCATTTATGACCTAGAAAAACTTCTCAAGTTTTATTGAAAGCGTCTGCTACAGTATCTCTACATTGTTTTAAATAAATTTTAATATTTTGATCTGTATGCCTACCTTTGATGATTAGGTATTCAAATGTTATGAACGTAAAAAACCCAAAAAGAGAACCAATGATTTAAAAATTAATCAAGTTTTATTGTTTGCATTTCAGAACATTATTTTCGCATTGAAATACCACCAGAAGAGGAAGAGGGTCTAGAAAAAAATATTTGCTTGAACGATTTTCTTGAAGACACAGGATGTTTTATTCTTTCTGTGAAAACTCTCTTGAAATTTCAATTGAAGTTGGAAAACAAGGTAAGCTTTAGCTTTTCCTATATAGGTTTGTAAAAAAAGGAGAGAGCATTACTAGGTACTCCTACATAAATTATAGTCTGTTAAAAAAATTTAGGTGGTTTGAGGGTAACTTTCCCATCACTTTGTTTGCTTAATGTATGTTGCATCTGATTGACGTGTTGAATAAATGTTAGGTTATATTTACTTGTTACTTTAGCAACGGTATTATGTGTATACCGTACTCCTGATTCTAATTTTAAGCAATTTATTCAATATCTAGAGAATGTTTTAAATGTTTTAACCAATAAGCCATATTGTACTAAGTATTTCATTCTAACAGGAGATCATAATGTTGATATATTAAAAACTGATGAATCCGAAACACAAGAATATCTAAACTTGCTAAGATCTTTTGATATATACTGCTCAAACCATGCTCCTACTAGGCTAAAGGCATGTCTGGATAATATAGTTACAAATGTAGCTGCCGATTTCTTAGATGTTTCCCTCTTGGAACCAGATATTATCTCTGACCATGCTGGGTGTGGGTAAAATGGAAACTAATGAATGAATCACATTCAGTTAAAGGTGAGAGCCAACCTTCAGTTAAGCGTCTGAAACGATTGTGTTCAGAGGAAAGGATGCTTAATTTTAAGGAATGTTTAGCAGGTAACGACTGGAGTAATCTATATGGTAGTATAAATGCAAATGACGCTGCTGACAATTTTATAAATGTTTTGACTATGTACTATAATATTTGTTGTCCTAAAGTAGCTGTAAATAATAAACAGAAATTAGCTGTAGGTCTTAAATGGTTTACACCAGAACTGAATAAAATGAGAAGCCACTTGTTAGCCCTAAGAGATAAATGGAAGCATACCAAAATGTTAAAAGACAAAGAGAATTTTAAGTGTTTTAAAAAAGTTTATAACTTAGCCATCAGTAAGGCTAAGAAATCAGCCAATGATAAGTATATTGCCAATGCAAAAAATCAATGCAAAGCTGCTTGGACAGTTGCTAAGAAGGAATGTAAGCTAGAAGTAGTAACAAAACCTCAAATACCTATTTGTCCAGATATACTTAATACTTATTTTGTAAACGTCTCTGCAAATGTCATGAAGGGCAAAGACCCAAATGTTAATAATGTAGCCTACTCCTGAATACCTAAATAATTGTAACTTTGTAACAGTAGATGACAATAACAATAAATTTCAATGGGAACTTGTTGAAGAAAAAACTGTGGAGGCTATTGTTGGTAAAATGAGTAATTCCCGTAGCGAAGATGTGTATGGTATTTCAAACTGTGTAATTAAAAATATAATATGTTTAATTTTAGAACCTCTGACCGATCTCATTAATTTAATTCTTGCCCAAGGTTGTTTTCCAGATTGCCTGAAGACATCTAAAGTTACCCCTATTTATAAGAAAGGTGATAAAGAAAACCCTGAAAATTATAGACCTATTACCATTGTTCCTATTTTAAGTAAAATTGTAGAATCTTGTTTAGTTACTCAACTTTATAAATACTTTGTAGATAATAATTTGTTGTATAGTTAACAATTTGGTTTCAGGCCTAAGCACTCTACAGTGGATGCTGTAGAATCTGTCGTAAATCACATTTTGAATAGTTTTGAGAGCAAGTGTTTTGTGAGTTCTAGCCTTTTAGATTTAAGTAAAGCCTTCGACACTGTATCACATGTTATTCTATGTAAGAAGTTAGACTTTTATGGGGTTGGAAATATGGAGTTGAAGCTTATTGAAAGTTACCTTAGTAATAGAAAACAATTTGTTAGTTTATATAATAGGGTTTCAAACTTTGCAAATATACATGCCGGAGTGCCACAAGGATCCGTACTTGGACCTTTTTTGTTTTTAGTTTTTGTGAATGACTTCAGCTGTAATAACACTGCCATGTCAATATTGTATGCTGATGATACAACCCTTGTTCATTCTGATCTTAATCTGGAAAATGTTTTGACAAAACGGAATAGAGCTTTGGCACAGGCCCAAGAGTGGTTCTCAGCAAATAACCTAGTTTTAAACAATGACAAAACCGTACATATTTTATTTTCTTTGAAAAATGTGATAGATATTAACTGTGATAAAGATTTATTTAAACCTGTTAATTTACTAGGTATCTATTTAGATAGTAAACTCTCATGGGATGTACATGTAAATAGTCTATGTAAAAAGCTGTCAAGAGTAGTGTGTCTACTGCGAAAACTGAAAACATGTGTCAGTGAAGATGTGTTGCTTATGACCTACTTTGGTCTATTCCACACACATCTATTGTATGGAATAAGGCTCTGGGGCAACCCACCCTCTGCCATAGATGCTTTCATATGGCAGAAAAAGGCTCTCAGAGTTATAGCTGGGCTAGATTCTTCAGACTCTTGTAGAACAATTTTTCCACTATTTAATATAATGACCCTTGCTTGTATTTACATCCACAGCAATCTTATTTTTGTAAAATCTAATTTAGAAACTTTTAATCAACAGTTATCAGTTCATGATCATGACACAAGAAATAGAGGTAATCTTGTTAAACCTAATATTAGACTGCACAAGTACTTTAAGAGCCATAAATACCAACAACTGTTGTGCTTCAATAAACTGCCAGAGATTGTGAGGCTGTTGCCTATTAAGAAATTTAATGCTGTAATTACAAAATGGTTAAAAAGTAAGGCTTTCTACACTGTAGATGAAATTTTAGACGCTAAGACTGATTGTATTATAGACTGACTGTGATGTATTTTTGCACTGACGATGCCTATTGTAACGTTCTGTTATTTAATGGCAAATAAATATTCTTGATTCTTGATTCTTGATTCTTCTTTTGAGCTATTGTTTTAAAGGTGGGATCAAGTGGAGGGGATATATTTCTTCCTCTAAAACCGTCTAAATTTTGTGAATGTAATATTTAAACAATTGATTTAGCTAAGTCCTATTCCATAAAACTAACAAATAAGGTAGACCAAGGCCTAAAGAAGCAAAGCTAAATTATTCCTCTTAATTGATAATATAATGCTACACTTTCTCTTTAGTAGCTCTATAATTATTTTTGGATTTAAAAGCAAATACATCACAAAATATTTTTAACAGTCAGAGTCTGTAGAACATAAACCATTGTCATACCTATATTAATTAGGTATTTCTTTATAAGTTTCTGGAAGTTTTATATTTTGGACAGAAAACTTATTCAGAAGGATAAAGAAACATCCACTGACCCTTTAAAAAATGATCCAAGAAGTGTGTATTGAGCCATTGCCTGACAGCAAACATTTTTTTAAAGATACTTGTAAATATAACTAATCAAATTGGCCTATCAATTAAAAATATATCTCCAATCTTCTAATTGAAAATTATTATTTTCAGCTGCCCCCCGGGGAAGGAAAAGAGACTGTTTTAGTATTTTTCAAAATCCGACCAGAGGTAGTCACCGCAGAAACTATCGGAGAGTTGGTGTTTGTAGTCTCAATGCTAGACTCTCCCATTGTTGCATTGTACCATACTCTGCAGCGGATATTTTCTCCGACTCTTCTTAAGGTTAGTCTGATATTTTAGGAGATAAAGTTTATTTTTACTCGATAAGAGTAGGGCCCTCACGGTCCCTTTTTACGTCACTTTGGTCGCCTCTCTCTTGACGAGTTCCTAGATTTTATCTTCCATCCTCAACCCTTAATCAAGTCAAGAAAACATGTCAAAACTGAAACAAATTATAAGATGACTGCGTCCTTTAAATTTGTGAAAATGCTTGCCAAATTGTTGAACTATAGATTGCCCTAACAACCCACCCCCCCCCTTAGATTGCGTATTGGTTTACTTTAAAGCATCTGACTAATGGGCTAATATTGTTGCCAATTCATCGATAGGATCACCTCCTGTAGACCAAGATTTTATGGACTATTTAGACCGTAAAAGCATACTTTCTAGTTTAGTTTTTGGGGTTATCAACACACCTGTGTCAGAGAAAGTGGCGTTCCAAGTACATTGAGCAGCGCTCCCCGCACGTGTAGATGGGTCACCCCCTCATATTAAAGAGTAAAAGTGCAGTAGTGTAGAACTCCAAATCCGAATCACCAATTATCAGAATCGCTTATAGAAAGAATAAAATACCCCCACCGCAGCAAACCTGCCGTCTAAGCGAATTTCCATTTGGCTGAATTGGTTTTTTAATTGATCTATTTAAATAACATTAGGTTTAACGAGTACCTAGGTTTGCTGCTACAAGGAAACTAATAAAGTTGTGTGTTTTTAGTAAAATATTGATAGCTTACTATAAAATAAATAAATTTGCCAAGTTTGATCAAAATATATCCATAAACAAGCAAACTACAACATTTTACAATATTCTCCATAAGAATAACATGGGAATTTTAAATTTACCATTTTTTTAGTTTTCTCCGTAACCAATAACCGTACTAAAACACTTTGATATACTGAATTGTTTGTTTTTTTAAGCTCTTTAAGAAGGTTTGGAGAAAAATTGGGAAATTTTGTATTTTGAGGGTCAAAAGTGAGAAAAACCAATTTTTACCCCATAAAACCCCCCATAAAATCCTGTTCCCATGGTCCGATCATGCTGGATCGCGAACTCGTTCAAGTTTATCCCGCCTTACACCTTCAAACCAAATTTCATCAAAATCGGATAAAAATTACTCAAGTTATCGTGTTCACGGACACATATATATATATCTATAAGTATAAAAGAGGATGTTTGTATATATATTTGTTTGTTTGTTTGTTTGTTTGGGGGTGATAAACTCGGACACCGCTGAACCGATTGCCACGAAACTTGGTACATACGTGTAGAATGTCATGGAATAGGTTTATACACCATCAATTTCGTGATCCGTCTAATCGGCTCCGCCCCAGTGGATCTGGAGTTTCCCATGTTAACCTTATGAGAAATGGAATTAATGAATCTTAACAGCTGTTTCAATTAAACAAGTTGGTTCTGTTCTGTGATATTCAATAGCATTAAAGTTACAAGGATTGCCAACAGGGTGCAGCACTATTATTTCTTTTACATTTATGACAACTGCCAATTTGCAACCAAAAGGTGAGTGAGCGTAGCGAACGAACTTCAACCCGGAGGCGAGTTAGCGTAGCGAACGAGCTAACTGAAGGCAAGTGAGCGCAGCGAACGAGCTCCAACCGTAAAGGTGAGTGAGCGTAGCGAACGAACTTCAACCAGGACGTGTGAGCGCAGCGAACGAGCTCCAACCTAAAGGTGAGTGAGCGTAGCGAACGAACTTCAACCAGGACGTGATTGAGCTCACATATGAAGTTAAACGGGGCAAAGCCCGCGGGTACAGCTAGTATATATATATATATACATATATAAAAATTTGAACGAATGGTGTTTTTGGCCTCTGGGGACATCAAAATGAAAAAGTAAATCGGTCCCGGGCCTAAGTCTTACCATGAGACCTACGGTAATAGCTATTTCCCTATAGGGAAATTCGCTAAAAACATAAAACCATAGTAGGCATGATAAAAATCGTTTTTAAAGAAGGCAAAATCCAAAAACTATCTCACGTTTTTTTTTTTTTTTTTCTCATTGTCTCCCGGTCATGGTAACATCTTTATCGTTTTCCATGGTTGTGGCAAAATCTTGTTAATATATCCCACAGTCAAGGTAGACATGATCATCGTCCCCCGCGGTCATGGTAATTGGTAACATCGTCATCGTCTTCCATGATCCCGGCAAAATCTTAAATAGCTACATTCCGAAGTTGTGTATTCATGACCATTGTCCCCTGCGGTCATGGAAACTCGTCATCGTTTTCTTCGATCACAGCAAGATCTTGTAGGCCTTCATCTTAAACCAAAGACGATTAAACATCTTTTCCAGCGCTTGCGTGAGCAGTGAAAGTCAGACCTCAGCGCCGCCCCGGGGACCATGTTACTTACGCCACTGTTTAGGGAACAGTCCAAGATAATTTTACTACTGTTGATTACGATAGTATGTGATTTCAAAATTGAATGTTTTATCAATGGTTTGTTTCATTTTGTATTTAAATTATGATGTACAATCACAAAAAAGGTTTCTCACAAATTTAAACAATTTTTCCCGTGTGCCTCAAAAGTGATTAAGGCTTCAATATCGTATGAGCAATTTATTTTAGTTGTGTAATACTTTAAATAGGTTTATTCCTCACTTAAGTGTCAAGCAATATTATGTTTGAATTGTGTGAGGACAAATGACAAATGTTTTTGTTAATCAGAGCTCAAACTCTGTAATTTATTTATCCATTATTCCTTTGTTACGTTTTGAGAAAACCCATGGACCAACCAAGCTTTTTTGTGAAAGGTTAACCACAGTCTCTAGGCTCTGTACAAGTTTTTTTTGTCATCAAGACAGCGAATGTCTTATAATTTGTCATTCTCAGCTACTCTTTTGCACGTTTATTGTTTCTAGGATGAGCTTTGGAGCCAAAATGTTGAGCCGAAGCTGCAGACGATGTTGAGTGATCTCGAGACCAGCTTGAGAACCGTTGTGCTGAGGGCTCAAGATGAGAGCATCTCTCCTTCTGCAAGCCTTACAGGTCAATTCCCAATGGAATCATTAGGACTTCTGACTTAAGTTTTGTATCTTTATTAGTTCACTACCTCAAATACTCAAAATATTAAATTATTTTTGTTTAGTATTGCAAATTGATAATGGTTACTTGCAAAAATTGTTTTCAGAAATAATGAGTGTAGGCGATGAAGTTCACTTCTGGGCTGGCTGCGCCAATCAGGCAAAGAAGAAAAGCGATCAAGAAAAATCAAATTCCTTTTTAGAAGCTTTGGAGCCCCTGGATACTTGTTTGAGGTAGGTTTATGAAAATAACATTTCATATTGTAAAGATTCTATCTTAAAATCCACACCCTAGTTTGTTGGCGTGAAAATCAAATCTAATCTAAGGATGCATCTGTTATAGACGGTTGGACTCTATGGAAGTTATAGATGCAGAAGATGTTCTGGAGACAGCGTACAACTCTCTTGATGATCTTTGGAAACTGGACGAGTACAGATATCCTCAATCTCGTATGGAACAACTTATGGAAATTATAGGTAAGTTATCTAACAGATAACTCAAGATGATTATGTTAGTGTACATTTATGATGTTATGAATTTAGTTTACATCGTATTCCTTTAAGAACTATAAACCTACTTTATTTACATCTCTGTTTTATTTCCAGGAAAAACATTGACTCGCTTCATCCAACAGAAAATAAAATCAGAAAACATTTGGGAAGGAGATTTCATAGAGGTGGAAGCAATGCTGAGCCAGGTAAATACTTGAGTTAGACATATTTAAACAAAATTTAAGTAAAACCAGGAATTTACAACGTTTTAATGTTAATACATCTGAACTATACCTACTACCTATGAGTTTCAAAGGCTGTTATATTGGATGCAAGAGTTACAAACAATTTAGTATTTTGGATGCCAGAGTATCACAACCTAAATACCACTTTGTTAATCACCTTGTATTGGCCAAACCACCATCGCTGGGCGGGGCTTCCTTGCAGACCTGTACATATCACTAGGTTCTAACAATCAGTATGTTTGTTGCAGTGTATTGCAGTGTGTTCCAAGTGGGTACAGACTTGTGAGAAGCTAACCACCTTGTATTGGCCAAACCATTCCTTACATCGCTGGGCGGGGCTGCCTTACAGACCTGTACATATCACTAGGTTCTAACTATCAGTGTGTTTGTTGCAGTGTATTGCAGTATGTTCCAAGTGGGTACAGACTTGTGAGAAGCTAACCACCTTGTATTGGCCAAACCATTCCTTACATCGCTGGGCGGGGCTGCCTTACAGACCTGTACATATCACTAGGTTCTAACTATCAGTGTGTTTGTTGCAGTGTATTGCAGTATGTTCCAAGTGGGTACAGACTTGTGAGAAGCTAACCACCTTGTATTGGCCAAACCATTCCCTACATCGCTGGGCGGGGCTGCCTTACAGACCTGTACATATCACTAGGTTCTGTGATAGACTTAAGGAGGTAATCTTGTCATGAGAACTCATAGTATTTTAACTTGACGTTGTATACAGTATTATTTGGAGAAGTTTTCTTGATATGCCCATTTTTATTAAATCTGCAGAAAATTTCAATATTAGCCTAAGAGAAAATTTAAAAAAATTGCTTTTCAATACTCGTGTTTTTTTTCCAAATCTGCGGTTTTAAGCTTGACATCTTACTTTCAACCTACAGTTGTATAACAGTTTTTGGTATTAAAATAGGACCTTCCAACTTATTTCTAAGATTTCAAATAGTTTGATTAGCTATATTTTTATATTTGTTCAAGACACTTACATTTGAGAACTAAGAACTCACATACCTATCAGCCTAACTTAAATCTAATAAAGAATTTTTCTCACAAAAAAACACTAGCAAAACGTAAAACTTGAATACTGCTAGGCTTACGGACACTAAGATTCGAGTTCCTCTTTTATTTCATGCATCATTTTACTAAGTTTTATGTAAAATCCAATTATAGGGCCTAAAATCTCAGTATACATTTTTTTTCACTGTACAACAGGAAGCTTACCAATGAAGTTTTTGGGTTTCAGATCTTGAATCTCCGCACAGTTAACAGACAGTTGACCAAGTTATTGTCTCCTAATGAGCAAGCTCAATTGAATACTTCAGCTAACTTCTTACCATTCTCAAGTAAGTCAAGTATACTTAATACTTAGCGAGTAGATTGAATGAAATAAATGTTAAAAAGTAAAAATGTTAAAAAAATTGCTTTATTTGTTTGATTAGTTCTTCTAAAGAAGGCTACTAGTCCTCTTGTTTAAAACTATCAACACCTACAGCCAGGGTTACCTTATCACTGGATTTATTCAGAGATTAAAGTATTATTGTTGAACCCTGAAAGTTGTAAACTACAAAGATTATTTATATAGAGGTTAACTGTAAGAAAGGGCTGTGAGAGTGTGAACTAGATTGTGGACCAAAGTAACCAACTACCGTACTTTACTTATCTTCTTTGTTCAAAGAAGACAGCAAAACAGCAGCTTTGTTTGATAAAAAGTAGTTTGCTTCCCAATTGTAGTACGCTGCATTTGTGCCACCTCAGAGTAAACTTGTATATCCTCGCAGTATCTTCAAACAACACATGTACAAAATCTTCTCCTTTTCTCTCACTGACACATCGAAACTCACTAATAACAAAAACTTAGTTCAAAAACGTCTTGACAAAGTAGTTTTCTTCAGATGTGAACGCAGTACAGTACAACCCGTACACAGAGCCGCAGTGGAAAGCTGCAGTCAAACGTTACGAGCAACACATAAGGCCTGCGGAGGAGAGAGTTGCGGCTAAACTGAAACAGCAACTTTGCAACTCAAATCTCAACACACTGCAGGTGAGTGAAGAAAGATAAGTTAGTGATGAGTAACATGTAAGAGAGAACTGTCTGAATTTACCTGTTGTTTGATTCTTTTTGGTGGCCCCTGGAACACTATATAATGACTAATAATTACGGTAAAATTTCCTTTGTCAAGTAATCCAATTTTTTTTTTTCAGGTAAATAAACTACTACATGTTTCACCGTTAATGCGGCATCCTCAGGGTAAAAAACATATTGCTGCCACACGCACACAAAAATAAATAAACACAAAACAAACATTTACTATTGATAGGCCTATCACACGACGTGGACAGTCCTGATTTCTTTCCTTATTGGGCAGTTAATTTATTCACTTCAGATAAGGAAGACAAACAAACAAGCTGATTTTTTTGTTTGTGTAGATATAGAAAAATTGGTATGTGTGTGCAGTGGCGGTTCTAGGACCTTGTCAAGGGGGCTACTGGAGGGTTTTCCATGATAGGAGAGGGGTTTGGGGGTCCTCCCCTAGGAAAATGCGGCATTTTTGAAGCCATTTGGTGACTTTCTAAGGCCTTTTTTACGTCTAGAACTGTGTCTAAAAACCTCTGTTAGGTTTATAAGACAAATGTATGATTAAATTTATTTTCCTAGGGTCCGATTCCGGAACTTTAGCCCCTGTAGCCTTGGGGCACAGGGGACTATATGTTCATGTTCACCCCAGGGCCTGATTAAGGGTCTAGTCGCCAGTAGGCTGACGTTTTTCGCGCCCCCTCCTCCCTTCCACTACCCTCCTCTCCGCTACCACTTTCAAAATTTCAAAGAAGGAATACTAATACTGAATTCAAAATTATGGCCAAAGGCATTATACTAATATTCAGTTTATTTAAAAACAAAAGAAAACTGATCATAAATAATTAATGCATGGTTTGATTAGGAATTTTTTAAATAGTAACAAATCGGTTGTTCAAGGAATGTAAAACTTTTATATTTAATAATGTATTTATTTTACATTTTATTAAACATATGATTGTATCAAATCAAAAGTAGACCTAACCTAAAATATTGAAAAAAACCAAACAATAATATGCGTACTTTCTAAATTAACTCTGTTAATCACCTAGGCCTAAACCAATTTTATTAGGACCTTTAGATGGAATTACTTAGTTTACAGCATTAATCTGTATTTATCTGCAACAAAAAGTATCGTTAAATGATTTTATAAATCAATTATTACTATAAACTAGCTGTAACCCATAGACTTCATAAGCATTATTAAAACTATTGATTGGTTAAGTTAAGCTGAAATAAACAAATAAGTACAGCTGAGGTATTTTTAACATTAGGTATATGGAAAGTTCCCTTTAGAAATGAATTACGACCTTAAAGGGCAATTTATGAAATAATGAATAGATTTGCGCAGGGTTTCTCGTCATTACGAATATTTTAAGTATATGGTTTATGGGGGTGTGACTTGTAGTTTTCTCAAAAGTTCATGGGTATTTTGGGCTTTATATACGGATATAATGATTATGAAAATCTGCCGAACGCACCCTTCCCCACCTCCTTCCCTATCTGCGTGAATCCTTTTTTGGAATAAAACATTTTTTACGCCCCTGGTCCCAACTTTAAGTCTTAGCTGTCTGGCGCCCCCCTATAACACTTGGCTGACTGGCGCCCTAGGCTCCAGCCTAATTAGCCTAATGGGTAATCAGGCCCTGGTTCACCCCCCCTTGGAACCTCCACTATGTGTGTTCATCTGCATAAGTCATGTGGATATGAGTGTCCAAACCATCTGAAGTCTCAACAAAACCGATGCGGAGGGACTCTGTACTGTGTTTAGTTCTCCAAAACAGTTATCAGCTTTTCTTTTATCACAATCTCAAATGATGACCGTTTCCTCAACAGCTGATGGAGGAATACAAGAGATACCGGGAGATTGTACAGAGGCCTAGCATTCAACAAGACCTGTTGGCTGAAAGAGAAGCGCTTCTGTCCCAGCTGCAAGACTACATAGCCAGTGTCCAGGTGGAGGCTAGCGAGACACAACTGAGGATGATGGACATGCCAGTAGTGGTCAGCAAACTGAGCTGGGCCCGTCAGCTGGAGACTAAGGTAATTGTAACTATCTTGAAGATAATTTGTCAAGAAGGATAGTCAACATCAACAGAATTTAGAACTGTTTGTGACAATTTCGGTTCTGTTCTTGTGGATTTTCTTAACTGGAAATTTCATTAACAATTTCTAATGTCGTTGAAGTCCTTGCCAACAAAGAAAATTGTTTGCCTTGTTGCTGAGGATTTTGGGCACAGTCCTGCAGCAAAGACAATGTTGATACCAAATCGTAAGTCAAAAATATATCTTTGTGATTCAGAAACATGATTGTGAAATTGTTGCAGCCACCAAATATGGCACCATTTGACAAGAATCTATCTGAGCCCTTACAACAATGGAAAAAAGATAACATCACAGATGTCTTGTTTTATGTTGCTGAGATGCAGGAAAATGGTCTTGATTATGCTGTGATTGTTAAAGATGATCCTTGTTGTGTCTGTTATTGCTAGAAATTATCTTGATGTTGGTGTGATTGTTCAGATGAGCTGATGTTGCTGTGATTGCTGGAGATGGTCTTGATGTTGTTGGGATTAAAGGGAATACTATTGATGTTTCAATTTCAGAACATGAACATAGTATACCATCACTTTTTTTGGGATGTAATAATAATATTGCCAAAATTGGTGGGGATAAATATGATACCTGCAGAGGAAAAGATCTTTGCTCTGCTTGTGTAAAACTTGTAAGATTCTTAGTTATGCTCTGTACAATTTGAGCGGAAATTCCATGATGATTTTCTCAAAGTTTTAGGTGCTGTAAAAATAATTCAAAAGTGGTTTATAGGTATTGGAGATAAAAAAGCTGAGTGGGGCAATTCTGAATGATCTAGGAGGATATCCAGGACTGAGGAGAGCTGTGGACAACATCAAGAAGGAACTCAAGGATTACTTGACTGAACAGTTTGATACATGGACAAGGGATACAGGGGCGGCAGTCAAGAATAGAACACTCAGGTATTCTTTATCTCTGAAGTAACAATGTGATCTTTCAGGATATTTTTGATTGTTTGAATCATAAATGGTTTTTTATTTAACTGCAGAAGAATAGCTGTAAATAATTTTTAATGATTTGGTGATTTCTAATTCTAGTCATTGTTTTAATTGGCAATTGACAAATAAATACAACCGTCAGGTAAAAACCTCTTGAACATCAATCCAGCAGCACCAATAAGACTATTTACGAAATTGATGATCGTGCTCTCAACCATTCTTCACATTTGATTTTTTTCAGTAAAGATTTTTGATGGCATAATTAAAATTAAAATTGAGACACAAAACAAGGTATTGTAAAAGAATAATGTTTAAGTCGTCAAAAAAGTAAAAAGCTGTGTTTTTTCCATTTTAGGCTAAAGACAGACGAGCCAGTGGTTCACTTTGAGCAAGGCAAGCTGATGCATGTCAACTACAACCCAGCATTGGTCGGCCTGGTACAGCAGGTTAGGCAACTGTCAGTGATGGGCTACAACATCCCAGCACACATCATGGAGGCTGCAGAGTTGGCCAAGCAGTTCATGAATCAGGCTCGTGCCTTGCAACAGGTCAGTTACTGATGTAGCTTGTACAGCAGGTTAGGCAACTGTCAGTGATGGGCTACAACATCCCAGCACACATCATGGAGGCTGCAGAGTTGGCCAAGCAGTTCATGAATCAGGCTCGTGCCTTGCAACAGGTCAGTTACTGATGTAGCTTGTACAGCAGGTTAGGCAACTGTCAGTGATGGGCTACAACATCCCAGCACACATCATGGAGGCTGCAGAGTTGGCCAAGCAGTTCATGAATCAGGCTCGTGCCTTGCAACAGGTCAGTTACTGATGTAGCTTGTACAGCAGGTTAGGCAACTGTCAGTGATGGGCTACAACATCCCAGCACACATCATGGAGGCTGCAGAGTTGGCCAAGCAATTCATGCAACAGGCTCGTGCCTTGCAACAGGTCAGTTAATGATGTAGCTTGTACAGCAGGTTAGACAACTGTCAGTGATGGGCTACAACATCCCAGCACACATCATGGAGGCTGCAGAGTTGGCCAAGCAGTTCATGAATCAGGCTCGTGCCTTGCAACAGGTCAGTTACTGATGTAGCTTGTACAGCAGGTTAGACAACTGTCAGTGATGGGCTACAACATCCCAGCACACATCATGGAGGCTGCAGAGTTGGCCAAGCAATTCATGCAACAGGCTCGTGCCTTGCAACAGGTCAGTTACTGATGTAGCTTGTACAGCAGGTTAGGCAACTGTCAGTGATGGGCTACAACATCCCAGCACACATCATGAGAGGCTGCAGAGTTGGCCAAGCAGTTCATGAAACAGGCTCGTGCCTTGCAACAGGTCAGTTACTGATGTAGCTTGTACAGCAGGTTAGACAACTGTCAGTGATGGGCTACAACATCCCAGCACACATCATGGAGGCTGCAGAGTTGGCCAAGCAATTCATGCAACAGGCTCGTGCCTTGCAACAGGTCAGTTACTGATGTAGCTTGTACAGCAGGTTAGGCAACTGTCAGTGATGGGCTACAACATCCCAGCACACATCATGAGAGGCTGCAGAGTTGGCCAAGCAGTTCATGAAACAGGCTCGTGCCTTGCAACAGGTCAGTTACTGATGTAGCTTGTACAGCAGGTTAGGCAACTGTCAGTGATGGGCTACAACATCCCAGCACACATCATGGAGGCTGCAGAGTTGGCCAAGCAATTCATGCAACAGGCTCGTGCCTTGCAACAGGTCAGTTAATGATGTAGCTTGTAAAAAAAAAAAAAAAAAAAAAAAAAAAACTGGAAAATCCTTGAAGCTTTTTCCTGAGGTTGGCTGTACCATAGACAAAAAGAAATAAATATAGACTGTCAGCTGTGCTGTGGTTAGCGTATATTCCGGCGCCGACCACTAGGGGTAATGTGTAGTTACGGCACACACCGCTGCAGCATCAAGCGCTAGCGACCGTTTCCATAACAACTGGGTAGTTGGGAGTAGTGTTGCCAACTTTGGAGGAATTCCCCGTAGTTTTAGTTTACTGACTTATTTAATATTAAGCAGTAAATTAATTTAAATGCCATAATTTATGGTATTTTTTACATATATTTGTTATACTTTTGTAGTTCATTACAATGATTCATAGTTTTTCTTTATTAATCCATAATTTTAGGAAGTGGTTTATTGGAAGGTTTTGTTTTATATTTGCAAGGTAAAATCTAACTAACCAGGGTGTCTAGTAGTCGGGGAAAACGGGAAAGTCAGGTATTAGTATTGAATTTCAAAATGGTCTTGAAAAGTTGGGATTCAGTCTTTATTTGATATCAAAGTCGGGAAATTTAATGATTTTACCGCGATCGCGCTAGACAACGATCACGTTTACGTGACGGCGCAAGACGATGATGGTGTCTACACGATGTTCTTAAACCGCGATCGTGCTAGAAGACGTTTTCGTGACCCCGGGAAAAATTATCTTGTCTTTTCTACAATCACGCAAAACGATAATGTCTACACGGCCGCTGAAGATGTTCACGATTTTGCCACAATCGTGGACGACGATGACGTTTCGGGACCACGGCATTCAATGATGATGTCTACACATCCGCGGAGGATGTTCATGATTTTGACGCGATTGCAGAAGACGATAATAGCGATATAGTAAGCATTTTGTTTGCAAGAGTAGTAGTGCTGGTAACAGCTGGCGAGTAGTCGACGATGAAACCGAATAATATACTGATAACCGATATCGAACGGCGATAACGCTCTAGCGGCAGATCGCAAAACCTTTCTTTGACAGTCTATATTTACTCTATTGTCTATGGCTGTACCCAGCATGAATGCTCTTCTTAGGACTCGGAAAATAGCCTAATACCTAAATAAATTATTCTGTAACTATTTCCTGTTAAGAGTGTGAAAAAGGATGTTTGTTTTGAAAAACACTTGTCCTTCCGTAAGGTTAACTCAAATCTTCTGAAGAGTAAACAACGTGTATTTTGAACGTTAAATAATATTGTAGTATAGCAACAAATTTAAAGAGACTCTTATGTTTCAGAAATGGAAATTCATAGACCTGATATATGTTTCATAACAGCAATTTTTTTCATCAATTCTTTTTACAGGTGGCAACATTTCACAACACAATTGGTGACCGAATGATAGCGTCACAGCGTCCGATGATGTTGGCAGCAGCTGTTGAGTTGGCTAAGCTGGTGAGAGAGCAGCACAACGTGACGTGGAATAACACAACAGCTGTGGACTCCTACATCACTAAGCTGCAGGGAGTTGTAGATCGGCTGTACAAGGAGAATAACCAGCTGGCACACTACCACAACCAGATCTGCGACAAGGTTGGTGATTGTGGGTTGGTTCTTATTTAGATATACTAGTATAAGCATGTTACTTTGACTTTGGATGGTAAAATAGATGCTGCATCAATCTTTTGAGCTCTAAAGACCACAATGTTGGATACATAACAAATTTTCCATTTAAAAAATATCTGTGTGTCTAACACCAGTAACACCTGTCTTGACAGTAAAACTTGTATAGACTTTCCTAAATTAAGCTGTACTGACAGAATATTTATGTAAGTAGTCAGGTGAGTCGGTGGCTCAGTTGGTAGCGTCACGGACTTCGAGCCCAAGGCAGCGATGTCGTGGGTTCGGACCTGGTCACTGCCACAAACATTTTATCAGTACAGTTAACCTTTGTACTGTACGGGCTCACCCCTTGCTTTGCTGGATACGTTCCACGCACAGATCTTTAGTCTATGTGGACGGGCAAATGCAAGGTTAAAAGAGGCCGCCAACCTATTTTTAACAAAAAAAGTCCTTTTTATCCTGTATCTAGACGTCAGTGGTGGTCAAACACTTTTAGGTGTGTGCGGTTCAAACACATAAAAGTGTTGCGGATTTGCGAGGAACTGATCCTGTTCCTCCTGCACTGAAGTCTGAGATGCTAACGTTGGTGCTTCCAAAATGATGATATTTTAAACTGTTTCTCACCATTTTATGCAGGTGGTAACACTGATGAGCACAGATCTGCTGAGACACCAACAGATGTGGAAGGAAGGTCTGAGGGAGATCAGAGACCTGATGGCTCATGTGGAAACTCAGGTGAGAAAACTTCAAAGTGAAGATAATTGTTAAGTAAATGAGATAGATTTGGAAACTTATTAAAGAGATGGACTGACTATGATCTTCTGGTTCTTTATCCAGAGCTATTTACCCATTCCAAAGAGTGCAAGAGAGTGCATTGATCAAGATCAGCTGGGTCCAGTTTTGAACCATCAAAAAGCTTCCTCCTTGTCTTATTGAACCACCAACCTTTTGTTTACTAGGTGAACACTACTACAATAGCTACCCAGGTTTATGTAAACAATTTACATTTTTTGTTCTCGTACAAATTGCCAACACTAAGTCGTATTCAGAAGTAGGAAGCTCAAACATTTTTTCTAATATTTTCAAATATGTCCTATGTAGTGTAGGTAGTTTTTGACAAACAAATTTTTATTATTTTTAGTTTGAATTTGGAAAATTTACTAGAATCATTTTACCCTAGGGATGAAAAGGATTACCATAGATAAAACATACTCGCTTAGTAGATTTCTCATCCTAATGGAACAGCTGAAGACAATTTTATTGTTAGTTCTGTACGGTTTATGTAGAGGTCGTGTTTTGTTTACAATTTGTTTCCCGTTAATACAGTGATTTAAAACCTCGTTTAACCAAATAATACGATCTAATCATAAACAATAAATTATCCCCTAGTTATTTAACCAAACAGTAAAGCACAAATCAAGAAATTAACCCTAAAATAATAGAAACAAAATTTTGTCGACACTAGCGCCCAGTGTGGCGTACATGAACTAGACATGAAATACGAGCTTCAAAATTGACAATGGGATGAGAAGTCTACTTGTGTTGGTTAGTCTATGGGATTACTTAAGTCTCATGACACGTACAGTGAAAACAGTTTTATTTACTGCAGTATGACAAGAGATTATTATACATGTTTTCAATTAGGAGGGTTTATAGTTAGGGTGCAGCCCTTTGGATAGGTACTCGGTAGTGCTTAAGTACAGTATGACTCCAGATATTTTTTGTTTACATTCTAGTTCAGCAACAGCAAGTCCTGGCGAGTACATTGGGACCACCAGATATATAAAGCTCTTGAACATCAGTATCAGCTGGGACTAGAGGCTCTAAACCAACACATGCCTGAGATACGAGTAGATATTGTTTACAGGTGAATTAAAATTAAATAATTTTGAATATTTGTAAAAGACGATGTTGCATTTTTGGTCTTGTACAGAGTATTGTAAATCTAGTTCCATTAAGATTAGAAAAAACATGTTTAGTCTCTCAGAGTTAAATATTGATTATTTGAATATCATAATAATTGTTTAATATTCATTTATTTTCATATTTCTTTTTAGAATTTACAACAGTTGTAGGTAAAGAAAAATCACATTGTCAAAGAGCTATAAACAGCGAAATCCGTCTATAGACTAGAGATATAATATCAAACACTTTGCCCTCAATAATTATTTTATGAAAAAAATTCAAATACCGGTAATAGAAAAAACTGTTGCCTTGATTTCAGACAACAAAGATTACAATTCAGTCCACCAATCGAAGAGATCCGAATGAAGTATTACGGCCAGCTCAAGAGGTTCATGTCCATACCTCTTAGTTTCCGAGGAGTCTGCGACACTTCTATATTTCCTGCCATCATTGATCAGTAAGTCTGACCTATTAATAAGCTAAGGAAATAAGCTATTACCGTAGGTCTCATGGTGAGACCTGAACCCAGACCGATTTACTTTTTTGTTTTGAGGTCCTTAGAAACCAAAAACCCCTATCTGTTTAAATTCATGTATACATACATATGTTACAAATAAGGGGCCCCGTGGCACAATAGCTAGGCACCGTCTCAAAGGGTTGGTTGTGACCACGCGGCACTATTGGGATTCCCTGAACTTGCAAGACAATACAGTAATAGGTTTTACATACATCCGTCAAATAGTCTAACAAGTAAGATTGCTCACATGTCTCGTTGCGAAGAAAAAATTTTCAAAACTTGCAAACATAAAAATGGTACGAATACACAAGCAAGAGCTATATCATAATACTGAATTAGTCCGGCATAGCGCCAAGTTAATCGTCGTGTCGTCTCCTCTCCTCTTTCAATTGTGTTTTTGACGAGTTGCAAGGTTTGAAAATTTTGTCTTTCGAACAAAACATGTCAGCAGAAAGCAATCTTAATTGTTGTACTATTTGATAGAGTATTGTAAAAACCGATTATTGTCTCCACAAAATTGTTCAGGGACCTGAAACATGAATTTCAATCTTGCAAGATTTATTATCTTGTGTACCAATCATAGTTAGAGTTTGAGAAAGAGACTTCTAAACTTATCACTTCTTGCTTTCCCAGCAATGCCCACAGGTTTTCTCGAGTGTATAAGCGCGCAGAAGGTCTGTTTGCACGGCTGGTGTCTGCGTGCGCAGAGTGGGAGGATTCTGTTGCTCTGGGATCTCTAGATCTTGACAATCTCTGTAGAGAGCATTTGCATGCAGCAAGTGACTGGGACATCAACTTTAAAGCTTCCAAAGCTTGGAGTCAGGAGATTGCCAAACTGGTTACGTAAGTACTGTTTGTTATTTTTCTTTACGTTCCACTTTCACATCCTAGGATGCTAGGTTCTAGCCCAGAACTATTTTTACATATTACTTCAGGCTAGGACTAGAGGTTTGTGGCATAATCCCATGGACAAAATCCATTAGTGATTGGCGGAATTTGAACCCGGGACCTCGTGCTGTAAAGCCACAGTTAGGTTTAGTTAGTGGCTCTACCACTAGTCCAGCTCGCTCCCCGTAGTACGTAAGTGTTGTGTTAAGAATTACTATGTGGAAACTTAACGATTTTTGTTAGAATACCAGTCTTGACACTATACACAAAATTGAAATATTTTACTGTCAGTTCCTGAAATTATAAAATCAAAATTAACAACTCATGGCCATCTACATATTTGTCATTACCTGTACACACCAAAGATCAGACCTGATCTTACTTTCCAACTCAAATCTTCCGTGGTTGAAAATATTGGACAGTTAATATTAGTTTTTGTATATAGTGTAGAGTTATTTGTGTTTTGTGCCAGAATTGACTCTAACCCATTCAGGTAAGCTTGCTATTCTCATGAAAATTCTTAAACAACTAGGCCCTTAAGTTCAACGCACATCCTATGTCAAATCTTGTGTATTACACAGTAAGTAAAAATTATTTTAAAAAACCTGTTCAAAACTTAAATATTTAACGTGTAGAGAATTTAACTCTGGTTTTGAAAGAACAATAATATAAAACTTTATGTATGTCAGTAAACACTAACATAAAAAAATAGTATTTTAATGATTTTCCCGATGCAGGTCGGAGCGGAAGATAGATTGTTTCACCATCAACGTAGGTCCAGTTTGTAGTGAGATAGAGATGCACAACCGCAAGTACTGGGACTGCTTGGCTAGCAGCTTGTATGAGAGTATAGTGACTGACATTGCCACTGTAGACAAGTTTGTACAAGAAGCCCGCAAAACTCTGCAGATCCAGCCTCAGAGGCTAGATGAGGTTGGGAAAGCTCACAGTCAGTACTTGGAGATCATCCAGAAATCTCAACAGGTTGGTAAATATTTGAGATGTTAGGGCTACAAAATTTGGGAATATTTACAAATTGTTCTTTTGTTGGATTTATAAACTCCTGAAGGAATTTTGGCAATATCCCCTCCAAAGCGGAAATTTTTTTCAAAGCGTAATTGTTGAAAGTTTAGTTGCAGCACCACAAAGTTTGAATTTGAATTGCTAGTAAAGTAATAGCTGTCCAATTTTGGTCTTCGGTTGATGACAGTGTCGATGAAATCACAAAAATACAGGATGACGTTTCAGAAACGTTGCTGCAATTTGCAGAAACACGATGGCAAATCAGAAACGTCAACCAGCATTTTTTTCAGTTTAACCTCAAGACCCTAAAGACCAAAATTGACTATGACTGTGAGAGCCCACCACTTAGCTTAATCGGTATAACTCCTATTGTGTGCGAGTATGGCAATATTATTACAACCACAGGTACTGATCAAATGTCACTGACACAGCAATAAAAGGTTACTTTACGTTGTTGTTCTGATCTTAAGTTCTAATCACACTAGGTAGTAGATATGCAGGTTCAAATATAATTGTCTTCATCTTGTGTATTGCCTTCCGGATTACTTTATGAATGTATACAAGAGGTTAAGTTACCTTGACTCTGTCCAAGTAATCCTTAAGTCGTCATTAGTGCGACCGATTTTCGATGTCTATGGCACCATTGTAAAGCTGAACGTAAAAATCGCTCCTAGGAGGTCGTCATGAGTCTTGAAAAATACGTAACACATAACACGTACAACAAACAAAAAACGATAAAATGCATGGCTACACAACTAATTTACAACACGGCAGCGGGTACAGAGTGTAGGTCTAGACTCTCAGATCAGTAAGGTGTAGTCTAGACAGCGTCTTACTTACTTACTGGAGTGGCCACTGGTACCCTAAGAGGTACTTGGCCTCGCCCACACACTGCCTCCAGATGTCTCTTTCTTTGGTGTCATTTTCACTCCTTCCCAGTCTTCTTACATCTTTTTGTACTTGATCCTTCCATCTAAGTTTGGGACGGCTTCGTGGTCTCCTGCCTTCGGGGTTTCTATCAAGTACATTTCTCGTAGTGGAGTCTTCCTCTCTTCTCGAAATATGACCAAACCATCTCAATCTTCTGCTCTTGACTTCCGCTATGATGTCAGGGTCTTTATAGCGCTCTCTAATCTCGATGTTGTGTCTCATTCTCCATATTCCATCTTCGAGCGTTGGGCCATATATTTTCCTGAGAACCTTGTTTTCAAATGTTATAATTTTCTTTTCTATTTTTTTTGCTCATTGCCCATTTTTCTGAGCCATACATTAAAACCGGTCTTATTATTGTTTTATAAATACGTAATTTGGTGTTGTGGGATAATAATTTTGAGCTTAACAATCTATTGCATGCATGGAGGGACCTATTAGCCGAATTTAACCTGTTTATTACTTCCAATTCTTCATTAATTCATTAATTCATCAATTCATTCCAATTCCTAGACAGCGTCTAGGAGCGATTTTTACGTTCAGCATGACAATGATGCCATAGACATTGAAACCGGTCGCACTAATGACGACTTAAGGATTACTGGGACAGAGTCAAGGTAACTTAACCTCTTGTATACATAATTGTCTTTATTCACTAAAAGTAGTTCAATTCTGTATATGAATAGTTTCATTTTTATTGTCAAGTAGTTTGCTCATCAATCTGTTTGTGGCATGAAAGGCAGTTTTTTACAGAAGCCAATGTGGGTACACTACTTTAAATTACTGTGGATTTAAATACTTAAATTTAGTGTTGAGTGATTTTCCATTACGATTTAACATTCATAATCTATTTCTTCCGTGGGTTAATTGTTGTGTGTTCTTTTAGATGCAGGGGACTATAGAGGAGCTGCAAAAGAAAAACAAAACCTTAGGAAGTTGGACGAAGGAAAAAGTAGATCAAGTGTCATCTTTGATTTCCTCCTGGGATAATTTCCAGATACAATTGAACAATCAACAATACTTGATAAGCAAGCAGGTTAGTTGTAGAGTTTACTTAGATAAATTTATAAAATTTTAGCTGGTTTTAATACTCCCAAGATATAACTAAACTAAGCAGGGATTCTATTAAGATCTATTAGGCCTTGGGGATAAATTTCTTTCTAATATACTGCTCATGCTTCTAGGTTGAGACGATGAAAAGCAATTTAACTGTGAGTGTAGACAACATGATTGCCGATGTGGAGCGTTTCCAGCAATGTTGGGACCAGTTCAAGCCAAGGGAGGAAAGTCTGACCAGTAGCGAGACTCTGACGGCAAGCTTGGAAATGATCAGGAACAAGAGAGCAGAATGGGATCAGCTGGTAGAGTCTGTGAACACACTAAGGTAAACTGAGTTAGGTACAATGTACTTTTTTATTACATTTTGTGACAATGACGACCACGCACGGGAAGAGCAGAAAACTCAATAAGGGAAAGCCGAGTCGAGATTTAATACTTGGTTTATTGTCTGTCAGGCGTTGATTTGGAATAATTTATTATTTGCTACTAAACACTAATTGTTGAATTATGGAATTTGAAAAAAAAACATGTCAACCCCATGACAACCGCAGGGGGAGGGGAATGAAAGTGTGAAACCCCTACTGACTGACTGCACACGCCTCTCGGTTAAGCGGTCATACACTCCACACGGAATGCTAACATCTATTAGAATCTATTTGTCATCATCAAGTCTGCCAACAATCAGGCCACAAATTCCATGCTACGACCAAACCATCAAACGCGATGTAGCAATGGATTTACTTTGTGACACTCAACAAAAACCCAATTAAATTGCAGCATTGTGCTGGTTAGTGGAGTTCCAACACAATGCCACTTTTAAATTTGCCAATAGTAGCGGCAATGGCCTAAATTTTCTAAAACTGTGTTTTAGGCTAATATTCGTGATATCCAAAATTTATCCTTGATAAATACCCGATTGCCACACTTCCATCTCCGTCACATTGTGAAGTTTCCTCCACAATTGCAAAGATTTTTAAGGGAAAAAAATTCAAAGCGAGGATTTGGAAATATCGCCAAGAAACTACCGACTTACAAAATAGAAGCTTGGAATTCATCAGGAACAGGAGAAAGAATGGGGTGAAATGATCTCAGCAAAGTTTGTGACCATCTTAAACACTTTAAAGGAAAACTTTTAATAGTGTTCTGTTATCCTAAAATAATCCTGATCCTATTATCTTTTCAGAATTATATTAGAATAATGAGTAACAGTTAGTACAGATTTAGCTAATGAAACACTCTAGCAAGGATGGCCTTGAAATGTATTTTATTTGCTTGTTTCAGGGAAGAACATGTCCAGTTTCAGATGACCCCTCCAGATTTCCCTCAATGTGATAAGATTGAAGCGGACATAAAACATTATGAAGAGACTTGGGCTCTATTTGACACATTTAACTCTGGTAATTCACTTGTACATAGTTGCTACACCCTAACGACCATTTAATAGAGCTTTGCTATTTTTTACAAACTTTGTAGTCTTTACACCCACAATGATAATAAATTTACAAAACTCTATTGATTTCAGAATTAACGGATATGGCAAAGGAGGAATGGATAGTGTTCAGGAACAAGAGTCAGCTAAAGTTGTTGAAGTTTGTGGATGACTGGACAGATAAGTTGGAGAAGACACCAACCACTGCTCTGACTGTGAGACTTCTACAGGAGTTGACTCAGTACAAGGTGTGAGAACTTGCCTCACCTTGATATCAATCATGTTTGTTTGTTCTGCATTTCGAGACACTTAAAAAATTAAATAAGCGATCACGCAACCTTCACTTAAACACGACTGGACGTTAACTGACTTGATGCAAATGTCTGTAAAAAGAGACGTCCTTGTTACCTCCTCTACTTCAGGATAGTTTCAATTCAGCCCTTTTATATAAAGAAACAAGGATAATGATTAAGATGAAAAATGTGATGGAATTCTTCAGTTTTCCCACATTGTTGTCACTTTGGTACTGTAATCAGGTGTTTTTTTTCTAGCAAGGATCATTTCTTAAAAGTTCAATGATCAAGAACGGCTTGGCCCTGTTTTTAACGTCAATAAACTACAGATTTTTCTCAGGATCAAAACGGCAAGCATTGTAACGACTCATCTACCCAGCTATACTGTATAATTACTGTATAACACTACTGCCATTGAATACTGTTGGAAACAGGAGTTACAGGAGTTCCTGGTAAACCGAAAATTCTTCATTTAACTGATGTAATCAGACCATTATTCCCGGAGGATAATTATCTAAGGGAATTTAAATTTGAGTTGGCAACTCAGTCGTTAGTGTGATGTTAACTCGAGGCAGCGTCCAGATGCCCCTAAGATTTATCAGTCTAGTTCACTACTTTACAGTATAGGCTCACCTCTTGCTTAGCTTGATGCATCCAACTCAACTTTGAAACCCATGTGGATAGTCAAATGCAAGGTTGAACAAGGCTGCTGATCTTTTAAAACATCACTACATTTCTTTCCAATGCTTTGTTGATGGGCAGAAAGGCTTGAGGAAGGTTGGGTCAGTAGTACGTCCTGTATAACAACGGTGAAGTTCTTCACCCAAAAAGATTTTGATTTTATGTTTTGATTTGCAGGAACTTGCCCCTGGTTTGAAGTACCTCAAAGGAGAGTCGTTCAGTGAGAAGCATTGGGTGGAACTTTTTAATCTGCTGCAATCTCCCTTCAAACCTGTGGAGATTCTAACCTTTGGAGATTTCTTGGAGATTAGGCAAAATATTATAAAGAATCTGGATATTCTGCAGGTAAAAATCGCTGCTTTATTCTTAACACCCCTTTTAATAGTCCTTGGATGGTTGTAGAAAGGGAAAAATTCCTTTGTATAGTTCTTTATTGAACAAGACCAACTAATTTAGCTTAGGACATTTAGTATAAGCCCTATGATTGAGAAAAACTACCCGAAATTCAGCATCAAACCATCAAAGAGCTACTGAATTTTCTCAGGATTAATCCAGTGGCCTTCTTTTTAACAGTCGAATGCACTGTATCTACTTGGGAATGATTCTCCAGATTTCCAGAACAACATTGATTTTACTCTAGTTGAATTGTTGTATGGAGGATTGGGTTATCCTTACATTATTTCTTCCTGGAAAAAGTAACACTTTTAAATGTTTAAACTTCAAGGACCTGAACACCCGAGCAGCCAGTGAGATTGTGATCCGACAAGCTCTGGCAGAGTTGGATATCTGGGAAGTGGAGGCTAAGTTTACAGTTACAAGTCACACTGACTGCAAGGGTCAAACTATACAACTGATCAAACACTTCAATGACATCATGGGAAAGGTAAAACATCTCTTATAATTAAAAACCAATGTACTTGCTTGCATAACCTCACATCAATTATATAATGATTGCCCTTAAACTAAGGTCTACAACGCTCCTATTAACAGGTGCAATTAAGCTCATATCGGGACAAAGATAGTCCAAATCTAACTCTGGCCCTGTATCTTTTCCCATTAAACCATAACAAAATAATAGCAGAATGCAATTCTTACTAGGGTTGAGTATAGCCCCTCCCATCATTGGCTACTATGGCAATACTGAGCTTATGTAGGTGGGAAGCAGGTAGACTTGTGATTGTGATATGAGAAGTCAAAACACAGCGTCAGTCTTAGGTTTGAACTAGCTTTCTGTGTCAAGCTTGTATGTAAGCTTAGTATTCAGACTTTTGAAGTCCTCACTAACTATATGGAACAAGTTCCCAATCCTAACATGGTCTACACTCTGTCCTCCGTGTGCATCGTGTTTCATGGTGCCGGGTTTTTGTAATGTTCATTTATTGTGTTCGTCCGTTTGTCTAAGATTTGTTTAAATGGGTGACTTATATGGATTTCAACTTTGACAACTTCTACTGGAATGAAATTTGATATCCTTCACAGCCTGAAGAAGCTCCCCTTGGGGACAAAACTGCAGTAGCCTAGTACTATGGATCACTTTGCCAGTATAAGGTATCTAAACCATTATTTATTACTATACCAGAGATCCGGAGGTTAACAACATGAAGAAAAAAAATTAAGGTTCAACAATAGTTAAAATATACCATCCTGTTAGGGGTGAAACAAAAGTCATTCTTGTGGAGCATGCTTTCAAGACTTTTTTTTAAGACCAAAATTTGTTTTGCAGGTTGGAGATCACCAGTGTCTTTTACAGTCAATTAAAAGCTCGCCCAACTATGATAATTTCCAAGATAGAGCTGCCTTGTGGGAAACACGTCTGTCTGACTTGGATAACTATCTTCGCAGTCTCAACCTTATACAACGCAAGTAAGTGGGTTCAAGTCAAAACTTCTTAGGAGAGATTTCTCTTGAAATTCTTGATTCAATACATTGTTAATACAACTAACGGTTTCATTTATGTAAGGTGGGTCTATCTGGAACCTATCCTGGGCAGCGGGACACTGAAGATGGAACGTGGAAGGTTTGAGCGAGTGGACCGCGACCTTCGTCTGATCTTGAGTGACCTTTCTGCAGCAAACTACAAAGTCATGACGCTGTGTCGCATCCCTCACTTGAGGAACACCCTGAATATGCTGCTACAGCAACTCACACAGTGCCAGAAGAGTCTGCTAGACTATCTTGAGGTAAGTGTTCTGCTTCTGAAGAAAAGTCATTACTCCGGTTACATTAAACTGATCCTCACTGACCTGTCTGCAGCAAACAACAAAGTCAAGACTGGTGATACCTCAAAATATTCTTGGGGAATACCACAAAATATGTTGTTTGCAACAACTTAGCCAGTGTTAGCAAATTCTGGTTCTCATTTGCAGAAGAGTTAGGTGATCTCAAGATTTATATATTCGTGTTTTTGTCTCTTTTCCTTGAACAATATCAAGTTCCCATGCTCCTCAAATGCCTTCTTACACTGTTTATGTTTTAGCTGTCCATCCCTTTAAATATGACTAGCTGTACCCACGGGCTTTGCCCCGTTTAACTTTATAAGTGAGCTCGTTCGCACGGCTCAATCACGTCCTGGTTGAAGTTCGTTCGCTACGCTCACTCACCTTTTGGTTGCAAATTAACTGTCATAAATTAAAAAAAAATAATAGTGCTGCACCCTGTTGGTAATCCTCGTAACTTTAATGCTATCGCACATCATAGAACAGAACCAACTTGTTTAATTGAAACAGCTGTTAAGATTAATTAATTCCATTTAAATATGAGTACTCATAAGGTTAACATGGGAAACTCCAGAGCCACTGGGGCGGAGCCCGAGAGTCCGATCAGAATAAAAACTACTTAGTTTTCCTATTTAATGCCTAAAGAATCAGTGTACCAAATTTCAGCCTCCTAGGTAAATGGGAAGTGGGAGAATTAGTGATTGATGAGTGAGTGAGTGAGTGAGTCAGTCAGTCAGTGAGGGCTTTGCCTTTTATATATGAGTGAAAATTTAAAAACGTACGTTTTTAACGTCCATGTCACTGGCCCGGCCATGACGGAATTAGTACATAAGAATTATGCTAATATTTAGTACCTATTTCGTACTATTTAGTACCAACAAACAAAAAATTAGTACCCCACTCGGTACCGGATAACTCATTAATTTAGGATTCCGGGCCAGTGACATGCTGGCCCGGCCATTTTCGAATTTGATCCTAATATGTATACCATCATTTAGTACCTATTTCGTACTATTTTGTACCTCCATTAATATAATTTGTACCTCAAAGAAAACCAAGCTACGGGCCCGTTAACTGTACAGGTCAATGACCCCTCAGCCCGGCCATATCGGAACCTATGGTTATAAGCTATACTACTATTTAGTACTTATTTCGTACTATTTTGTACCTCCATTAATATAATTTGTACCTCAAAGAAAACCAAGCTACGGGCCCGTTAACTGTACATGTCAATGACCCCTCAGCCCGGCCATATCGGAACCTATGGTTATAAGCTATACTACTATTTAGTACTTATTTCGTACTATTTTGTACCTCCATTAATATAATTTGTACTTCAAAGATAACCAAGCTACGGGCCCGTTAACTGTACAGGTCAATGACCCCTCAGCCCGGCCATATCGGAACCTGTAGTTATAAGCTATGCTACTATTTAGTACCTTGTTCGTACTTTTTTGTACCTTTCGAGGTAAAAAAATTACCTCAAAGATAAACAAACAACTTATGTTACATATTGTATGTGTAATCGTGTTATTGTTAGTGGTTAATTACCCCTCAGCCCGGCCATGTCACAGTTTCTAGTTATAAGGTGTGCTATTATTTAGTACTCAATAATTAACAAGTGATGCAGTTATTTGGTGGTTATCTCCAACTATTCAGTTCTTCATATTAAACAATATGTACTACTCATACAACCCAAGTAATCAATGTGTCGAGGTTTAGGCTATTTTGGTGCGAGGGTACTGTGGTGATTTTTTTATTTCATTCAACATTAAGTTCACAACTTTGTTAATTTTTTCTTTCTTTTTTCTTAATTAATTTATGTTGTAAAACTTAACGAGCTGTTGGCCCGTCCTACGTAGGGAATTTAGTAGTCAACTAAAACTGAAGTAATATCAATATTTCTAGAATGTAGAATGTTAGCGTCGGCTGCTAGACTTTTTACAATTTTAAACTTATCTTCTAAAAAACTGAAACCCTAAACTAAAATTATGGCTTCAACATTCCCTAGTTTTCAAAATTATTTGTCTTTCAGTTTTTTTAGTAGTTTTTTTTTGTAGTTTTTTTAGAAGTACAAATTATATTAATGGAGGTACAAAATAGTACGAAATAAGTACTAAATAGTAGTATAGCTTATAACCATAGGTTCCGATATGGCCGGGCTGAGGGGCCATGGATCTGTACAGTTAACGGGCCCGTAGCTTGGTTTTCTTTGAGGTACAAATTATTTTAATGGGGGTACAAAATAGTACGAAATAAGTACTAAATAGTAGTATAGCTTATAACCATAGGTTACGATATGGCCGGGCTGAGGGGTCGTTGAACTGTACAGTTCACGGGCCCGTAGCTTGGTTTTCTTTGAAGTACAAATTATATTAATGGAGGTACAAAATAGTACAAAATAAGTACTAAATAGTAGTATAGCTTATAACCATAGGTTCCGATATGGCCGGGCTGAGGGGTCATTGACCTGTACAGGTAACGGGCCCGTAGCTTGGTTTTCTTTGAGGTACAAATTATATTAATGGAGGTACAAAATAGTACAAAATAAGTACTAAATAGTAGTATAGCTTATAACCATAGGTTCCGATATGGCCGGGCTGAGGGGTCATTGACCTGTACAGGTAACGGGCCCGTAGCTTGGTTTTCTTTGAGGTACAAATTATATTAATGGAGGTACAAAATAGTACGAAATAAGTACTAAATAGTAGTATATTTTATAACCATAGGTTACGATATGGCCGGGCTGAGAGGTCATTGACCTGTACAGTTAACGGGCCCGTAGCTTGGTTTTCTTTGAGGTACAAATTATATTAATGGAGGTACAAAATAGTACGAAATAGGTACTAAATGATGGTATACATATTAGGATCAAATTCGAAAATGGCCGGGCCAGCATGTCACTGGCCCGGAATCCTAAATTAATTAGTAATCCGGTACCGAGTGGGGTACTAATTTTTTGTTTGTTGGTACTAAATAGTACGAAATAGGTACTAAATATTAACATAATTCTTATGTACTAATTCCGTCATGGCCGGGCCAGTGACATGGACGTCGTTTTTATGTCCCTGGCCTTTTACTTCGTAGATACTGGATTTGTAGTTTATTATTATGTGTTTTAATATTTTTTGGGACGGGGGAAACATGTTACACACATTTATTTGGTTTTAAATAGGTTCTAGGTATTTTGTTCGTATTTTTAAAGTCTCGAAATTCACGACCATGACGTGTCCCTAGGGTACATTTTCCAACTTTCACGCTGTTTTTAGACTAGTTATTCATGCCGAAATATATAAAGCCATATTTTTATGTCATCAATGGTTATTAAACTTACAAAAAAGGAGCATATTATAATTTTATTGTCATTGCAGACTGACTACCATGACAAAATAAGTCTGTCCCTCGATTTGGCGTCACGATCATTTGGGAAAAATTTTCAACTTTGGAGCACGACAGTGGCAAGCCTGGCGTCGATGGAGTCAGTTGGTTTTAGAGACTAGTTCGGGGTGTACGTCAGGATTGTAGTGCCGGTCGTTTTGAGTTAAAAGGAGGAATTACAAGATTAATAAAGGAAAGATTGTGTTTTTTTGTAATTTTGGTGTGTCCATGACCGTAAGTAGCCATTCGATGAAGTAGACATGGTGTTAATTTTTGTTTATAAGATATTTCAATTGCTAGATTAACCTAGAAGTCCACTTTGTATCCTCGACATGAGGTGCAGGGCTACCGCCAGAACAGAGTCAAATAACACGTAATTTCACGACCAAAGTTTCACGACCATCGCGGTTTTTTTCACGACCAATCCAGCCTTATGGATTATAGTGTGTTTGGTCGTGTCAATAACTTTAGTATAATTGTAAATTGAACAGTTTAGTTCAATTGAAACACATAGTTTTATTATAACTAACAGTATAATTGAAGGATTGTTTGGAAAGATTTAGATTATTCCAGACAATTCACGACCGTACCGCTTGTCCCTGACCATCACGTTTATGATTTCTATCATAAAAATTTCAAAAATTAAAATATCGTCATATTTAAATGTTTTATACACAAAAGAAGCACACCTCTATACAAACATAACGATTTTTCGGGTCTCAGGTAAGTTTTTTCGGAGTAATACAAACTTAAAAAGATTTTATTGGCTTTTTTCTATTTTTTGAGTTTGTTTTATTTTTTTCTAGAAAGACCAAATATACCAAAAGCTCAGTGACCTTTTTATTGTATAATGGTCATAAAAGTAAACTAGTTTATAGCAAAACATAGTTATAAAAATAATATTAACTATTTTAAATATTCATTTAAACGTCCGTTATGGTCGTGACAGGATTTTGTGTTTTTCTACTAAAGATGCTCTTTAAAAAGAAAACTACCAAAGATATTGCGTTACCATGGACATTTTATGAAACTTCAAATGTTAATGAAATAAAAAAAAATAATAAAAGTTTTGAAAAAAGGGGGAAAAAATTTGCAAAGTGCTTTTCCTGAAAACGTACGTTTTTAAATTTTCACTCATATATAGATAGATTTTATAGATAAAGATTTTTTTTACATAGCTATGACAAGCCAATGTCATTATGATGTATCTTACTCCTATAAAATAATCACTCTATCAGTTGAAGTTCAGTTGATGAGTCGGTGGCTCAGTTGGTAGTGCCACAGACTTTGGGCCCAAAACAATTATGTAATGTATTGGGTTCTGGTACCTGCCACTACTTTTTATCAGTACAGTTTACTCTTTTCCAGTAGCAGCTCACCCCTTGCTTTGCTGGATACGTTCCTCGCATGTCCATAGCCTATGTAGACAAGCAAATGCAAGGCTAAAAAAAGGCCGCCAACCTAAAAAAATGAAAAATGTCAAAACTCTTCACTACACCATAACTATTGCATTTTTTAGGAAAAGAGACTAAGGTTTCCTCGATTCTACTTCCTCGGAGATGAGGATTTGCTGGAAATCCTTGGACAAGCCAACAAGCAACACGTCATTCAGTCACACCTCAAGAAACTCTTCTCTGGTATCCATTCAGTGGTCTTCAGGTACTTGATTCAGTGTTTATGACGATTTTCCTGCTATTGTTGTCACTCTTTTTAATGACTTTGTCATATGCAAACATTGTTGACTGATTGTTTTGTAGTTGTTGGGGAATGCCACTTGTGAAAAGGAAACTTGTAAGAATGAAAGTTTGTCAGCAGAATTATGATTTTCTGATTTCAGAGAAGGTCAGATCACAGCAATGCAGTCTTTACAAGGGGAAACAGTGGAGTTATCTTCACCTGTGGAAGTCACTCAAGATATTGAGGTTTGTAAAGTAAACATAATAAATATTTTATTACATTTTAAGAAAACTTAAACAAAATTATTAACAGAGTGGCACCATACTTTGAGATAAGTCCCAAAGGAAAGACGTTGCCTAAATAAAAATATGTTAAAATTTGAAGTGATTACCCTCTTCATCTTATAAATGTAGGTTTGAGATGGGTTGGGAGTACAGCCATTTTTCTTTATGTTATGGATATCGTTCGTTTTCAAATTCCTAACCATATGCTTCCATTTTTTCCAGTGTCTGAACAAAGGAAGGATCTGACTTCTAATCTAATGTCTTTTTAGATTGTAGAAGCATAAGGAATCGTGTTATAGGAATGTTGTTTAGGAATGTTGGATGCTTATCTTTCTGTTATTTAAAACCGTAGCCTACCTATTATGATGTTTAAAATCCAAACAGAAAATATTTCAATCGAAAGTATAATATAAATAAAAAGATATTATTAATGGTGTAGTAGTTGAGAAGGAAAATTTAAGCTTGATGTTTTTCTACTATCTTGAAGTTTTGCATTAGGTTGAAATATTAATACTCACTTACTACTTGAAATATATATGATTTACTTGTGAATTTAAGATGGACAAACAACACCTTTTTTACATTTTGTATTCACTCATTGAACTCAGTGACAACCTTTAATCTGGAAAAAAGATAAGCTATTCTAGAGCCAAAGTCTACTGGAACTATTAGACAATTATTCAGATTTCGTCTTCACTGTTGCATTACAGGAGTGGCTAAGTTGCCTTGGCAAAGAGATGAAGACTACGCTGAAGAAGCTTGTGTCAAAGTGTCTTCAGAACCCAGACCCCAGCAAGTTCCCTTCCCAGGTCTTGTGTCTGGCTGAGAGAGTGTCATTCACATCCAGGTGTGAGAAGGCCATCCAGTCTGCCAGCCTCAAGGATCTGCTAGCCACACTGAAGGTACAAAGAGATTGCTTGTTGCTAGTGATTTGTCAAAACAAAATATCAAATTTCCAAATTAAAAACAAAACCCTTGGAAAAACTACTGCATCAACCCATATTTTAGCCTTTAAGCACTTGCATGTAGCTGAACTAGCATGAGAATGTGTTTTTTTTTTCTCTTTAATATCCATCAATGTAAATTAAAGGCTTGTTACGACCAACGAGCGATTTTTTTTAGAATTATCAACTGTCATTGTTTTCAGAATCAGTTGGAGCTTTACACAAAGTATCAGCTGCAGTCAGGATCAGCTGATGCTGAAGATAAAGAGTCAGCTGTTTTGGAGTTGAAGTTGAAGGCTCTCCAGTTGGATGTTATCTACCACATCAGTGTTGTGGAGCATCTGCTGACCGTGGGAGTGTCAACTACATCAGACTGGCATTGGCAACGTCAACTCAGGTATGTAACTGGGTGGCTGAGAGGATGTTGTGCTCGCCTTGTTATCAGAAGGTAGCTGGTTCAATCCTGAGAAAATTCAAAGGTTTTTGATGGTTTTGAAAGATGACAAAGCTGTCCTTGATCATTGGGATTTTACTTTTAACTTATGTTCCTTTCTAAAAAATCTTCTGATCTTCTTAGTAATAAAGCTGTAATTTCATTCATTCATTTAACACTCATCCTCCACTCATCTTTGTTTTAAAATATACACCTAGGAAAGTTGACATTTTATCAATCAACCTATTCCCATCAGCAACACTAGTAGCCATCTCTGTGTACTATGTTTAACTAAGTTTTGCTTAGTAATTTAAATATTCTCTTTTGTATAATCTTGAGTTAATCTGAGTTAGTCAGTAAATTAAATTGTTAATTTTCTATAAGTATCTACATTAAGTCACCAGGGCTGTATTGACAAAAATTGTCAAGGTTTATGAAAAATTCAAAAACAAATACAATACATAGCATACACTAAAATTACTCAAATAAATCATTAAAAATTAAACCGCATACAATAGTACTCTTTATTTGGAAATTAGAGGCTTCCTTCTCAAATAATTCAATTAATTTGATGTTTTTGGCAATTTGTTTTGTTTTTCATCCCAATATAATATTTTGACAGATTTTCATATAAAAAAAGGGAGGGGAATAAAATTAAAAGTAATAAGGATTTAGGATTTGGAATCGGAAATCGTAATTTGTAAAATATACATATATGGTAAAGCTGTTGATTTAAGTTCTTTGGAAAAATATTTTAAAATGTTACCGTGATCAACACCGGTAGATTCTACCTGAGAGAAGATGGCAAGGTGGTGGCTCGAATGGTGGATGCAGAGTTTGTCTACTCTTATGAATATCAAGGCAATGCTGCCAAGCTGGTTCATACACCTCTCACTGACAAGTGCTACTTGACTTTGACACAGGTCAGTCTGAAAGACGTTCTTAAACTTATACACAAAAAAAATTTTTTTAATTTTTTCATCCCTACAATTTAGCATAGGCCTATTAATTGTAATTAATTATTAATAAATTGTAAATTGGGGCTTCAAAGGCAAAATATACCTCGCCTTTGATAGTTTATTTTTTATTAATTTTATTTATTCTTGTTAACCCTGTTCATTAAGCATTGTTTAGAGATATTCAATTTTTTTATTTATATTTGCAGGCAATGAGCATGGGCCTTGGAGGTAACCCTTATGGGCCAGCAGGCACAGGCAAGACGGAATCAGTTAAGGCATTGGGAGGACTACTGGGGAGACAGGTCCTTGTCTTCAACTGTGATGAGGTAATAGTGTCAAGATTCAGCTGGTTTAGTCTGATGTGGAGCTTTTTATTTTTGCCTAGTACTTAATTTATTTTTGCCTTAACTAATTGTGAAATAATCAGTCTTGGTGGCAAGAATATTTAACCAAGTGCCACGGAGTTTCCATAGAATAATGAAATCAAACATAATTAGGATGACAAATCTCTTAAATTCCTTTAATGATGCGATGGTTGAATTAAATTTGCATGAATATATATTATACTTCAAAGTTTAATTCTCTGGATGTTTTAATTTCAACATTGAAGAATCTATCTCATCGTTATGGTATTGCTGCTACTTTTTTACTTCCTTGAAATGGAAGATCGTAATGTTTGTAAAATGCTTGGCCACTGCCGTTGGGTTTTTTTTCTGAATATTTCTGAAAGGATTTGAAGAATCACATGTAGAATCCATAGTACTATTAGCTGAGGATAGCTGATGAGATCAGAAAGGTATCAGAGTCGAGTACCTAACTGAAACTTCTTCACGAGCATCCTGTAGCCACCCAAATCCAAGATTAATTTTGGTCTCGCCAACGAGTTGCCTCCAGACTCCGCTGTCCTCCGCCATGTCAACTTCTTACATCTCTAGCCACTTGGTCGCTCCATCTTAACACGTTGACTGCTGAAAACAACGTACAGGCGCTCCCCAGTGGCGGGCGATGCCCCGCCACGCAACCGAATCAGCGAACGCAATCGGCATTCAAATATTTCAGTCTGACGAATCACAAAAAGAGCAGTGGTGACTGTGCTGCGTTACCCCGAGAGTGGATGTAGTTCACTGAAACACCCAAAGGTAGCAGCACTGCACGGATCCGTATCCAGTGTCTTTGTAATGTGGGTTGAAGAGAAAAAATCCCCGAAACCGGGACAAAAGCATTCCCAGACAGGATTTTACGGGAAATTTTAGTACCAACCTACACCAAAGTAAAGCTCGCATTCTAAGCTTGCAGTCTGGCAACGATTATAACGTCTCCGTCTGAGGCTAAGCTCACACTGACTCAATATATTTCTGTTGGTCTGGTGCCGACTTTTGTCGGCGCGCGCCACATTGAAGTGCTAGCGACGTGTAGCAGTCAACGTGTTAATCTTGGTCTTTGTAATGGATGCCTTCCATCTTCCATCTAGTCGCCTCTCCACATCCTTGTTGTTGTCCTTACTTTACACCTTTCATTTACTCTTAAGTGGCAGATTGGGGTACACTGTACTAAAATACAGTAGTACCCCTACAACAAACACATATAAATTTTATCTTATAAAAAGATAGGGCATTTGCCAGGAATTATTAAGGAAATTGACAGGAAAGCAGGCTTACCTTTAAATAAGTCCATAGAGACACATAAAACATCACAAAATTAAAAGTAGAAATTTTCGTGGTCACTGACCACTTTTTCAACCACTGGAGATTGGAGAAAATCAAATGATGAGTTGAGATGGTTTCTCCAATCTCCAGTGGTTGAAAAAGTGGTCAGTGACCACGAAAATTTCTACTTTTAATTTTGTGATGTTTTATGTGTCTCTATGGACATATAAATTTTAAATTTTTAAACTACACAAATTTATTTTACTTCTTTCAGAGCATAGATGTGCAGTCGCTCACTCGTATCTTGGTTGGCCTGGTCAAGTGTGGAGCTTGGGGTTGTTTTGACGAGTTCAACCGCTTGGAAGAAGCCACTCTATCTGCTATATCCATGCAGATTCACCCAATACAGGAAGCCCTTAGGAGATCCTCGCCCAGTGTCACTCTTTTAGGTCAAGAGGTAAGAGATCTTTGTTTTGCTCCAAAGAAAATTTGTAAGAGACATGATATGGTGATATAGTTTGACATGATCTGGTCTTACCGCTTTAATTGTGGTTTGGATTTTAGGCAGGTTAGGAAGAATAGCAAAGAATAACCTTGCCTAATTAAATTTTCCCACAATGAAGGTAAAAGTCAATATTTTAAAAACTTGACCCTATCGGAAGTTTCTTAAATTAAAATTAGAATATTTTTATGTTCAGTGTTGTTTGTGTTTAGCGATTATTTCTTCTAAGGTTTGTTAACTTCATTTCAATTTAATCTGGTTTGTATTCAAAAGCAGTCAGTTTGTCTTGGACTGCTTATACTCTTTTTCTAGGGTTTGTAAAAATTGGTGTAAGGTTATGGGATTTTATGTAAGAAAACTTTTTCAGAGATAGACATTTGAGAAAGCCGTGTTCTTTAAACACATTTACACAGCTGGTCTGATACTGGCATTTCAGAAACTGATCCAAAAGCCTACTTAAGGATTTTCTCTACAAGTCTCCACAAGACCATTTTTAGTGTGGAATACTTTTTTCAAATAAAAATAGCTGTTCAATCTTTTGTTAAATATCCTGTTACATTTGACAGGTGGCCGTAGACTCCAACACTGGGATATTTGTGACCTTGAACCCTGCAGGCCAGGGATACGCAGGACGTCAGAAGCTGCCTGACAACCTCAAACAGCTGTTTAGACCAGTAGTGATGTCCAAGCCAGACGAGACTCTCATAGCTCAAGTGACACTGCACTGTGAAGGTTTCAAACATGCAAACACCATTGGCACCAAACTTGTAATTCTTTTCAATCTTGCCAGGTAGGTTTTCTTGTGTTCATATACACAGATAACATATTTTTAACATTTAAATATAAAACAAGAGTAGAGTATGACATGTTTAAGGGCCAAGAGTTAAATACTGATCAAGCTCCTGAATTAATTATCAGTACAAAAATATGGATATACCCTGCAAGATTCGTTTTTACAATCTCTCAACCATCGTTTGCCTTGGGTAAGGTTTACCATATTGACAATCTTGAGTATTGAGTTTATCTCACAGATGTTGCTGGGGTTCGGAATTTTCCTCAGACTGATCACTGCCCCTTTCCGCCAGCTATAATCAATATACTCTTAACTATGAAATAAAATGAAGCTCATAGGACAATTATTTTCAGTTTCAAAAATATTTACATGGGTCGGGTTCGATGATTCCAATTTTCTTTATCTCTTCGAGTTACCCTTTCCAGTTTAATTTAATTAATTGTGTTTACTCATTAAAATGCACATCATAAAAAAATCATGTGATAATTTCAAGAATTAATTAATTGTTGAAAAGCACAACGATGATAGTTCTATTTGGTATATGACCCGTAATGTTTTAATTTCCAGGAAGCTACTTTCTCAGCAGCAACATTATGACTGGGGTCTGAGAGCTCTCAAGACTGTTGTTGGAGGGTGTGGTAGTGCCTTGAGGGATGCCAGAACAAACAACGTCAGTATTGGTAAGTTGTTGTGTTGTTGTATGTTGCCTTGGGGGATGCCAGAACAAACAACATCAGTAGTGGTAAGTTGTTGTGTTGTTGTATGTTGCCTTGAGGGATGCCAGAACAAACAACGTCAGTATTGGTAAGTTGTTGTGTTGTTGTATGTTGCCTTGGGGGATGCCAGAACAAACAACATCAGTAGTGGTAAGTTGTTGTGTTGTATGTTGCCTTGTGTTGTATGGATGCCAGAAAAAACAACGTCAGTATTGGTAAGTTGTTGTGTTGTTGTATGTTGCCTTGGGGGACGCCAGAACAAACAACATCAGTATTGGTAAGTTGTTGTGTTGTTGTATGTTGCCTTGAGGGATGCCAGAACAAACAATGTCAGTATTGGTAAGTTGTTGTGTTGTTGTATGTTGCCTTTAGGGACGCCAGAACAAACAACGTCAGTATTGGTAAGTTGTTGTGTTGTTGTATGTTGCCTTGGGGGACGCCAGAACAAACAACATCAGTATTGGTAAGTTGTTGTGTTGTTGTATGTTGCCTTGAGGGATGCCAGAACAAACATTGTCAGTATTGGTAAGTTGTTGTGCTGTTGTATGTTGCCTTGGGGGACGCCAGAACAAACAACATCAGTATTGGTAAGTTGTTGTGTTGTTGTATGTTGCCTTGAGGGATGCCAGAACAAACAACGTCAGTATTGGTAAGTTGTTGTGTTGTTGTATGTTGCCTTGGGGGATGCCAGAACAAACAACATCAGTAGTGGTAAGTTGTTGTGTTGTATGTTGCCTTGTGTTGTATGGATGCCAGAAAAAACAACGTCAGTATTGGTAAGTTGTTGTGTTGTTGTATGTTGCCTTGGGGGACGCCAGAACAAACAACATCAGTATTGGTAAGTTGTTGTGTTGTTGTATGTTGCCTTGAGGGATGCCAGAACAAACAATGTCAGTATTGGTAAGTTGTTGTGTTGTTGTATGTTGCCTTTAGGGACGCCAGAACAAACAACGTCAGTATTGGTAAGTTGTTGTGTTGTTGTATGTTGCCTTGGGGGACGCCAGAACAAACAACATCAGTATTGGTAAGTTGTTGTGTTGTTGTATGTTGCCTTGAGGGATGCCAGAACAAACATTGTCAGTATTGGTAAGTTGTTGTGCTGTTGTATGTTGCCTTGGGGGACGCCAGAACAAACAACATCAGTATTGGTAAGTTGTTGTGTTGTTGTATGTTGCCTTGAGGGATGCCAGAACAAACAACGTCAGTATTGGTAAGTTGTGTTGTTGTATGTTGCCTTGAGGGACGCCAGAAAAAACAATGTCAGTATTGGTAAGTTGTTGTGTTGTTGTATGTTGCCTTGAGGGACGCCAGAACAAACATCAGTATTGGTAAGTTGTTGTGTTGTTGTATGTTGCCTTGAGGGACGCCAGAACAAACAACGTCAGTATTGGTAAGTTGTTGTGTTGTTGTATGTTGCCTTGAGGGACGCCAGAACAAACAACGCCAGTTTTGGTAAGTTGTTGTGTTGTTTATGTTATGCAAGATTACCTCTGTCTTAATTATTGGCCTTCTCATGATCACATCTCCTGGTTTCAAAAATGCTAGATATTCTTCATATACTTTTGTACAGATCCATTTGTATGTAATAGTGCCTTAGAAGTCTTAAAACAAACCATTTCGGTTTTAACGATTTTAACTGATGTGTCACATTAAAGAGGAAACCCCCTTTTAATAATTACTTTAGGCTACATATTGGAATAATAGCTTAAGGAGTAACTTTTTCTGCTGGTTGTATTGTTGTTAGACTCGGAGCAAGATGAGATGGCGTTGGCTGTGAGAGCTCTTCGTCTCAACACTCTGTCCAAGCTGACGGCTGCAGACAGTCGGGACTTTGATCTCCTGGTGAAGGACACATTCCCTGGCGTCCCACTGGAGAGTAGTAACGACACACAGATGACCCAGGCCATTCAACAGAGCTATCAGGATCTGCACCTAGTGTACAACGCAAAACAGGTTGGTTTGTACTTTGTGTTTTGTACAAAGACATTTGAAGTTGATAGTTGATTGAGAAAGAATAATGATAGTAAGAATATTATAGTGGTTTAGATAAATAGCTACCTTTTTGCTGCCGGAGTGATTTTTTAGTTTGTCTAGGCCACTGGTTTGAGGAACTCCAGGCTAAAAGGTGTCAATTGAACGATAAAAAAATTATCAAAAATTTATACTTTGTGGCCTGATGAAGACTCTCTTTAAGATTCTAAATAAGTAGCCTAGACAGACCACGTGAAACACTCCGGCAGTAAAAGATATTTAAACCACTGTTATATATGTAAAGTACAGGATCTGTTTAGTTGGTCCACTTGAAATTTACTCTTATTACTTTTACTTATTTGTAATGTATGTATTTCTAACAAAACCTTGTAATATAGATATACTCAATTTTGTTTGTAAGATTAAGGGTAAAACATGACAAAAATAGGTATAATCAAATCAATGGCAATCTCAAATCAAAGTCTCTACCAAAAAGAACTTGAAAAACATAGTTTGGTACATCTATTGTAAACAAAATTTTCTCCAATAAATCTAGTGCCATTTTATTTTTCATTTAAAATGTTAACATCTTCCTGTTCTCCAGGAGGGGAAGTGCCTAGAGTTGTATGAACAGCTGAGACAGAGGATGGGTGTGGTGGTGGTCGGACCTTCAGGTTCTGGCAAGTCAACAATCATCAAACTGTTGAAACACGTAAGTATTAAATTCCTAGAACGATGAAATATCCACTATTGTGACACATAAATGTAACACCCATATATAGGTGTATTGCATTTTTGGAATTATGTAAAGCAGAATGAATTTTGCTAAACTGAAGTGTGTAACAGTTTCTAATTTTACGAGGATTGTGTATAAAAATTAGGTCTCCAATGAGGCTCCAGTCTTAAGTAAGGTAAGGAAGTCTGATAATAGTGCCATGATGTTTACTTTTCCAATACTATACTAGGTAGTTCCTCACCCCTTTTGCGAGGATTTGTGGTGTTGTAGTAGCAGATAATGTTGTGAGAGAAAACTTTGAGAATTAAAATACAGAGAATACTTTTTTGTTTTTTGCCTGAAATAAAATTGTGATGAACGAGTAACAGCTCGAGCGACGAGTACTGTGAGGAAATTCCTCAACCATGAGCATTGTAGTACATGAGGACAAGAGGGCGGTGGTGGACTTTGCCCTAGACACCAGCACTAGTGCTAGACACCACTAGACTACCATTGAATCACTCCTCTGTAAATTACTTCTCTTTGGAGAAAATCAATGCTCCTACCAAGTATGAATTGCATTCTGTGATTAAATTTCTTAAGCTTAAGGGGTATAGTTTAAAGTCCATTGTCGAGTAATGGATATGAATGGAGTTGTGAATCATGTGCACAATTTTCAGGATGTTTTGAACAATGATGGCCGGTTTTGGTCGTTAATCAGTTTCGTTTCAGGAAGTGACCTATGTTTGGTAAATATTGCATGTGTATTTCACTGTGAGCAAATATGGCTACCAAGGAAAATGGTAAACCCTGGTAGACTAGGAAGAATCTAACATGGAAGCAAAGTTTCCTCCACTTGATTTATAACAAATTGTTGGTTTTTTTTTCATTAAATGGGGAAAAATTTTCAAAATACATAGCTAAATCATTGGGAAATTCATGGAGTTCAAAGGGATAGAATATTTATTAGAGAAGAAAAACTTTGTTGAAATTCTTCCATTGTTATTCTTTTACCATGAAATCAATGTTACAGGCTCTAGCACATACAGGTGTAACTGTAAGGCAGCACACTATCAATGCAAAGGCAATGTCTCACACCCAACTGTTGGGCAACATAGACCTGGACACTAGACAGTGGGTGGATGGAGTACTGAGTACTACAGCGCAAGCCGTCTACTCACAACCTTCAGGTGTAGTAGGGTTTACCACACTGATTTCATAAGTTTATCTTGTGTAAGTTGTGAATGTTGGATTTCACTTGACAGTTTTTTGTTGCTGTTTTTATCTTACCCTATTGACTTTTATTATGATTTTAGAGAGGAAATGATAGCTGTAGTCATGTTAATATCTAGGGTCGTTCTTTTCTTAGATAATTCAATTCAATTCAAACTTCTTTATTCATTATTTTGTACAATATATACATCGAATAGTATCAGGTTGTACAACAACTCAAACTAGCCTAAGTGACAATCTCATCCATTCTTCGAATATAAGTGTTCTTCGAACCTTAGGTATTGCTGCATTGATTTCACAGAGCCACTAACTCACCAACTTTAAACAAAACTTACATTATTGGTAGCCTATACAGTGTAATAAACACCAGACTCTTAAACAGTTTTAAGTAGGGAAGTTTATCTTTCAATAATCAAACTGCTCAACCTTTCTTTCAGATGTTGAGTGCTGGATAGTGTTTGATGGAGATGTAGACCCAGAGTGGATAGAAGCGCTCAACTCCGTGTTGGATGACAACAGACTTCTGACTCTACCCTCTGGCTGGAGGATACAGTTTGGACCCAATGTACACTTCCTATTTGAGACACATGATCTGAGTCATGCATCTCCAGCTACAGTCTCCCGCATGGGGATGATCCTTCTTAGGTAGGACAGATGACTCTTTGAGATCAAACATTTATTGATTGAGCTGGACAGACTTTATCTGTAAATGCTTCAGCTACTTTTGGGTTTTTGCACACCCTGTGTTGTGTCTAAAGAACCAATTTGTTACCAGTGAACTATCACCAAATGTAGGTGAGCTAAAGCAAGAACGATTGTGTACTGGGTATGCTCGTTTGTGCTTTGGATAGTTCGGCTCGTCACCATTCATGCTCACATCAGTTCCGATTTTTGACGGTTTTGATTAGTCAAAAGAGAACGAGCAAAGGCAAGCGCTGAGCACTAACTAGCACACACAAACTGAGGCCAGTACACACTCGTCTTCTTTTGTCTTGCCTAGTTGTCTAGTTCAAGAGTAACTCACTACCACTAGAGTTCTGACTGTTTTGGTTAGCTATGACGAATTTAATAAAAATATATAGAGATTAAATTATGCCTTGGTTTGTTTAAGTGAACAAATCGATCCTGTCGAAGAGATTTCTTCATCCATCATCTCTTGACCCTCCATAGTTTCCTAATTTTCTTTTTGTGGTATGTGTAGACAGTAAGTGTAGGCCTAACTATAAAAGAAAAATCTGCGACAACTTCGACATTCATTTCAGCACCACTGAACAATTTACAGTGAGGTGATTAGCGCAATATTTTTGGCAGGCAAGTTCAGCAAACAAAGGTGAGCCAGTGGGTGTTTGTGTTTCACATTGGGCAGCATTCGTTATCGTGACTTGTGCCAAACATTTGGCGATAGTGTACTGCTAATATTACAATTTAGGTTCTTTATAAACTGCACATTCCTGTCTATGAACTCTTTTTGAGGAAGGTGACCCTTACCCCAAGAGGCGTTAGAGATCCAAGAGTTCATTTTCTTAACTCTTCCAGAACTCTTCAGTCACAAAGTATATGGTCTGTTGTGTTCTCAGACTTCCCACATTACTGCATGCTTGTCAACATTGTTAGTTATCAGTGTAGGTTCTTCTTCAGCTGACTATTCCTGTAATCTGTCTTGCTTATATGTAGCCTGAGTTGCATATTGCTTTCAGTATATTCGAAAGTGTTTAGACATTGGGAAGGGAGACAAGCATAGTAATTTCTATTCAAGAATTCCTAGATTCATTAAAAGTAACTTTTATTGTTTCAGTTGTGATGATGTTGATCCAAAGAACCTAGTGGAAGCTTGGCTTAAAACCCAACCTGAAGAAGTGGTCAGCATCCTGACTCATTATGTAGAAGAGTATTTTTACAAAGGTCAGTTTGTTGTCTTGCTACGGTTGTAGAAGTTAGTAGAAATTTACGTATATTAGGCTTGTTACGTAGGCTTGTTTACGAATCATAAGAGGGTCAAGGGTTTACTTTTCCAATGTTGCAGCCTTATCCTGGATGCTGGACCAAGGCCAGATGGTAGTTTCTACATCCCCTGCCGCTCTTGTATCCAGTGGACTTTCCCTCATGTCAGGGGTCGTGTCTAGAGCTCATTTTGCTGTTGCTCTGGTCAGTGGGTTAGGCAGTAATCTCCTTGACTCGTCCAGACAAGAATTTTGTCAAAAGGTAAATATGACTACTGCTTTTCCCGTAGCCAAATCCAGTGAACATTTCACTGAACCATGGTCTTCTGTATGAGGATGAGGAATACAGATGAATCTTTTCTTGTACAAACTTGTATGGTAAATAAGCTACTTTTCCCCTCCAAGTTCTTAAGTAAAGAATTCCTTTGTTAAAAATTGTTAGTTATAGCTTTAAAAATATGATATTTCATTATGTATTGGTCCTTTCCTTTTACAAGCATGACTCGCATTATCTTGATGTAACAGTTAGTATGATTCTACATTGTATCTTTGGTGTCTAAAAATTAGATTAACTAATTTAATTCATACCCAGTTGCTATATTGGCTAGAACCCAGGTTCAAAATTTTGATTTTACATAGTTTTTTGTACCTCAGACACCCATTAATGTATTCCTATTTGTCCAAAAAAATCTTTGAAAAAATAAAATGTTAATCATTTGAATACATCTAAACAGGGTTGGTTGAGTGGATAGTGGAACGTTTGGGGTGCAATGACTTGAAATAAAAACACCATTTGGGGAATTAAATAAAACCCGGCCGACTACATGTTTACGGTTTGTTGGAATCTTGAGGACTGGTCAGCAAGGAAACTTTTGGAACGGCGGTTAAACGTGGAGGGAAAAGTGGCGTGATGGGTTGTAGCCAATCCGGGAGCTTTATTGAAATCATACGATATGACGTCACAGTCGCCTGATCGCAGTCAGGACACAAATGCAAAACATATTGCCAACTCTTTATAACAGAAATCTAAATATCGTAAAAATGGCAAAATTATGGTACATTATTATTGTATACACTACATTTCCTCCCCTTTAAGTTTAAAATATTTTTCTTAAAATACGCAATCTTTATCAACACATCAAACCAATTAAATAATCATTAAATAACCTAAAACAAAAACACTTTTATAAAACAATATTGTATGATTCAATCAAATAAGACAAAACAATAAACATTAAAACAAGCAACCTTGGTAAAATTGGAAACAAAACACAGAAATAAATATTTACAAATTCAACCTTTCAGGAGGTTTTATTTCTCTGGCAGATCGCCTCAATGGCGATGCTTGTTTGGGTCGATCAGCTGATCGTACAGGTGATGTAAAGGTCACGTCCGGTGGAGTAAGCGATGAGCGCGTACTACTACGTTTACTACGTCCTGGAGTACGAGGTGTACTCGGCATTTCCGGTCTCATGGGTGAAGCTCGACCAGCTGACTGAGCATTGTTACCAACATCCTGGTCAAACATATGTTCAGCTGGAGGCAACACTACCTCTCTAGTAATATCATTCTGTTGATCATTCAAATTTACCTTAGTGTTTAACCCGACCAGCTGGTCAATATGGCGTTTCCATACAATACCTGAGTCTAATTTTACTAAATAAGATACAGGACTTAACATTTTAATCACTACACCTTGTGTCCATTTATTTCTTCCCCTGTAATCACGAACTAAAACAGGCTGTCCTATTGACAGTTCTCTAGTTTGACTTCCCCCTTTGTTTACAATTTGTTTGTTTTGGTTTGACAAAACCGTTTTACTAACAGAAGGACGTATCAAATCTAATGTAGTTCGCAATACTCTACCGAACATTAGTTTGGCTGGAGTTTCATTGGTTGTATTATGTACTGCATTTCGATATGCCAACAAAAATCACTTAAAGCTAAGTCTGGATTTTGATTTGAAAACAAAGCCCCTCTTATTCTTTTCTTTACTGTTTTTACAGCATTTTCCGCCTGGCCATTACTAGCGGGAAAGTAAGGTGGTGTCAGCGTATGCCTAACCCCATTAGCTTTAAGAAACTTGCTAAATTCACAGGATGTAAAAGGAGGGCCATTGTCTGTGACACACTGTTCCGGAATTCCAAACCTTGCAAACATAGGTCTCAATTTATTTATGACTACTTTGGCAGATGTGGAACTGACCTCCTCTACTTCTATCCATTTACTATAAGCATCAACTACAACCATATACAACTTTGAATTAATAGGGCCTAAAAAATCTATGTGTAATCGTTGCCACGCTGACTTTGGGTATTCCCATACATGTAAATATGACCTTGACGGGCTTTGACGTTCCATGAGACATTGCGAGCAACTATTGGCAAGTTCTTCTATGTCTTTATCTATTGAAGGCCACCATAGATAAGAACGGGCTAGAGCCTTCATTTTGACTATCCCTAAATGTCCACAATGCAATTCTTGTAACAGTCCCCTTTTATACATTTTTGGAATGACAACCCGATAACCCCACATTAATATGCCATGCTCAATAGTTAGTTCGCTCCGCCTTATGAAATAAGGTCGTAATTCCTCGTTTACCTCATTAGGCCAGCCATACAAGACATAGCCAAATACCTTACTTAACTCGTGGTCTTTTTGTGTTTCCCTCTTAATATCAACAAAACTAATTGGAATATCTCCCTCCGCTAAAAATTGCAAATAGGTTCCTACATAAGGATTTTCCTCATACTGTTCGTTAACATGTTTGGCTTGCAACGGTAAGCGAGATAAACAATCTGCAGACGCATTTCCCTGAGAGGAAACATATTGTATGTCAAAATCATAGCTGGCTAAAAATAAAGCATACCTCTGTAATCTGCTAGCGGCAAAAGCCGGAAGTCCCTTTTTAGGGCCAAAAATTGACAACAATGGTTTGTGGTCTGTTACTAGTGTGAATTTTCTACCAAACAAATACTGATTAAATCTTTTAACAGCAAACACAATAGCTAAAGCTTCTTTGTCTATTACAGAGTAGTTTGATTCGGCTTTAGACAATGTCCTTGACGCAAAACAAATAGGTTTTTCAGATCCATCTGATTGCGTTTGACTTAACACACTTCCGACCCCGTAGGCAGAACTATCAGTAGCTAACCTCAAGGGTAAATTTGGGTCATAATGCGCCAAAATAGGAGCTGAAACTAATTTGCTCTTAATTAATTGAAACGCTTTATCACATGATAAATTCCATTCAAATGGAGTGTACTTTCTGAGTAAATGATACAGTGGGGATACAATGGTAGACATACTTGGCACAAATTTAGAATAATAATTAACTAAACCTAGAAAAGCTTTTAACTGAGTTACATTGGTAGGCACTGGGGCGTTTACAATAGCTTCAATTTTACTAGGAGATGTGCCTAGTCCTTGTTTACTTAATATGTACCCTAAATACTCAACAGATTTACAGAAAAACTGACATTTATTTTGACTTACTGTTAAACCATGATTCTTTAAAGTTTCACACACTTGAATCAACCTCTCTAAATGCTGTTTGTCATCAGTTCCTGTTACCAAAATATCGTCTAGGAAGCAAACAACGCCGGGAATGTGAGCTAAAATGCGTTCCATTATACTCTGAAATATTCCCGGGGCGGATGCTACACCATATGGAACTCGGTTGTAAATATACAATCCTTTCGATGTACTTATTGTACAATACTTCTTTGATTCCTCGTCTAACTTTACCTGAGTGTAAGCCTGAGAAAGATCGATTTTTGAAAATGTCTTCCCTTTTTGTAAATTATTAAAAATGTCCTCAATCCTTGGAATTGGGTGGCGATTGACTACTAAATAGGGGTTGAGCGTTACTTTAAAATCGCCACATATTCTTATACTTCCGTCCTTTTTCAAAATAGGCACAATTGGAGTTCCCCATTCACTATTGCTAACTTGAGTTAAAATCCCATTATTTACTAATCGATCAATCTCAGACTCCACTTTACTTTTGATCGAAAATGGTATAGGTCTGGGTTTGAAAAACTTAGGAATTACATTTTCCTTCAACTCTAATCTAGCTGCATCTCCCTTGTAACAACCTAATGCATCAGTAAATACCTCAGGAAATTTACTGTACAGTTTACTGACAATTACTGGTTTTTGATCTAGCTTTTCAACCGTGTTCAAACTATTTTCTTTAGGGATTCGGATCGATATTTCTAGTTCCCTAATCCAGTCTCTTCCCATTAGAGGATTAGCCCCTTTAGACACAACATACAATGTTAGCTTTTTATGCTCAGATTCATGCTGTACATTTACGTTAAGTTTTCCTACAGGTTTTATTGGCTGGTTTGTATAGGAGCTCAAAACCAAATTAGTGGGCATTAATTCGAGATCAGAGAAATTATCGTTATAACACTTTTCAGAAATTACTGACACGCATGCTCCACTGTCAACCTCAAATGGCAATACAGTATGTTCTACTTTAAGATTAACCGTGATAGGTTTTATTCTATCCCTCGGTTTAGTTTCCTCGTCATTTATGGAAAATAAGTTAGCTAAATCACTATAATCATCGTCATTGTCATTGACACCTGTGTTCTCTACATAGTTTTGCTTATACTTATGAGACTTGTTACCAGAGGTAAACTTAGGTGTACAGTTCTTTTGTCCATCTTTACGCTTATCATTAAATGCAAATTTAGATTGTGACTCACCATTATTTTTCTTCATCAGACACGCACTTTCTAAATGGCCTTTCCTCTTACAAAAATTGCAAGATAAACTTTTAAAACGGCACTCACTTTTTAAATGACCAGATTTACCACAACAATAGCACTTTACTTCACTTTTTGAGCGCTGCCACGGCTTCCGCTGCTGCTGCTGCTGCTTCGAAGCGACGTTGTGGAGACGACTTCCTCCCCCCGTGTTGTGGTAGGTCAGGGCCGCGGTGTCTCTAGCTGCCAACTCCATAGATGTGGCTATTTGGACCGTCTTCTCGAAGGTGAGATCTTCTTCGCCCAGCAACCTCTTCTTGGTGGCGTCGTCCCTCAACCCACTTACGATCCTGTCCCGAAGATGATCCGGTAGTTTGTCCTTAAACTCGCAGTTGACAGAGAGTTTCTTCAGGTTGACGATGTAATCAGCGACTGATTCATGCTCTAATTGTGTTCGGAGACTAAACTTGTACCTTTCGGCAATAAAAGATGGTTTTGGATGAAGATGTCCCTTAATGATCCGTACAATATCCTCGTAGCTCTTAGTAGCAGGTTTGTCTGGTGTACATAGGTCTTTAAGCAGGTTATAAGTCTTCACTCCGACAACCGTCAAAAGCGTACTAACCTTTTTAGCGTTTGTAATATCGTTACATGTAACAAACAATTCAAAACGCTCGATATATGAGTCCCACGTTTCTTCCGAATTATCAAAAGGACCGATCGCACCGATGAACGACATCTTGAAATTTAATAAAGTTCCAAAGTTATCAATAAGGTTCTCATCAAGCGGCATTAATGTTTCACTCACACGCACTGTTCGAAGTTAACTTGACCGAATTCTTCTGTAAACACACGTACCTTCCTACGGTGCACTAGAAGTTCAATTGTCACTTTTAAAAACACACGTACCTTGCTACGGTGCACTTCGATTGTCACTTAAATCACTTAAAAACTTTTTACGCGTTGAGTCATTTTCGTACCTCGTCGCCACTGGAACGTTTGGGGTGCAATGACTTGAAATAAAAACACCATTTGGGGAATTAAATAAAACCCGGCCGACTACATGTTTACGGTTTGTTGGAATCTTGAGGACTGGTCAGCAAGGAAACTTTTGGAACGGCGGTTAAACGTGGAGGGAAAAGTGGCGTGATGGGTTGTAGCCAATCCGGGAGCTTTATTGAAATCATACGATATGACGTCACAGTCGCCTGATCGCAGTCAGGACACAAATGCAAAACATATTGCCAACTCTTTATAACAGAAATCTAAATATCGTAAAAATGGCAAAATTATGGTACATTATTATTGTATACACTACAGATAGAGTGCTCACCACCGCACTCTATGCACTTATGGAGATAAGAAGTCGCTGGTTTAATCCAGATAAAAGTCAATAGCTTTTTGAAGGTTAACAAATGAACCAAGCTGTCTGCGATTATTTGGCTGGGTAAATTAGAGTTCCAGGATGGCTAAAGGAGCTGATTATCTTATCCAGTAAAAAATCTAGACAAGGTATCCCACTCCATTCTACACTCATAGTTCATATTCGGGTTAAAATATTCCTAGTGAATCCCCATCTTAATTGTTAATGGTAAGTGTAATAATAGGAATTGAACATAAAAATCAAACTAGAACTTCTGGAATTTTTCCTGTTTGCACTAGTTTTGATCAAAGCACCACACTTACAACAGACTTACTTCGTATTTCTCTATGTCAAGGTGCTTGAGTGGACAGGAGAGTATGTCGCAAGTTCTGACTCGCCAGCTATGCTCCGCTATGATGAGAGACGAGACTGTGTGGACATATGGACAGACCAAGGCCTCCTAGATCAAGGGTCGACTCTAGTGTATACAGCACGAGTCTGCTCTGCTGCAGAGGTGCTGGATGACTGGCTGCAGCTCCGTCAGCCGTTAATTCTGATTGGTCCACCAGGCTGCGGAAAGAGGTAAGAGTCAAAATTTGATTTTGTTTATTTTATTTTGGATGTTATCTCCATATCTGATATCGTAGTCAGAGATGAGTGGTTATAGTATTCACCTGAAAATCCTTAGCAAAGTATGTCACTGTTCTACACTTATATGGTATGTGTCAAGTATTGCTTTTAGCAGTTTTGTTAGCTACATTGATAGTTATAAGTGTAGATAGGAGTTTGTTTATGTCACTCTTGTTTCTGCTATAACTTACCTGCTTATAGGTTTAAAATAATTTAAGGCATAATTCACACCGAACGGACGTCGGGCGGAGATGTGGCACGGACGAGGCACAGACGTGGCAGTGAGGGGGGTGTGTTCAATGCACACCGAAGGGACGGTGAAGGGACGGTACAGTGGCGAGACAACCTGTATGTAGACTAGACGCTTTGGTTTTTGCTTATTTCTATTAATGTCAATGGTGTTAGTTAATTTCTGTCAACTTAATTAGTACAAACAAGGGAATTGTTCTACTTCCTCACAAAATTTGATTTTAAATTCAATGTCGTCTCGCATAGTGAAGAAACAACTCAAAATCTAAACACAAAAACAACTCTACACAACAAGGTTGTAAGTACGAAGGTTGGTAAGTATAGTACAATATTTGCAGTCCGAACAACGGGCGCGCTACGGACATGCCACGAGGGACGCCGAAGCGACGTGACAGGAGGGCGGCCGCCCGTGCCACGTCACTTGTGTGTACATTGACCAATTTGTTTATATGGGGAGGCGAGGAACGGACATATGTCCTCGCCACGTCCGTGCCACGTCTCCGCCCGACGTCCGTTCGGTGTGAATTGGGCCTAAGATAACTTTTACTACAGTCATGACCAATTTACCATATGCTAAGATTTCTTGTTGATTTTCCAGTTTGGTCCTTCAGCACTGTTTCTCCAAGCTTCGCAATGTTCAAGTTGCCACAATACACTGCAGTGCTCAGATAACTCCTCAACATATTCTGCAAAAGTTGTCTCAGGTAAGGCAGAGCCACTAACCTTCCTTTCCTTTATATGGCTGAAATAGGGCAAACGTTATGTTTTAACAATTCATCACTTCATCAATGTTGTAACTTGTTATGAAAATTAGTTGCTAGACTGTTACCAATCCTTATTTTCATAATTTTTTTTTACTTTCTCCTACAATAGTGTATGGAGAAAGGATTGTTGTCATCAAAATTGACGAGTTTGAGTTTTGAGTGAAAATGTCAGTTTTATGACCTCCTAAACACAAAAAGAGTTTTTTTAAGTGATGTTTGTGTGTGTGTGCGAATGTGTATAGAGCTACAGACTACACCTGTGGTCTGATTTTGATGAAATTTGGTCTGTGGGTACTAATTCTTGGTATCTCAAAGAGTTTTTTTTTTATTCACTTTTTGGAATTTTAAAAATTGTTATGCAGATTTTAATTTAAATCCCATAGAATAACGGTAAAATCATATTTTCACAAAAATACCCTGAATGATTTTGACTAAGTTATATTACGTTGTAGCCCTTTTAAACTCTAAACAAAATTGTACAAACCTTATTACTATAAAAATCACAGTTCCTAATTTAATGCAACTTTTGTAATTTTACCCATCAAACACCATAGTTACTCTCAACTAAATACTCCTATTGGTTCATGATAAGGGTTGTTGACAAGCTAATTGGAGAAAGTATGTGTCAGATTGCTGATACCGGTTGTTTTCCCTCAGCTGTGCATGGTGGTGTCCAGTAGCAACGGAAGAGTTTACCGTCCCAGCAACTCGGAGAGACTTATACTACACTTGAAGAACACCAACTTGGTCCAGAGAGATAAGTGGGGATCCAACATGTTGACTGCCTGGCTTCTGCAGGTCTGTAATTACACATGTGTACACATATTCTTTTCTGTTAAGCATAGGGTGTGGGCATGGATTCTCTTATCACTGCATAGTTCCCTTCCACCGCTATATGTGTTACTTCTCTCTTCTCAACATCCTTCTTAACCTAAAATATCCATTCCTGGGCTTCAATTTGCATTCTCCATATTCTCCTATCCATGTTCCATCTTACTTTTATCTTCTCTTAGTACGTCTTGACCTTATCCATACATTGCCTTGAAGCATTGTCCTCTTGGTCTACTTGGCTCTAACACTGTGGATTTCTTGTCCTAGGAATTCTATTATCTTGGATTATTTTCTTTAGTCTCATAGAAATTCCTGTAGATGCAAACTCAGAACATAATTCGACTTAATACAGTAGAACCTCACTTATCCAGAACTTAGGTTGACTTACTTGATAAGAAACAAAAAATATGTAATAAAATCATTGGCACATGTAAAAGCTGCAAGCATATCATTCAGTTTGCCATAGAGGTATTTTAGTATTTACTCTTCTGTGTGAATTATGGTTTTAAAATTTCGTTCTGATGACTTCTTATAAATTCGTAATTTTTTTTAATAGCATTTGTCAGGCTACTTCAAAATAAACGTTGGTTTAGCTTTATTGGCAAAAACTTTATCTTTTGGGGGGAAATTAAGAAAATTTGAATTTTGGCTGCTAAATATATTTACAAATTTGTCTGTTTAATTAACTCCCATCAAATGTTCTGTCTACAGAAAAAAGTAGGATGTTTATGAGCTAGTATTAAACAAGATGTTTTCTAACACAGAAACAAATAGACAGTCACACCTTTCATTTGTGTCAACGTCAACAATATAGAAAGGTTAAAATGTTGTTTGAATATTGTATTAATATTTTATGTCTCACTTAGGTTCTGACCTACAAAGGGTTTTATGACTCAGACTTGGAATGGGTCGGTTTGGAGAACGTTCTTTTTGTCTTCAGTTTGTCGTCAACTGAAGGTATCAGTCTCCGCTTTCTGGCAAAGAATCTTGTCTGTTACTTGAGGTAAGTTTAAACATATTTTAATTATGTAGTCTATGATTATTTTATTTGCTGAGATTGAGAATATTACAATAATTGGGACTTTTTACTTTTTTTGTTGAAATTGATAATCATAGGATAGATTTGCTCATTGCAGGATCAAGCTCAACAATAATGACTAAGGATGTGTTTTATGAACTGGATGTGCTCAGTAAGAAATAATATTAACTCTTTACCAGGGCGATGAAAATAAAAATGTTTATATATTTCCTAGTAAAATTGTTTACTTTATTACTAGCAAAATGTATTTCCTTACCTCAAAATATCTACAATTTATTCATTTTTCAGCTCTCCTGATCGACCAGAGTTGAAGATAATCTATGGAGAACTAATCAAATCAATTTTGCCAACGAACAAGCAGACAAAAATGGCTTCAGGCCTGGCTAAGATCATGGTCAACATTTACCAAGAGGTAGGAGATTTATTTTTGGTTACTCCAGAAAAAATTTACTTTAGCCTTAGGCCCATTTTTCTTAAGGAGTAGCAATTTGTTATGGTGAAAATGTAAATAATCTTATACATAGTTGTATCCAGGTCTCTGCAAGGTTCGGCAGTTCCCAGCAGCTGCACTATATGTTCACTCCAGCCAATATAACAGCTTGGTGTCATGGCCTACTGAGGTATCCTCTAACCGACAATCAGTGTATCGTTGAGGTAAGCAGTCTTTCTTGATATTTATCAAACACGCTAAATTAGGTGGTAGAGTGGTATTTAGATGGATTAAAACATTTTTTTCATCACTAACCTTTTACCTTGGAAGCGAGACCTGGGTCCTATCCAAGAGAAATGAAGGACACTTGATTGTTTTTGAAAACAAGGTCCTAAGAAAAATATTCGGCCCAGTAAACGAAGAAGGAGAATGGCGGATTAGAAAAAACAGAGAGCTACGAGCGTTATACCAGGACCCTGATATAATAGCTTTGATAAAGGCAAAAATATTAGGTTGGCTAGGTCATGTATTGCGAAGGGAAGAAGGAACAAGACTGAAGGAAGTATGTTCTGCTGTACCAACTGGAAAGCGTCCACTGGGTAGACCAAAAATGAGATGGTATGACCAAGTTAAGAGAGATGTGAGTCAGTGTGGAGGGACAGTGAGATGGCAGCGGACAGAGAAGCGTGGAAGAGGCTGATCTACGAGGTGAATAATCGACTGCGATTTGTAGCGCCCCAGCAGTAAGTAAGTAAGTAACCTTTTACCTTTCATTCAAATCTAAAAAGAGACTATAGCCATAGCCTATGTTGATACAAAGCCGTGGAGAGACAAAAGTGGCAGGGTTTTTGTCAAGATGGAAGAAAGTATGTGTCAGATTACTGAACCGTTTATTTTCTCACAAACTTGTAGGCTCAGTCTACTTGTAGTATCAAACATCAAACTATGCTATTTACCTTGTCAGGCTCTACTGTATGAAGCATTGCGACAGTTTGGCGACAAGCTTGTATCTGAAGAAGACCGAACGACTTTATGGGTGATCCTCTCAGAAGTCATGGAGAAAGAGTTCAACCTGAGGATTGGAGCCGAATCTCTCAAAGGTAAGAGATTTATTTACGTTCGAGCTTCTGTGTTAGTTGGAAACTGCAATGTTTTTGTTTCCGTTTCAAAGGCTGCATGTTATTTAACCCTCCATCTGGCAAACGACCGCTGAGCTAGAGATACAACTGGTAACATTGAATGAGAGAATTGACAAGTGGCCGCCATATGTACCGGGGTAGAGTATATTGTACTTGGTACATTGGAACTAGTGGAATAGAGGATTGTGGGATTGTAATGAAGCCTTTGGCCTATGAGCTGGTCCATGTCCCGAGTTGGTGCCAACATAACCAACTTTTACGTGTAAAAGTTGCCGTGCCATTGCTACCTCCAGTTTTATTTCTAGCTCAGTGCAAATGACTAGTCCACTAGCCAATAGTAAAGTGTAGGAATTTATTTACATTACTTCATTCAGTTTAAAAAAAAATAATTTTATTCAGGAGTTTGTAGCATGAAATTTGATATAACAAACATTGATGTTCACTCTTTATTTCAATAACCCATATATTACTGACGTGTTCCTGTTGAAACATATACAACAATTAACTTCTATTGTTAACAATTTTTATATTCAGTTCAAGTTCAACAGTTTAGAACGATACATCCTATTAAATATTTCCAATTAATCACCTCAGTTTTTATTCAATTCAGGACACAACATTGACACATTTTAAATCCTTGGAAGGAAACCGTAGAATTACGCAATTGCTTGTCCAGCTGCAAACTGCTTCACTATGAAGTACAATTCTTTCCCTTCAAGAACATATGTTGTTTGTCTGGTTTATTTTGATGAATGGTGTAAAGATTAAAAGTATGAACAAAAGGTTTGTGTTTGATATTATATTCTTAGTTTAAATTAACAGAATAACATACATGGAACAATTTTAATTTTTAACCATGTAAAATCATAGTTTGATTAAATTTCCAGATGTTCTGTTTGTGAGTGAGACTCCAGGGCGGATGGACGGGATGTTGTTGAGACTATCTGTATCAGACTGTACTTCTCTTGTGGAGAAAACTCTAAATCAACTGGGTAAGTACTGTACAGTAAAATTGGGAAAAAATATAAAATTTTACTTTCAGTGGATTTCGTACGGTATGAATGCTACATACCGTCTTCTCCAGCCTGTCCATCAATTTAATTTAATATGTGTAAAAATCCCCAGTAAAATTGGGAAGATACATTGTTGGAAGTTTGCTTGTTTAAGGACAAATTTCAATCAAATTCGCAAATTTGTTCATATTATACTAATCTATCAACATTTTAATGAAAAACACACCTTAATATCTTTCCATCATCAGCAAACCTTAGTAATCATTGATATTACTGTTATTTAAATAGGATATAAATCTGAAAATTTTAAATGAATACTTCAGTGGAAATCCAGCCAGATGAATGGGAATTTTCTTAGCTGCAGGTTTGCTGTGGTGGGGTATTTTTATAGCTTTGTGATGCTGGGCGAGCCAAACAAATGACCCCACACGCTTTATCTTTGACAGTAACAATTTTTTTTTTAGGAGACACGACCACCCTGGTACTACCAGAGCTGGTACAATTGGTGGCCAGGATAGAGAGGGTGATGAGCTGTAGCGGAGGGTCCCTGGTCCTGGCTGGGAGGTCAGGAGTCGGACGTAAGACTGCTGTGAGGGTAGTAGCTGCAAGACACTCTGCTACTGTGCATAGTCCCAACATCACCCATAACTATACACTATCTACCTTCAAAACGGATCTGAAGAATGTAAGCGCTGGTCCTCACAATATATTTGGTTATTCACTTGTAATTCAGTAGTTGTTACAGTCCTAGTGAGTAAATCCGATTCGTTCAATCCTTAGAAGTTGTAACAGTGAAGCTGGGTAGCTAGTGGTGATAGTGCTCCCCTAATTAACAGAATATTGCTGATTATGTGATCAGAATGCCCTATCGTGACAAAAAAAAGTTTAGACTGAAATCAAGGCCGCTTTAATAAATGGACCCCTCCAAGAGGTTATTGGTTGGTTGGGGGCCAAGGAGGAGAAAAATACCCCTACAAGGAAGGAGGTCCCTACAATCATCTCTCGGGCCCATAGCACATCACATGCAAATCATGGGCCTGACAGAAATCTGAAGTAGACTGTTGATCAATTTCAAGCTTTTGTTCTATAAGATGACAGTGTTTTAACGAGCAATCTACACCGCTGAAAGATTTTGAAAGGAAGAATCACTATTATTGGGTACAAATATGCTGAGTCATTCTAGTACTCGTATAACAATTATCAGGACCCCAAAAATTTGATCCTGAGAAACGTCAGTAGCTTCTTGATCGTTCAAAACTGTCCTTGAATATTTGAATGACCCTGGCTAAAGAGACAGCCGATCTTAGTCATTATCAAAGGTTTACAGTAAAATTCAAAGATAACTCCACTATACACTTTTGGTCGTGGTTGTTCGTGTACATAGAATAAAATTATGACCAAATAAGTAATAGAAAAGTATTTTAATAAGAGTTAAATTGTGTGTACATTCCTGTAGAAAAACAAAGATCAGACTAACTTAATGCGTTGCTATGACAACGTCATCAGCTGACGCTACACCAGCCCCCCACGGAGAAAAGGAATCTATACATCATTTTGAAAAGTAACCCGTGGTCGGATTTGTCTTCCAGAACGAGTTGTATAAGAATTCGTAGATGGAGTTTGACAAGATGGTGGTAGTTTTGAGGATTCCTCTGCTTGTCCAGTCGGCACCAAACGTTTCGTGGGCTCAGGAATAGGACTTTCATCTGCAATAATATAGGCTGGCTTGACCCTGTCCAAAGATACCTTAGTTTCTTGGCCTCTTACAATGATGGTAATTGTCTTTTCGTCACGGCATATGACCTTGTAAGGACCAGAATATGGAGCCTGTAAAGATTTTCTTAAGCTGTCTTGTCGGAGGAATACAAAGTCACAAGTATTGAGGTTCTTGAACACAAATGACCCTGGTTTAATGTGGCGTGATGCGGGTGTAGGTCTTAGTCGATTCATATGCTTACGCAGCCCTGATACCAATTCTTGTGGCTCGTTGCTCTCGTGGGAAGGTATTACGAAAAACTCTCCCGGAAGACGCAGTGGTTCTCCGTACACCAGTTCAGCTGATGAAGCAGTGATGTCCTCCTTGAAGGCAGATCTTATTCCGAGAAGGACAAACGGCAGTACTTCGGTCCAGTCTGATTTGCTGTGAGCCATTATAGCAGCTTTCAACTGGCGGTGGAGTCTTTCAATCATACCGTTGGCTTGTGGATGCCAGCTGGTAGTGAACTGGAGCTTTATGCCCAACTGTCGTGCTAGGTCTTTAAACAAAGTCGATGTGAACTGGGATCCGCGATCACATGTCAACTTTTGTGGGCATCCAAATCGAGCTATCCAAGTAGAGACAAACGCTCCAGTAACAGATTCGGCAGTTATTTGATCAATAGGACAAATTTCAGGCCAACGAGTAAATCTATCTATGATAGTTAGACAGTACCTAGAAGATTTTGATAAGGGAAGTGGGCCAATTAGGTCAATGTGGACATGAGAAAAACGTTCTGTAGGTGTATGAAAATCACCAAGGGGAGTAGAAACATGTCTAGTTATCTTAGATCTTTGGCATGAGAGGCAAGATTGAGTCCATTTGTGGCAATCCTTACGAATGGAAGGCCAGACAAAACGATCGCAGATAAGTTTTGTTGTGGCACGTATTCCAGGATGACTCAGCTTGTGGAACTGGTCGAAAACTCTACGTCGCAGTTCTGATGGCACAAACGGTCTAGGAGTTCCTGTTGAGGTGTCACAGATAAGGCTCAAATGGGTTCCAGGAATCGGAACTTTCTCCAATCTAAGAGATGTAGTACTTTCTGAAATGAGATTTTGAAGTTCTTCGTCTGACTCTTGTGACTTGGCTAAGGATTCATGATCTAAAACAGTTGAAATGGCTTCAACACGTGACAAAGCATCAGCAACTATATTTTGTGAACCACTGATGTGCTTTATGTCTGTCGAAAACTCAGAGATAAATGAAAGTTGGCGTAACTGAGCTGGAGGCAACTTGTCACGGCGCTGTTGAAAGGCATAAATAAGTGGTTTATGATCTGTGAATATAGTGAAAGAAGTTGTTTCCAAGAGATGACGGAAATGCTGCACAGCTTCATAAATAGCGAGGAGTTCTCTGTAGTATGCAGGCCAGATGCACTGTTTGGATGATAGTTTCTTGGAGAAAAAACCTAGTGGTTGCCAAGAGTCATCGACAAACTGTTGGAGGCAAGCACCTACACTTACTCCAGAGGCGTCTGTAAAGAGACCAAGAGGAGCATCAGGTTTAGGATGAAACAATAGTGTTGCTGATGATAAGCTAGCCTTGCATGCTTGGAAAGCTTCTTCTGTCTCTGGAGTCCAGGGCACAGGGAGGGAACCTTTTGAATCAGCGTCACTAAGTAGGGAGTGCAGAGGTGCTTGAAATTCAGCGGCCTTTGGCAGAAACCTACGATAAAAGTTCATAATTCCCAAGAATCTGCGAAGACCACGCATTGTCTGAGGTAACTGGTAGTCTTGTAGAGCAGTGACTCTCTCCTGAGGTGGACGTGTCCCAGCAGATGAGACTAAGTAACCTAAAAATTTAACTTCTGGTACACCAATTACACATTTAGATGGATTTACAACTACTCCATAGTCAGAAAGTCGTTCAAACAACATTCTTAGGTGTTCTTTATGTATTTCTTCAGACTGGGAAAATACTAAAATGTCGTCAATATATGCATAACAAAAATCAAGGCCGTGAATAACTTCATCTATGAATCTTTGAAATGTTTGACCCGCGTTGCGTAAGCCAAAAGTCATGAATGGAAATTCAAACAAACCAAATGGAGTGGTGATTGCTGTTTTTTGGATGTCATCTTCGTGGACGGGAATTTGGTGGTAAGCCTTGGTCAAATCAATGGCAGAGAAATGCGTACAGCCTGCTAAATTGAACGAGAAATCCTGAATATGTGGTACAGGGTATCTGTCAGGAACAGTACGAGCATTTAAAGCGCGGTAATCACCGCAAGGACGCCATCCATTTTCACCTTTAGGCACCATGTGCAAAGGTGAGGACCAGGGGCTTTCAGAGGGTCGAGCAATACCAAGCTTAACCATCTCCTCAAATTCTTTCCGGGCAGCTTTCAATTTTTGAGGATGTAAGCGACGTGGTCGACAGTGAACAGGAGGACCAGGTGTAACATTTATATGATGAACTGTTTTATGTTTCACAGCACGAGGTAAGCCTGGAGGACGAATAATATCAGGGAATTCAGAAAAAACTTCTGCCAATGGCGAAGAGAAAGATATAACTTTAATACTAGTTTGATTGTTGTTAGAAACTATTCCCTCGGCATTCAATCCCGTTTTCTTGTCAACCAAACATTTCATTTTGCAATCGGGTAATAAGTGATAGTGTGAAAGGAAGTCTGAACCTAATATAGGTATTGAAACATCCGCTACCACTAAACTCCAAGGGAAATTACGTCTAAGGCCTAAATTAAGGGTGAGAGGCATGGTACCATAAGTCTTTATTTCACTGTTATTGGCAGCACTTAGTGAATAGCTAGTAGGGAAACGTTTATATTTGATAAGGCGTTTAGGAAAACACGACACATCAGACCCGGTGTCGATAAGGAACCTAGTTCGTGAATTTCTGTCCATCACAAAGAGACGGCCGCCAGCATTTGAACAATCCGTTGCGGCCTCTACGGATTGTTGCTGAGGTTTCCCTGAAAAGAGCACGGAGAAAGACATTTGGTAGCATTGTTTTTGAATTTTCTATGGTACCAGCACCAGTTCTTAGAGGGATTAGGTTCGTTTCCTGATCCACCACGAGACTGGGAACGACCCCTAGGTCTCACCTGTGTATCTCGTACTCTGGTTTCTGATAATGCTTGAACTTGTTTAGAGAGGGATTCTATTGCATTTAATAAAGAAGTGTTACCTGAAGAGACTTCACAAATACCAGGTGTTGAAGGAATGTCAGCTACCTCCATGATCTTATCAGCCAGTTCTGCCAGTTTGTCCAAGGAGAGCTCAAGTTGCGTAGTCAATATGGCTTGTGAATGAGGAGGGAGTCGTCTGAGCCACAGTTGACGAAGCATGTTGTCTTGAAGGGGAGTCGAGCCCGCAAGAGACCTAAGATGCCTCAAAAACTGAGAAGGCTTGCGGTCTCCAAGGTCCTCTTCACTCAGCAGCCACCGCACACGTTGCTCTTCGGATGCAGAGAGGCGTTCAATCAGTTTCTTTTTTAGATGTCCGTATTTGTCGCCTTGAGGAGGGTTTGTTATGATGTCTTCGACTTCAGCAGCAATTCCTGTGTCCAATTGCGAGACCACGTAGTGAAACTTGGTGTCGTCGTTGGTAATTCCAGATATAAGAAATTGCGAGTCAACTTGACAGAACCACAGACTTGGTCTTTCAGGCCAAAAGGGCGGAAGTTTGACGGCTACTCTGTTCACCGACATGTTTTGAGAAGTGCTGGGTTGTCCAATCCGTTGACGCAGTTCTTCATTCGCAGTTCTAAGTTCGGCGAGTTGAGTCTGCAGGTCTTCTAATGACATCGTTCGAAGGAGGAAACACAAAAGATTTACACTCTTCAAAGAAAATAAGTCTTTAGATAACGGTTGTAGTCGGGGTCACCATTTTGGTCGTGGTTGTTCGTGTACATAGAATAAAATTATGACCAAATAAGTAATAGAAAAGTATTTTAATAAGAGTTAAATTGTGTGTACATTCCTGTAGAAAAACAAAGATCAGACTAACTTAATGCGTTGCTATGACAACGTCATCAGCTGACGCTACACCCTCACTCCTGCATGCATATACCGACTAAAATGTGCAAGTGTGGGTTTCTGTCTTAAAAATTTGATAGATTTACATTTTATTTTTGTCTATGATCCTGTCTTTAGAATCAGCTGGCCTTAGTCAGTAACAAAGGTATCAAAAGTTGTCACACTCATTTACACTCTTACTCTGGGTATGTATTCTAATTTAAAGACACACCTACATGTATTTCAACACCTCAGCGCATTACCGTATGATTAAATAACCTTAGTATATTTTGATCTAGTTGTTTCAACTTGTTTCCACTGTAGGCCTATTTTCACTTCTACGTTTGTCTAGTATATACATTTAATTTCCAGGCAATGCAATTAGCTGGAGTTGAAGGAGAGCAAGTATATTTACTTCTTGAGGACTATCAGATAATTAACCCTGAGTTTCTTGACCTTATCAACTCTCTGTTGTCTTCTGGAGAGGTAAGTAAACAATTACAAGATATGCTGATGTATATTATTCTGTTTTCTGCAAGGTTGTTAATAACAAAGAAATTCTTTGAAGTTTTAGAGTTATCCCTATCAGTTCAGTAAACTCTGTTCCAGTCACATGCCGATGTGAGAAAAATAGTTAACTTACAAAAATCTACTCAATCATTAATTTATCACAATTATATTGGGTTTTACCGCTATATTCATCTTTATTAATTTCTGATTGATCATTCTCAGGTCCCTGGTCTTTATCAAACGGAGGAACTGGAAGCAACAGCTTCTGTACTCAAAGATGCTGCTTCCCAGTCTAGTTTCGATGGAAATGTTTCACAGTACTTTTCTTCAAGTAAGTATTTCATTAATACATTAGTACCATTGTTTGTAAACGTATTAATTATGTTATTATACTGTTGGCAATGTGATCGTCTACAAATAATACAGTTATATCCTGCTTGAAAATAACTCAATAGACGGCAAAACCGATTGCCATATAGACAGCTTGAGGATTGCTTTGACAGTAGTAGGTAACAAAACCTCTTGTATATAATTTGTGAAGTAATCTGGAAGGCAATACACAAAATCATGTATACTGTTGGATTGAATTGGTAAAATAAATTGTTTTGTCTTACAATATGGACCCTCACACAATCTAAACCTTTTAAATAAAAAAAAAAACTGTTTATTTGGTTTGTCTCAAGGTTGACTCTCTATCCATAGAGGCATAAATGAATATTAAATGGCATATAAAATGAGTTAATTTTAGATAATTTTGTCTGGTTTGAATTTTTTAGGACCATTGATGTATGAAAATTTGAATTTAACAAAGTCGATAGTGGAAAAAGCAGTGCACAGTAGGAATAAGAATAAGGCCTACTTCAATTTTCATTTTCACTAACCAAATTTAAACATACTTTTTCCAGGAGTACAGAAGAATCTTCACGTGATCTTAGTGCTGGAGTCAAGTGATGATAGGTTCAATGTTTACTGCCAAAACAACCCAGCGTTGCTGAAAACCTGCTCAGTCCTCTGGCAGGACTCTTGGAGTCAGCACACCATGACTTTAATCCCCCGACTTGTCATATCCAAGTAAGTTCTCATCTTCTGTCCAAAACAACCCAGCGTTGCTGAAAACCTGCTCAGTCCTCTGGCAGGACTCTTGGAGTCAGCACACCATGACTTTAATCCCTCGACTTGTCATATCCAGGTAAGTTCTCATCTTCTACCAAAACAACCCAGATTTGCTGAAAACCTGCTCAGTCCTCTGGCAGGACTCTTGGAGTCAGCACACCATGACTTTGATCCCTCGACTTGTCATATCCAAGTAAGTTCTCATCTTCTGTCCAAAACAATCCAGCATTGCTGAAAACCTGCTCAGTCCTCTGGCAGGACTCTTGGAGTCAGCACACCATGACTTTGATCCCTCGACTTGTCATATCCAAGTAAGTTCTCATCTTCTGTCCAAAACAATCCAGCATTGCTGAAAACCTGCTCAGTCCTCTGGCAGGACTCTTGGAGTCAGCACACCATGACTTTGATCCCTCGACTTGTCATATCCAAGTAAGTTCTCATCTTCTGTCCAAAACAATCCAGCATTGCTGAAAACCTGCTCAGTCCTCTGGCAGGACTCTTGGAGTCAGCACACAATGACTTTGATCCCTCGACTTGTCATATCCAAGTAAGTTCTCATCTTCTGTCCAAAACAATCCAGCATTGCTGAAAACCTGCTCAGTCCTCTGGCAGGACTCTTGGAGTCAGCACACCATGACTTTGATCCCTCGACTTGTCATATCCAAGTAAGTTCTCATCTTCTGTCCAAAACAATCCAGCATTGCTGAAAACCTGCTCAGTCCTCAGGCAGGACTCTTGGAGTCAGCACACCATGACTTTGATCCCTCGACTTGTCATATCCAAGTAAGTTCTCATCTTCTGTCCAAAACAATCCAGCGTTGCTGAAAACCTGCTCAGTCCTCTGGCAGGACTCTTGGAGTCAGCACACCATGACTTTGATCCCTCGACTTGTCATATCCAAGTAAGTTCTCATCTTCTGTCCAAAACAATCCAGCGTTGCTGAAAACCTGCTCAGTCCTCTGGCAGGACTCTTGGAGTCAGCACACCATGACTTTGATCCCTCGACTTGTCATATCCAAGTAAGTTCTCATCTTCTGTCCAAAACAGCCCAGCGTTGCTGAAAACCTGCTCAGTCCTTTGGCAAGACTCTTGGAGTCAGCACACCATGACTTTAATCCCTCGACTTGTCATATCCAGGTAAGTTCTCATCCTCTACCAAAACAATCCAGCATTGCTGAAAACCTGCTCAGTCCTTTGTCAGGACTCTTGAAGTCAGCACTCTATGACTTTGATCGCTCAACTTGTCATATCCAGGTCTTTTGCAAAAAAAAAAAAAAAAAAAAACTGTTATACTGATTTCATGTTTAGCAGAACGGCTGGATTATTTAATGGAACCAGCTTTTAGGTGTACTTAGACAACATTTACATTGGATGTTACTATGCGAACCGTAACATTTTGCTGATCTTGATTGCCATACACATAATGTGTTTGTTACTTAGAATTAGGTTTATCAACTCTTTCTTCATAATGGGACTAAACATCTAGTTTCTTTTCAGGTTAAAAGGGCCGTCAAAGGAAGATGTCTTCAGTGTTGTCGAGATGTTCAAAGCTATTCACCTAGACTGTGCTGACATTTCTGATTGTTCTCCACGACGGTTCCTCTCCTTTGTGCAGACATATCTTCACATTTACCAGTCTCGAGTTGCTAACATTGCTGAAACTCAGAGCAAACTAGAGGTAACTTAACTTATCACAAAGTAAAAATGTTGTAAAATCAATATTTAAATCTAAATTAATAGCTTTGTGTAGCCTATTAATAGTTGTAAACAGCCTGAAGCGTGATACTAAATTCAAATTTCTTCCTTTACGTTTATATTGATATTTAGAATACTGAGTGAAGTAGAATTTGGTTAAGAAAACACGGCCAAACTATGACTGAAAATTGTCAAGCTGATTTATCTAAGCAGACTGCTGCCAAACAAATGGGCCACAGAGCAAGGTAAGCTATTGGCTGAAAGCAGATCAAGCTTCTACTGTTTATGATCAGGCTGGAGTGTCCAAGCTGACTGCTGCCAAACAAATGGTGGACACACTCAAGCTTGAGGCTGCAGAGCAAGGTAAGCTTTTGGATGAAAGCAGATCAAGCTATGACTGTTTATGTTCAGGCTGGAGTGTCCAAGCTGACTGCTGCCAAACAAATGGTGGACACACTCAAGTTTGAGACTGCAGATCAGGGTAAGCTGCTGGCTGACTATCAGATCAAGCTATGACTGTTTATGTTCAGGCTGGAGTGTCCAAGCTGACTGCTGCCAAACAAATGGTTGACACACTCAAGCTTGAGACTGCAGAGCAGGGTGAGCTGGTAAGCTGCTGGCTGACTATCAGATCAAACTGTGACTGTTTATGTTGAGGCTGGAGTGTCTTAGCTGACTGCTGCCAAACAAATGGTTGACACACTCAAGTTTGAGACTGCAGATCAGGGTAAGCTGCTGGCTGACTATCAGATCAAGCTATGACTGTTTATGTTGAGGCTGGAGTGTCTTAGCTGACTGCTGCCAAACAAATGGTGGACACACTCAAGCTTGAGACTGTAGATCAGGGTAAGCTGCTGGCTGACTATCAGATCAAGCTATGACTGTTTATGTTCAGGCTGGAGTGTCCAAGCTGACTGCTGCCAAACAAATGGTGGACACACTCAAGTTTGAGACTGCAGATCAGGGTAAGCTGCTGGCTGACTATCAGATCAAGCTATGACTGTTTATGTTCAGGCTGGAGTGTCCAAGCTGACTGCTGCCAAACAAATGGTTGACACACTCAAGCTTGAGACTGCAGAGCAGGGTGAGCTGGTAAGCTGCTGGCTGACTATCAGATCAAACTGTGACTGTTTATGTTGAGGCTGGAGTGTCTTAGCTGACTGCTGCCAAACAAATGGTGGACACACTCAAGTTTGAGACTGCAGATCAGGGTAAGCTGCTGGCTGACTATCAGATCAAGCTATGACTGTTTATGTTCAGGCTGAAGTGTCCAAGCTGACTGCTGCCAAACAAATGGTTGACACACTCAAGCTTGAGGCTGCAGAGCAGGGTAAGCTGTTGGGCGACAAGCAGATCAAGCTATGACTGTTTATGTTCAGGCTGGAGTGTCCAAGCTGACTGCTGCCAAACAAATGGTGGACACACTCAAGCTTGAGGCTGCAGAGCAGGGTAAGCTGTTGGGCGACAAGCAGATCAAGCTATGACTGTTTATGTTCAGGCTGGAGTGTCCAAGCTGACTGCTGCCAAACAAATGGTGGACACACTCAAGCTTGAGGCCGCAGAGCAGGGTAAGCTGTTGGGCGACAAGCAGATCAAGCTATGACTGTTTATGTTCAGGCTGGAGTGTCCAAGCTGACTGCTGCCAAACAAATGGTGGACACACTCAAGCTTGAGGCTGCAGAGCAGGGTAAGCTGTTGGGCGACAAGCAGATCAAGCTATGACTGTTTATGTTCAGGCTGGAGTGTCCAAGCTGACTGCTGCCAAACAAATGGTGGACACACTCAAGCTTGAGGCCGCAGAGCAAGGTAAGCTTTTGGCTGACAAACAAGCCAAAGCTACTGCAGCACTGGAGATGATCACTGAGACAATGACTAATGCCAACGCTCATCGAGGAGATATGGATCAATTGAAGATTCAGACTGAAAAAGAGAATCAACTACTTCAAGTCAGGTATGTTTATAGTCTTTATTTAACATCTTTTATGCATTTTGAGCTAAATTTAAAGAAATGACTTCTTTAAAATAAAGGCTTTCCATCCCAAAGTTTGGTTATTTTGTGAATTTATACAACTGTTGTTTTTTAGTAATGCATAACACACATAACTTCTACCCCAGTAGACACTTTGTTGATAGTGAAGAAGCCCAAATGAGCCCCCTAAATATGCTTCGGATCTTTTGGGATTCTGAACTTATTACTACCCACTATCTATGTTGTTTCTTGAAACCAAAACCTTATAAGGATACGCATAAGCAAATTTGGATGTCCTATGAAAATTACGCCATTGTTTGAAACTTTTATTGAGTAAAGATCTCAAAAATATATTAAATCTTTATTTGCAACAAATTGTTAGTTCATTAATCATGATTTAAACAATTCTAACCTTTCAAAACATGTATTTAGGAAGAAAGAGATAGAAACAGAGCTGGCAGAAATTCAACCACTAATAGAAGAGGCGAGGACTGCTGTTGGAAACATTAAATCAGAAGCTCTCTCAGAAATCCGGAGTCTCCGGGCTCCTCCAGAGGTCATCCGGGATATACTCGAAGGAGTGCTGAGGCTCATGGGTATCCAGGATACCTCTTGGAACAGCATGAAGACCTTCTTGGCCAAGAGAGGGGTCAAAGAGGACATCAGGTTAGTGTCAATCAACTTCTTGCGCTTCCAAGAATTAAATAAACTGATCAAACTCGACTAACTGTAACTGGTTAAGTTATTGGGTTTAATTTAGTAATTATTTGTTTTTTTGTACATAAACATCTTATCAATGTACAAGGAAAATGTGGATATTATTTTGAATGAACCTTAAATTTTTTGACTAAATGCTGCTGTTTACAGAAAACCTATTAAAAAGCATTTTTAGTGAAATGTTTGATTTGTTTACCACTGAGTGTAACAATTCCTTAAATTTGCTTGTGAATGCCGGGTCAGTTTCTAAATGTAATGCGACTAGTAGAAACACCATAAAGCTACACTCAAGCAGATTTTCTGATTTAAAGTCTTAAAATTATCTCTAGTATTTATTCATTTAAAATGGAAGTGTATTATTGTCTCTTCAGGTGCTTTGATGCTCGCAACATTCACTCAGACAACAGGGAAGCAGTGGAAGTGCTTTTGTCAGAGCACAGAGAGTCTTTCAACCCAAAGACAGCCAAGAGAGCTTCTCAAGCAGCTGCTCCACTGGCAGCTTGGGTCACTGCCAACGTCAAGTTCTCTCACGTGCTGGACAAGATAAAACCTCTAGAGCGGGAACAGGCAAATCTTCATAGGTTAGAGAAATAGTAAGAATTGTCATCTTCAGTCATCTGAGCTCGTGTTAAAAATATGCTCTGAAGATAGGTTTTCATGGTTAAAGTAGTGTCAAATATTCTGGTGGGGCAGTGAAGGTTGGAATCGTAGCATCTCCTGAAGATGGATTTTCGCAACACATCCAAAATGTCAGTGTTGTTGCCAGGTTTATTCTCAAAGACCAATATTTAATATTTCCGTTCATAGTTGAAGCTAATGGTCCGTTTTCATGAATTGTAATATCCTTTTTACTCACTGGGTAGTCTACAAAAACTTGCAGCTAATATGGTTTATGTTTTCAAAATCCAGTTATGTTCTGTATGGCCTATTTTGTATTTGTACCCTTTTTTGATTTTAGTTATAATTATGGATGCTGTGATTGACATCTATCAGATATTAGGTAAAAGCTAGTAATCGAATTGAGACATTGTTTAAAATGAGACACATTAAAAATAAAATTATCCTCACATACTCACTCAATCCCACGGCCAATGGCCATGGATACTCTAGGTGGTCTTTGGCCTTAACAACAAGCTGCCTCCATCTCCCTGTCTTTTGAATCTTCTTGCTTTGCTCTCAATTTTCGCAAATCTTTCTCCACCTGGCCTTTTAGCGATGCTTGGGTCTTCCTCAGGGTCGTCTTCCCGCTGTGTTTTGCCTCCAAACTTCTTTAATTAGTTTCCAATCTTCCCTCATAAATACATGCTCTGCCCACCTTTGTCTTCTGCCTTTCGCTTCTACTATGTCTGGAGAACATTTTTCTGATTTCTTAGTTGTGCCTAATTCTCTATCTTCCCTTTCTAAAAGGTCCAAATATTTGCCTCAAATTATATTTGCCCTTGAAGTTAATTCTTCATAATTATTTGATCACATTGATTTTTCAGGTAAAATCCTAAAACTTGTTTCACTTTTGTGTTTCAGAAATTTGAAGCTGGCTGAAGAGCGGATTGACCAGCTGAGTAGTGGACTGCAAGACGTAGACAAGACTGTGGCGGAGTTGAAGGAGAGACTGAACAGATTCACCAAGGAGGCTGCGGAGTTGGAGATTCATCTGGGACAAGCAGAGGAAACACTGAGCAGTGCGGAGAACCTGGTGCATAAACTGGACCAAGAGTACTGCAGATGGAAAACACAGGTGATTGATTAGATTACATTTATATGATAAAGACATACCTGGATGTGTATTGAAAGGAGGATTGAGTGTGTCAGTGTCAATGGATGGGATGGCTTTGTTCCTGACTAAGATAACATGGTTCTGTCAAGACCATTCATTATCAGTCCAATCATCAAATACAGCTAGGTCGTTTGATTCACAAAGTTACAGAAATTTCTCAGGATCAAGCCAGTCACTTTATGTTTATTAGGCGAGCACTCTATCCATTCAGCTAACCAGAACTACTACAAACATAAAGCTCAATTGTTAGTTTGATAGAATCTCATTAGTAAGATACTGAAAATTAGATAAACTTGTTATCAGGTTATATTTGAAAGTAAAGCCAAATGGCTATTAGGTAATGTTTTGAATAGGAATACCGTTCAGCTAGCTTACCTGTGAAAGAGTCCAGAGGCTATTAGATCAACAATAAAAGAACACAAATCATTACACTGACATTTCGTCCTGCTGTAGGGCTGCTTCAGAAAGTAGATTGAAGAGAAATGAGGATTAGGTTTTTGAAATGAGGATTAAAAAAGTGTTCTAGAAATAATCATCTATTAAGCCTTGTTACTCGAGGCCAGTAGGCATCAGGTTACCTACCTTTAATGTATTTCAAGTTACCCAAGGCACGTAACCTGCCCGCCAACTAGCTTTGTGAAGTACGACTTAACTGTGAAGAGTCTAGGCTCACTAATTGAAACGATAGGCAAATTTTATTGGTTAGGGTTTCAAGAAAACAGTCTCATCAAATATAATTTTATCTTTGAATTGTTTCAGCTGAATGAATTATCTGAAGCATTGAGTCGTTTGCCGCATCATAGTCTACTAGCTGCTGCTTTTGTCACTTATCTGTCGGCTGTTTCACAAGATCTCAGGAGGTTAGTTTTTTACCTCAATAGCAGTAAGAAGCTAGTTGCAGAAAATCAGAATGCAAAATATATTTTAGTTTATTTATTGAATTAAATGTTGAAGTTGAAAAGAAACAAGTACTTTGACCCATACCTCTCAAGTTGTGGTTGATGTCTAATATTTAGGTTCCCTGCTACTATGAACCCAAAAATATGATTTTTCGTTAAATTTCAAACACTTATTATAAAATAAATAAATTCTAAAAAGACTCAAAAGGATATCCTGAGGATCGAGGTATTGCATTTGCGTTTAGCACTGTGGATATCTCGATAACCAATAAGTTTAGAATCCAGAATAACAATGTTATAAAATAAATTGTTTTTACATTTGATCTAAATGAATGGCAGACCTGCCATTTCAAACATACGCATAACAAACTTAAGGTAAACCTTTTGTAAACTGTTGATCTGTCCATTTCTCTATGGCTTCTAAAATGGCATTTGCACAAATTAGTGACCCCTCACATCCATTGCCATAATTACTGTTGCACGTGTACCATTTGAAAAACATCCAGTTCCTGTCAGTCAACTTCTACATAACAATTCAAACAAACTGTGATTTTAGCTTGTGGGCAAAAGAAGTATTGTCTCAGACCTACTACTTACCACGAAGACTATGGTAGTACCTACTTCTTAACAGAAGAATTTGCTGGAACCTGCTTAGTGATCTAATAGACACATAGATAACCCTTGATACCATTTACAGACGTAAGCTGTCCCAATGGTGTGAGGCACTGGAGGTGGCTCAGTTCTCTCTGGTAGAGTTCCTGTGTTCTGAGAGACAACAGTTGTTGTGGCAGTCCCAAGGGTTGCCTGCAGACCAGTTGTCTGTAGAGAATGCAGCATCATAAAGATAACTCTTGATACCATTTACAGACGTAAGCTGTCCCAATGGTGTGAGGCACTGGAGGTGGCTCAGTTCTCTCTGGTAGAGTTCCTGTGTTCTGAGAGACAACAGTTGTTGTGGCAGTCCCAAGGGTTGCCTGCAGACCAGTTGTCTGTAGAGAATGCAGCATCATAAAGATAACTCTTGATACCATTTACAGACGTAAGCTGTCCCAATGGTGTGAGGCACTGGAGGTGGCTCAGTTCTCTCTGGTAGAGTTCCTGTGTTCTGAGAGACAACAGTTGTTGTGGCAGTCCCAAGGGTTGCCTGCAGACCAGTTGTCTGTAGAGAATGCAGCATCATAAAGATAACTCTTGATACCATTTACAGACGTAAGCTGTCCCAATGGTGTGAGGCGCTGGAGGTGGCTCAGTTCTCTCTGGTAGAGTTCCTGTGTTCTGAGAGACAACAGTTGTTGTGGCAGTCCCAAGGGTTGCCTGCAGACCAGTTGTCTGTAGAGAATGCAGCATCATAAAGATAACTCTTGATACCATTTACAGACGTAAGCTGTCCCAATGGTGTGAGGCACTGGAGGTGGCTCAGTTCTCTCTGGTAGAGTTCCTGTGTTCTGAGAGACAACAGTTGTTGTGGCAGTCCCAAGGGTTGCCTGCAGACCAGTTGTCTGTAGAGAATGCAGCATCATAAAGATAACTCTTGATACCATTTACAGACGTAAGCTGTCCCAATGGTGTGAGGCGCTGGAGGTGGCTCAGTTCTCTCTGGTAGAGTTCCTATGTTCTGAGAGACAACAGTTGTTGTGGCAGTCCCAGGGGTTGCCTGCAGACCAGTTGTCTGTGGAGAACGCAGCCATCACAAAGATAACTCTTGATACCATTTACAGACGTAAGCTGTCCCAATGGTGTGAGGCGCTGGAGGTGGCTCAGTTCTCTCTGGTAGAGTTCCTGTGTTCTGAGAGACAACAGTTGTTGTGGCAGTCCCAGGGGTTGCCTGCAGACCAGTTGTCTGTGGAGAACGCAGCCATCACAAAGATAACTCTTGATACCATTACAGACGTAAGCTGTCTCAATGGTGTGAGGCGCTGGAGGTGGCTCAGTTCTCTCTGGTAGAGTTCCTATGTTCTGAGAGACAACAGTTGTTGTGGCAGTCCCAGGGGTTGCCTGCAGACCAGTTGTCTGTGGAGAACGCAGCCATCACAAAGATAACTCTTGATACCATTTACAGACGTAAGCTGTCTCAATGGTGTGAGGCGCTGGAGGTGGCTCAGTTCTCTCTGGTAGAGTTCCTGTGTTCTGAGAGACAACAGTTGTTGTGGCAGTCCCAGGGGTTGCCTGCAGACCAGTTGTCTGTGGAGAACGCAGCCATCACAAAGATAACTCTTGATACCATTACAGACGTAAGCTGTCCCAATGGTGTGAGGCACTGGAGGTGGCTCAGTTCTTTCTGGTAGAGTTCCTGTGTTCTGAGAGACAACAGTTGTTGTGGCAGTCCCAGGGGTTGCCTGCAGACCAGTTGTCTGTGGAGAACGCAGCCATTATCACTACAGTGAGTTATTCCCCACTTTCTTGTTAAATGTAGAAGATCCGTTGAGATTTCTTTGTATTTTATATGGGCGTCACATGCAGAAAGGAGGCGCAAAGTTGGTGATGGGCCAACTACCACACATTACTGATTGATTATTCTCAATACACTCTGTATGTTCTCTGCTGCACAATTTCCTTCTGCTTAAGAAATCAAATAATGTTTCAAAATTCACTCTTGGCAAGATCAATTGCAATCTTTACATTACTCTAGCACAACATTTTTATTGCTTGAGGCTGTCAATGATGGTGTATGAATGAGTTTGGAACGTCGCCCACCATGTAAGCCCACTTTCGTTCTCTTCCCTATTATTACTGGCTTAAAACGACCCTTTTACAAGAGTTACCCAAAGTTACACCAGTAATAATATAGTTTTGAAAATTGAATTCAGGAAGGAAGTTATTTTACACCTAGATCTTTTTTTATATTAACGTTTTAAAATCATCATCGTGTTATTACAATGATTTTTACAAGTTTTCAAAAACTTGTCTTTGGTAGATAGCCCAATTCACACCTTATGACCCGATTTATACTTTATAAATTGTATAAATTGAGTAAAATTTAAGTATGAAGCCTTCTTTTACTCTACCTCCGATTCCAGCAAACTTTTATCTTTTATTCAGGGATACCTAGTTTTGTTGATCATTGTAGCAGGGAGCGTTTCATAAACTCCAAATTTCACAAACTCCAACGCTTAAAATATTAAATAAACAGAGCGGTTCATAACCTCCAATTTTCATAAGCTCCAAATCTATAACATTCAAATAATCACTGTTTCACAATGTCCAAATTTCACAAACTCCAACGTTAAGATACCAAATAAACAGTGCGGTTCATAATGTCCAATTTTCATAACCTCCAACGGTACAGTCTGAGCCAGAAGTCTCTACAGTGGTTGCCACAGTCAGATAGCAGGCACCGTTCGCCAGCGCTCAACTACTGATTATACGTGCATTTTATGATTGAAGAACACTCAGCTGTGTGACTCAAATATGTGTTAGCACACAATGTGCAAATCAAATTTACATTTTTACATTTTTAATACCTTTAATTCAAGCTTTCAGCTGAGTTTCTTTACAAACAATGTTTCTGTAGATTGCTTAATCAGGTAGGGTAATTTAGCATTTTGCAACGTGTAGAAAGAAACTACAATCGTACGCGTGCCGTATGGACTAATGTTTAATTACCGGGTACCTAAGGACAAAATAAAAATTAATTTATCTTTTACTGAATTTAAAAAAAAAAACTGCAAAATCGGCATGTAAACTGCGAACTCAATTAGGCCTTTTACCTTCACTAACTTTAACAACAAAACCAAGATACCAGAAAACGCCAAATAAAATTTTAACACAAATCACTAATTTCACTAGTTAATTATGGATTCAATATTAAATGGAAAACTCCTGCTTTGTTTTTATTTCAAAAACATTATAATGAGATAATATATTCTAAACGTTTTTGTAAACATTTGACGCTTACTTTAGTGTTTAATCAATATTTTGTTTAAAGTGGAATGACCTCAACGGCTACTCTGGAACTAACCTGAGAATTAAACTAAAAAAGTTCGTAGAGACAATATATTTTTTCACTAAAGCAATTACTATGACAAGTTCCAGTGAGCGGGATTTATTAATTTTGTTTGGAGAAGGTTTTAACTAGGTACATTCTGTTTCTCAAAGGAAAAGGGGTTAAAATCATATAGACTAGCATGCATAGTATGAATAAAGTACAGGGAAAACCTATAACAGTAATATTTTGAGGTAGTTTCCTTTTCTTTATATGCTTGTCAATGCTGGAGAAACGTAATTTCGTGATTGGTTTCGACAAATGGGTAATCAAACCCTAACCATGCACTGCAGTGGCAAAAATGTTAGACGTGAGCCGTTGATTAGCTTTTTCAAATATAGATGAATATAAACTCGTTAAATGTTTTAAAATAAAATCATAATATATCCATTGAATATAACATGTAATACTATCTAACAACTAAATGGCTAAAGAGGATGAAGAAGCAAATAAATAGGTATTGTAATGTGGTCTCAACCATGGTCTCAACTATGAACCCGCTGAACGTTTTAAATAGGCCTATTTCGATAGAATGTAAAGTCAATCGCACTTTTAGCAGGAATTCCACCACATAAACTTAGAATAAGAGTAGTTTATATTTTTGTTTATATTATTTTGACCAGAACCAAATCTAGGGTAAAGTTTAGTCAAAGGGATGCATTTACACTAATTTAGTTTACCTTACCGAAAGGAGAATAAAAGTAGAAATAATAACTGGGCCAGGTCGCTAATTCAGTGGATTTTACCAAGAACTTAAATTATCTCCACATCTTTATTAGCCCAGGCAAATTAGACATATGCTCCCCAAAAAATCGTCTAAAGCTGGAAAGTGTTTTAATACATTTTGGGGGTCCCAAATAAGACTCCTGTGAGTTTGCGACGGATTCTGACGTCTGCTTAAGTTTTGGGAGTCGAAAAACTATGAAAATTTTGCACTTTTTTCAGTTTTTCGCTTATAACTCCTAAATAACGAATCCTAAGGAAAATGTTGTTCAAAGGTGTCTTTTAGTGCATTAAATTCCGCGTCGATTGATGTTAAATACGTCAAAATCGGCCGAGCCGTTTAGCCGCTGTAGCTTTTCAAAGGTGGGATATCTTCATCAACATGGCCAAAAGGTTGATTAGTTGACCAGTTTTCGACTTACAACTCCTAAACGACGCATGCTATAAAAAAATGCGCCTGTAGTTAGTTTGGAAGACACAAAATCTTGCGTAGAATTATGATTTTGAATGACTAGATAGTGGTTTATTTCATGGTTATCATCCAAAGGTTTATCGAAGAATGTGTGAAGGGAAGGGTAGCAAGACCCCCTATGCAATTTTAAATCTAATATTGTTGAGGGGGTTACAAAAATTCTAGGATTCGTCCTAAGCTCCCATTTATACGATCCCATCTCTGGACACTCCGGAATGATGTTAAGCGATTCTAATACATAATAAGATATTACAACGAGAAAGATTTTATTAAATATAGCGAAAATGTTTTTTTTTTAGCTTAATAAACGAAAGATGATAATGGGACGGATGTATATAGTTTTACTATCTATTTAGCCTGTTTAAAAAAACGATTGGGATTTTTCGTAGTTTTTACCATATAAATTTTCTACTTCTCATCATTGGAATCTTAAGAATAAGGATTCATTCTTTGCTCTTATTGGTCTTGCCACAAATGGTGACATTCGGTACCATCTTTTTCGTCAGATATCGAATTGAGATAATCGTGCCCCTTGCAAGTCTTTCAGACAGTAGTGCATTATATCCCTGCATTTCATATGGAGCGAGAAAATGTAAACCTTTTTAACATGTACACGATGGTCAAGATAGGTAGTCGGAGTTGAAAAGTTCATGTTGAACCGGTGGATTAGCCGTAGTGATGGGAGTTAACCCATTGACGTTAATTTTCCATACCTATCTCTCTGAATTAAGTACAATTTTAAATGAGCTCTAAAGGATTGGTGGATGAGCAGCCCCTTTTGTTAGAATCAAAGTCAAAATTAGTTGAAAGTGTCCTCTAGAAGGGACCAACCCTCACTTCATTTGGATATTTTCTGCTCCCAACCATGTATAGGGCCAACCTGCTTCTGCAACTTCGCCAAGCGTTGTAACCCGTCAGAACACAGTGAGATCCACATTGATTGGAGTAAACAGCATGAGTAGTTTTAGGCTACATGAATAGTTAGATTTTCGACTCTTCTACATCACGCTTTCTTCATCAAACTGCGCTGGTGGGTACGGACCGATTTTTAATCCAAAGTATGATTCAAATTGAGGCTTGGATTTAATGTGGAATATCACGTGTTGACTGAGGGGGCAGATTCTTCTTTAACCTTTGCTGTTACCATCACAGCTCGCGATTAATGTCACCACTTCCTTTTATTCTGCACAGTTTATGGTCATTATAGGCTTGCCTATTTACGATTTTCTTGCAAGCTGTGCCTTTCCATTATGCTTTATACATATCTCGCGTTGATGCTATCATATGGGATAACTGCTGAGCTGATTGACATGAGCGAACTATTTTCAGTAAATGGGTCGTGACACTGGAACCATTTGATGAATTTCTTTTTGATCCCACCGTATCCGTGGAGTTTATATTGTCAACTTGCTGATAATATGTTGAAGAGGTGATCCCACAATATACCTTAACTTGATGGGTAGAATTCACTGCGATGGGCCTGCCAGCGAACCATCGGGCTAGGTCCACATCATTGATTCCCCTATCTCGGAAAAAGCTCTCCACAGTAAGATGTTGCTCTCATGAGCACTTACTTGTTCATAGGCCATGCTGCACGATCCATGACGTCACACTAGTGGATAGATTCACTGCCATATCCCCTATGTTTTTGGTAATTAGGCTGGTTGTTTGCCAGATTTCAATGGTAAGATTTTAAACTTGACAAGCATCTGATCTAGTGTTAACAATCAATAGCGGTTAAATGGTGAAGCCGATCTTAATGAATTGGAAAACATTCTACGCAGACGTTTATGCTCTTCAAACTAACTACAGGAACATTTTTTCTATAGCATGCGTTAGAAGATGTAAGCCAAAAACTGAAAGATGAATACAGGGATAGATCGTATAAAATGGGTGGTTGGGGTGAATCCTAGAATTTTCGGAACCTCAGACAACAATATTAGACTTAAAATTACATAGGGGGTCTTACTCTCATCACACCTTATTAGATAAACCTCTAGATGACCATCATGGAATAAACCACTATCTAATAATTCATAATCCATTTAAGGACAGGATCTATGTTGTTACCAATTTTATTAAAATTTCCCAACTTTAACTTAAATACTTTTTTTCAATGAAATGGCGTCCATACAAAGTAGGTAACAATCAATTGCCGTTATTGATTAATAAAAAAAACATTATACGCAGAATTTTGTGTCTTCCAAACTAACTACAGGCGCATTTTTTTATAGCATGCGTCGTTTAGGAGTTGTAAGTCGAAAACTGGTCAAATAATCAACCTTTTGGCCATGTTGATGAAAATATCCCACCTTTGAAAAGCTACAGCGGCTAAACGGCTCGGCCGAGTTTGACGTATTTAACATCAATCGACGCGGAATTTAATGCACTAAAAGACACCTTTGAACAACATTTTCCTTAGGATTCGTTATTTAGGAGTTATAAGCGAAAAACTGAAAAAAGTGCAAAATTTTCATAGTTTTTCGACTCCCAAAACTTAAGCAGACGTCAGAATCCGTCGCAAACTCACAGGAGTCTTATTTGGGACCCCCAAAAGGTATTAAAACACTTTCCAGCTTTAGACGATTTTTTGGGGAGCACACCCTATATTTGATCTAATTTGCCTGGACTATATATGCCTTTTCATATTTCACGAAGACAATTTCCGAAATTACAATTGGGGAAGCATTTATATCAAAGAATTTTGTTAACTATAGACTACCGGTAAGCATTAAAATGCACAAACATACGCCTGTAAATTAAGTTACCATTCTTCGTAATGTAATGACATATTTGATGTAATATAATGATAATTAAATGCTAGAAACTCAGTTTCTATATCCCGTAAACTGATGCTGAGCCGGCCAAACTCCTAGCGCCAATGCCGCGCCAAGCGATTTTATGCCTATTTTTAATCGCTTAAAAATGATACAAGCAGGCTCCGTATCAAAAAAAGCTTCAAATAAAAAATTAAATTCATACTTTGATCTAAAACTTTGCCGCAGGAATTTTTTTCCTGACCAAAAAATAAAAAAGTTCCTCGCTTACTACATTTTTCATGTTTTTTATGGTGTTAAAAAACAATCATCTGTTTTAACTTGCTTAAATAAATTATAAAAATTATGTTAAGGTAAAAACTAGCTACATAGTAATGAGCACTGGTTTTTCCAGAAAAATAATATATCAATTTGAAATTTGTATGTTAACAAATAAGTGTAGCAGAGCAGGTTGAGTGAATGTATGTTTGTGTAAAACAGAGAGGTTCATTCGGCCCGTCCGCCTCGGTATCCCGCCGATTCGATTGACTTATGGCAGAGACTGTACCATTGGAGCTTATGAAACTTGGAGGTTATGAACCGCTCTGTTTATTTGATATTTAAAAGTTGGAGTTTGTGAAATTTGGACATTGTGAAACTGTGCTTATTTGAAAGTTATAGTTTTGGAGTTTATGAAGTTTGGAGGTTATGAAACACACTGTTTATTTAATATTTTAGACATTGGAGTTTGTGAAATTTGGACATTATGAACCTCACCCTTGTAGCATCATCACTTCATCGAGTTTCTTTGGCATCCACCCATCAATTATCAATTATCATTATCCATTGAGATAGAGACACCCTAGGATTTTATTTTGATAAAAATGTAGGTTTAACCAATTGCCAGCTTGGGAATCACTTTTGGAATTATTGTGTTCAGGCGATTTGTACAATAAAGCTATAATTGTCTATTTTCTATTTTAATACCTACAGATACGAGTAAAGGCTGAGTGTAGAATGGAGTGTGATGCCTTGAGTAATTTTTTACTGGCTTAGATCAGCTGTTTCACTAGCCAGAATCATTAAAAGTCCAATGATCAAGGACAGCTAAATGAAGCCGACATTTTTACCACCTCAATTATTTTTAAATGAGATTTCTCGCTCCTGCCGAAATAACTTCCCATTTTCTTGCCAGTTGACCTTCCATTTTTATTCTGGTCCTTTCTTCTTAATTATTTTGTTTCTGTATTTTACACTCATTAAATACTCAAAAGTTTTGTGTAGGCCTATCTTGTACATCTTCTTTGGACTCTGAAATTTATTCAATATTTTTGGTCTGATTCCATAACTTCCTTCCCTTCCTACACTGTGTGTATTTAATGTAATTTTGAATATTATTTAACATCTTAGCTATCATTACTCTAACTGATTATTACTTTCTCTTCCAGGTTTCCAACATAGATACTGAGGTGAGTTAAATTTTTGATGCACATTACAAATATTAGTTAATTCTTTTGAGTAGGTACTTTAGAAAAAAATGTGGGAAGTATGTGCTCTTATGCTTATTTAAGCAACATCAATAATGTTTAGCTAAATTGACATAAAAACTTAAATTAGACGGTTTAGACGTTGTGTAATCTTTTTGAAATAACGTTTTCTTTCAATTACTTAGTTTAAGTTTTAATGTAGCTTATAAATATTTAAGAAAATGTTCTAAAAAGTAATGGCCCATGAGGGGATCGAACCCGCGACCTTGGCGTTATTAGCACCACGCTCTAACCAACTGAGCTAATGGGCCGATGGTACAGTTGAGATAAATATAACTCTTGGCTTTCATGGAATTGTTGATTGCTAGAGCACTGTTTTTTGTCAACTTTTAAATATTAACATACACAAATTTTTAATAAATTAGTATGATAATTGGGATGACAAGTACTCAAACATAAAATGACCAACAAGAATACTTTTTCTAAATTGGCCGTTTTTAGAACATTTTTATTTTCTATATTCATAGAAATAATCTAATTTAAATCTATATGGCCTTTATAGATCACAAAGGATCAATGATATTATTGTTCTGACCAGTGGAATTTTAACTTATATAGATACCATGTTAAAATTATTTCAATTATATGTTCTTGACCTGCTTTCAAAGGAAAAATTAGAAAATTATAACATTTCAATTTGTTAACATTATCAACCACTTTTGGTTTTTGCTTCCCCAATAAGCATTTAACAACAAGCATTTGTGCATCTGGTTAGAACAAATTATATTAGAATATTTTGTGAATTTTGTGTTATGGTACATTAATTTATTTTATGTTTTATGATTATTTTACTGACAGATGTGTGGCAAATTGTTTAGTTTGCCGTGCTTTCCAAGGAATAATGTTTTAATTTATAATCTGTTAATACCTTTTGTTACTACTTGTTTACAATAAATACTAATAGTCCTTCATAAATCTAAAATTAGATTAGTTTTGGATCAAATACAATTTTGTAGTTTAATTTGTATTAAAGAAATTGTTCTAAAAAATTTAATGGCCCATGAGGGGATCGAACCCGCGACCTTGGCGTTATTAGCACCACGCTCTAACCAACTGAGCTAATGGGCCAGTTGTGCCCTGTGAGATAAAAATAGCACTTGACGTTTGTTAGAGCACTGCTTTGGTTTCAGTGGTCACCGAAAGACATCAAAACATTTGTATACACTAGTTACTTAATTTGTTTAGAAATAGCACACAACCATTGCTGTAGGTAAAGGAATCTACTTTATGTTGGTAACATTATGTAACAAACTACTTTATGTAATGAAAAGTGCATCTTTGAGTAAAATGCTGTTGACAGAAATGGTAGGGGCTCTTGTTGATAAGAAAGAATTTTTTTTACAAAATTAGCATTTTTTGGATAATGTAGATTTTTTATCAAATGCATTTACTGTAAAGGTGTAAGCAGCTAGCTTAACTTTTTTGACTTCATGCATTGATAGTTTTAATGTTTTATTTTGTTCTATTGCTTAGTGGTTGTTATTGTTTTTTTTTTTTACTAACATAATTCAAGCATCTAAGAGTATTGTAAGAAATGGCAGCAATGTCTTGAATTTGATTTCTGGTCCTGTTCCTTACAAACTTATCACTTATTCATGTATTGCATCAAACTCTTTGCTTTGCTAGACACATTTTACGCATGTGTCAAAGGATGAATTCAAGGTTAAAAGAGCCCCTGAAACACCTAAAAAGAAGGTGTAAATAAATTACTTATGACTTGTGCCTTGACTGTATTCTAACTGTGTTTCTGTAGAGTTGTCAGGCCGTGTATGTCCTGGACCCCTCATCCTCTGCTGTCCCGTGGCTGTCTGCTAGTCTGAGGGTGGACCATGACCGAGGAGAGGTGGAGGTTGTGTCTCAAGCCAGTCCTAGGTTCCACACCAGCCTTGACCTAGCAGTCAGGTAAGGGAGTTGCGTACACTACTTTACCTACGACCATTTTTTAATTACTAACAATCACTACTCAGGTATTTTAATTTAGATTATTTTATGTGATCGTGCTAAACTATCTGGACCATTGAACTATTATACACTTATAGCAAGCACCTCAAAATTAAATTAATGCAGTTTTTAATACTCCTAAACTATATATCTTTTGTTTCATAAGATTTTTATTACATTTTTACAAGTTTTTTACCGTTTGGGGAGGGTTGAGATTATATTTTACTAATATAAAAACAATTAAGTCAAGGGACGTAAGTCATTATTCAAGTTAGGTAGGTTAAAAAGACTTGCTCCATCTAGATTTTTCTCTATTTCCAAGAAATTTTTTTCCAAATAACGGACTAAATCTTTTGCTGTTTATTAAAGACTTGAATTCAGTGTGTTCAATTCATAATCAATTTATGATCGCAAATTTGCTATTTTCAGATTTGGCAAGAAGCTCATTATTCAAGATGCTGATGGAATCGAACCTTCGGTTTATCCTGTGCTGCGAAGAGATAAGGGCCAACAAGGTTTGAGATAATTCAATTTTTTTTACCGATAGCACGAAATTGAGCATAATAAGCTCAGAAACTATGACCCAACTCTAATCAGAAACAACAATAATTGTAAGTTTATGGAAAATTTAAACGTCCTAAGCTAAAATGGTACAATGAGTGAGTTGGGTAAAGGTAAGGCCCTTAGAGGGCACTGATGTTTCATTCTCACATAATTCATGTGAAGGGAGGTTTATTATTGATTTATCAGAAATCGAAATAGGGTACCCACTTGAAACTTTGCTACTGTCTCTTTCAGCTCTTTGAACTGCATGTTTCCTGAAGTGGGCTCTTCGTAGAATTTGTAACTGTCAAGTGGGGATCCGAAGATATAAATTGTGTTTCTCTCATGACTTGTCTCATTACCTCTTGTTGTAGATGGGCGCAGAAGTCTCCGTCTCTATCACACGTCTCGTAGTGGAGCTCCTCTCATGGAACCTCATGTATCTGCTTTGCTTTGTCAGGTCAACTACTCAACCACAGAGGCAGGACTTACTGAACAGGTGATAACATGGGATAATATGTTGTATTTGTTGCTCTATTGTAGATAATTGGATTTTAGACACTAGTTCATTCTGTGACTTGCTCACACAACTATGTTCTTTCTCAGTAAAAAATAGGTGACAGCTTGTCCACATAGATGGGATGTATACTTTAGTATCCAATAATCAATGCTACAACTACCATCTATACAAATGACTTGGTGTTGCTATCAAAGCTGGTGCAGTCAGCCCTGCGCCAGGAGAAGCCACAACTGGAGGTGCGCCGAGGAGAGCTGCTGCGCCGAGAGGAGGAACTCAAGATGTCACTTCACCAACTACAAGACAAGGTGCTGCAGGAGCTGGCCAACGCTCACGGAGACATCTTGCATAATAAGGTAACATCTTCCATCCATATTTGAGTCAAAATATGCCTTTGTTGTATCCTTATCTCAAAATTGATGATTGATATCAGTTTAGGTAGATGTAAGAAAATATTCAGCAATCTAGATTAGAATCGATTGGTTGTTCATCCAGTGAAATTTTAGGATCAAAGCACATAATAAAATGATTGATTCAATTCATATTGTTTCAAACCCTAGCAAATAGTTTAATATAATACCTAGTTAATGACTTTGCCCATACTGTGGCTAGACTAGAAGTCTGCACTGAGATATTTGCCTTAATGGCAATCCATCAAACAACCATCAAGGAATACAAGGACCTTCACTTATTGATGGAGACCATTTTTCTCAGACCACCACTTACTGCGGTCTATTTTATCTGGGTATTAACTCTTACCAAGCTGAGTAGCTAATTGGTTAGAATATTTGTCATGTAATCAGAAGGTTCCTGGTTCAAACCCGGGAAAAGTTGGTAGCTTTTGATAAGCTCAAAGCTGGTAGGAGTTGAACAAAAATTGACACTTTTAGGCTTCATTTTCTACCATCTGTACAGCCATTGATAATCTTCATACTTTGAATTCAGAGCATTTTACAATCTTCAGAGTTTTTGGAAGTACACTATAAAGTTTGTCCAACCAAAATCTATTTTCACTCCAGGAGTTGCTAGCCAGCCTCAACGAGACCAAGCGCAGTGCAAGTGCCATCAGTGAATCTCTGGAAGAGTCTGCTCGGCTGAAGACAGCTCTGCAAGTGGAGTGTGACATGTTCCGTGGACTTGCAGAGTTTGGCTCCAGACTGTTCTTTGCAGTCACTGGATTGTCTAAACTCAATAACATGTATCGCCTCAGCACCAACGCTTTCTTGGTCATCTTCAATGAAACAGTGGCAACATCTACACAGGTTTGTTACCTTCTTTGTGTTTTCAAGCAATAACCTAAGATCATAAGATGCATAAGAATTGATTAATTTTAAAGACTGTTGTAGGTAAAAATGTTGACTTTTTCAGTCAAAAAAGTTCAGAAGGACCTATTCAATAAGTTTCTTACTCAAAGTATTTTCAGTAAAAATGTGTACGTCCAGAACAGAACCTTGTTAAAATTCCTAACCTTTATCAATTTTGTTCACAGGATGAAGTTGTATGGAAGCAGATCCTGCTGCAGAAGGTATACCTTTACATGGCCAGAGCTTTATTCAAGGAGGATACTTTGACATTTGCTCTTCATCTGGCTCGTGCCATGTGCCCTTCACACTTCCAGCCTAACGTGAGTGATTTGTCTGATAAGTGCTTTCAGTATCTACTGACAATTCTTCTGAAGATTTTCTGTATGTAAAAGAATTCTTCTTGGTTTCTTTGGTTTATGACTCTGTTGCCGTTTTTCAGGAATGGGAAACTCTAACAGGCCAAGCTGTAGCTGTCAGGACTGACTCAACTGTCACTCTACCCTCTTGGATACCTCAAGAGAGGGCTTCAGCTGTAACTTACCTACAGGTAAGTATATTATGAATTCAATATGGTAGACTGTCTCTAATTTGGATAGTTCTGTTTGGACAGCTACCTGACCATGATACCACAAACATATGCTCTTTTGTAGCCCAGTAAATAATTGTGGTTGCGTAAATGCACCCTTCTATACCGTTATTTGAAACAGCCGAATTAGCAATCGAAGTAGATGTAAGTCACACAACTTACTTTTCCAAGACTATTTATCTGATAATAATAACTTATATAGGCTTACCTCCGTCAGTAGTCCAAAATTGTGTCTTAATTCAACTAATGTTGTTCAAAGCTGACATGTTTCGTTGCATTGCAACATCGTTGGAGCTTTATGTCAAAAACATCAAATAATTTAAACATAAAATACAACACGGGACACGGAACATTTAAACACGAAAACACGATAGCGCTATCATGACACGGCACGGCAGCGGTTGTAGGTAGACTGTAATTTTGCCAGTCTACCTACAACCGCTGCCGTGCCGTGTCATGATAGCGCTATCGTGTTTTCGTGTTTAAATGTTCCGTGTCCCGTGTTGTATTTTATGTTTAAATTATTTGATGTTTTTGACGTAAAGCTCCGACGATGTTGCAATGCAACGAAACATGTCAGCTTTGATCAACATTAGTTGAATTAAGACACAATTTTGGACTACTGACGGAGGTAAGCCTATATAAGTCATTATTCGTAGTCCAGGGGCTATCAGAATGAATAATATGATAATAATAGGTTAAATACCTTGTTTACGTCCTCAATCCAAGTCGTCTTTATAGTTTCGGGGCCAACAGCCCCATTGTCAAATTTTCTGTCTTGTTAATTACTGTTAATTAGCTGTTGATTGGTCACCGTTGAAGTTCACATACACACATACACTGACACACAAAACATTTATATTTACACGTAACATAGAGAATTTATACTTTTGGCCGGCCTAAACAAAAGTGATTACATCGTTGTGCGGACCGGTACACAGTATGTGTTAACAGTAATTAACAAGACAGAAAATTTGACAATGGGGCTGTTGGCCCCGAAACTATAGTCATTATAAAAGACGACTTGGATTGAGGACGTAAACAAGGTATTTAACCTATTATTATTATTATATTCAATCCAGGAGGCAAACATAGATAAACTATTTATCTGGTTTTTACATCTGTTTCCAAACAAGAGAGTATCTTTTGTCATCTTCTCACTCATAGACTCTGTTTTACATAATTTCTTCTAGTTCTGAAAGTTCTGGATTTCTTTTTCTTTCAGACAGTGTTTCTGGTCCAACATCTAAAGTCTGTTCTAAGATGATCACATGTTCGATTGCAGAGTGTTCTACCCCAGCTGTACGGGAGACTCCAGCTGGACTCTGAGTCCTGGAAACATTTCCCCCAGTCTGATGCTCCAGTCAGTCTCTCCAGTTTCCAGAGAGTGCTTCTGGTCCAACATCTAAAGTCTGTTCTAAGATGATCACATGTTCGATTGCAGAGTGTTCTACCCCAGCTGTACGGGAGACTCCAGCTGGACTCTGAGTCCTGGAAACATTTCCCCCAGTCTGATGCTCCAGTCAGTCTCTCCAGTTTCCAGAGAGTGCTTCTGGTCCAACATCTAAAGTCTGTTCTAAGATGATCACATGTTCGATTGCAGAGTGTTCTACCCCAGCTGTACGGGAGACTCCAGCTGGACTCTGAGTCCTGGAAACATTTCCCCCAGTCTGATGCTCCAGTCAGTCTCTCCAGTTTCCAGAGAGTGCTTCTGGTGCAAGCTCTGAGGCCTGATCTCCTCCACACATCCCTGACTAAGTTTGCTCAGAAAGCCTTGGGTAAAATGATTAGATCATTCTCTTAATACATAGAAGTGCAAGTTTAAGTAATATAATCGAGTTTGACAAGTTGTAATCCTCTACAATTTCTTGGCCTGTGAATCCTAGCATCTGGTAAATTTAAGTTATTGTCAAGAATCAGAAAACCTAAGATCAATATATCCTTGGAAAGGACTCGTGCTAGGCACAATTAATTATTTCCCTTTGCTGTTGATACTCTTTTTCTTTGTCTTTACAGCACCAAATACTTACCCTATTTACATTACAGGTCTCACTTCTCTGTCGCCACCTCCACTTCGACTGAGTCAGTTACTGACAGAGACCAAAGCTTCAGAGCCTATCCTGATCCTGACTGGGTCTGGAACCGACCCATCTCAGGAGTTGCGTCAGTTAGCACACTCTACACACAAGGAGTATCATGAGGTAATAAAACCATGATTTACTGAGTTACTGAGTCACGGTTACTGTTTCAAATCTCAAGTTAAGGTCACTGGTTGTTTAAATGCTCTTCATGAGTAGCCTGCTGCTTTTCTGGATCATTGAATGTCTCTTCTTTCTCTCACAGAAGCTTCTGTTTTTTTTTCTTTCAGGTAGCCCTAGGAGAGGGACAGGAAACTACGGTGTCACAACTACTGTCTCAAATGTCCAGTCAAGGCCACTGGTTGTGTCTGAAGAACTTGCACCTCATGAGTTCTTGGTTGCCGTCTCTTGAGCACCAACTATCAGGTCTCTCTTCTCATCCAGAATTCAGACTCTGGTTGACCTCTGAACCTCATCACAAGTTTCCATCGATGTTGGTCACTGCTTGTCTTAAAGTCACATATGAGGTTAGTATATTGTACCAAAGTGATTATCCTATTTTGTGTTCATCGTTTTTGTTCTATTCATCTAGAGCTTGTGATAGTGGCCATTTTGCTAGCTTGCTTTTTGAATGGCAGCTATTTTATGAATTTAAATTTCAGAGGCACAACCAATCATTACCAATACAAAGCAAATACTGTTTATTCTTGTTCATTAGCTCACTTCTTGCTTTTATTCATACAAGTTAGCTACAAGTTGGCTATTGAAATGGCCAAATGTAGAGGTTAGAAAATTCTAAGCTATTGATAGCTGGCAAGTTAAGTAGATTAAGCGGTTTTTGCTTGTCTAGTGTAATCATAAGAGGTGGACGTTTTGATTTTGAGGAAAGTCATTAGCGGTTTGATGCCTCCAAACTGTACCAAGCTGTACCAAAAATTAGGTAAAATTTAATTTTTTTTCAGCAACTGTGACTTTTAAGAAAACACTATTGTTCAAGTGAATTTTTTCATTATTTTCTAGAAATTTTTCACGTAATGTTTTGTATCCAGGCACCTCGAGGTATCAAACGTAACCTGGTCCGCTCATACGCCTCGTGGGAGACGCAAGAAGTATCTCGAGCACAGTTTGCTTTAGCATGGTTCCACGCTGTAGTGCAGGAGCGAAGAACATTCATTCCTCAAGGCTGGGCCAAAATGTACGAGTTTAATGATTCTGATCTCCATGCAGCTCTGTATGTCTTGAAGGAAAGGCTCAAGAAAGGTAATGGATCGTTGATATTTTGTTAATTTTTTAATGTGTGGCATCTTTCTTTCTTCCGTTATGGAACTCTGTCCCAACACAGGGACAATTACTGAGTACTGTTTAATTGGCATTACTGCTTCAGCAATGAAAATAACTTTGTCAAAAGAGCCATTAATACATACTAAACCATTTTTCCTTGCACGTTTGATCCCCATTGCCATTAAACCTTATACACCCAAATTCTGCCGAACACATCTGGGAGCTGTATGGCATTCCATTTGTGGAAGTGAAAATATAAAAATATAATTTGTTTGTATACTACTTTAGATATGTGTTCACAGATGGCAGACAAGTAAAGTGGCAGTACATCCAAGGTCTAGGAGAGTCAGCCATCTATGGAGGAAGAGTAGACAATGTGTACGACTTACGAGTGCTCTCAGCGTATCTCAATACTTACTTCAACAACAGTGTTTTCCTCGACAACGCACCGTTGGCTCCTGGGGTCTATGTTCCCCACTCTACCAGTAATAAGGTATATTTTTTGTTTCAACCATTGTAGTACATCGGCTGGGTTCAACCATGTACACTGATGTACACTAAAAAATAAAAGACTATTTGATTTGAGTAAAAAAACATTTTTAAAACCTGTAGGTACTTTATATTAGCCTTGATTAGCCTTGATTGAGAAAAATTGTGACCCATTATAAATAAATAACATTAATTTATAAACCAGAATAAAGTATAGGCTGTTGAATCTTGGTCTTCAAGAACTGACCACATCGTTTGAGATTTAACGCTATCAAAACGCAAGCTTGTTTCTTACAGGATCACAAGACAGCGATAGACAAGTTGCCAGATCAAGACCCTCCATCATTCTTCGGTTTACCAGCAAATGTAGACAGATCCTGGCAGAGAATTACTAGTGCAGCTGTCATTGACAAACTTAAAGGTTAGATCAGTCTTTACTTTGGAAGTTTGAAAGTTATTCACACCATGGACAAGTTTGCGATTTTTGTGTAAATTTTACCAGATATGCAGCTTCAAATTTGTGTGACTGAATTCCTCAACAAAACTTTTCTAAACAAATGAAAAATGAATTTTATTGAATCACTTCCAGAACCTCAATTAGCCTGAAAACTTTTAAGGCACAATTTTTACTTCTAATATGTTTTTTTTTTCCTGAGTAGGCTATTAGAGTTCAAGTGTTAGTTTTTATTTCTAGCACATTTCAAAATATCATTACATTTCTTAGATCTTTAGTGCAGACTCTATAGAGTCTCTGGATGTTTTTGGGTCATTCACAATCAATAATTATAGGAAGAAATGTTATATCTCCACCACTCTTGAAAAAATAGTTTCAACAGTTCAAACTGTACAATACGTCGTCATCGTACTGTACGTTTTGGGGTCAGGGATGGGGCGTTGTAATAAATACACTTGTTACATTTTAAAAGGGCTCAGAGGGCCGCAAAGGGTATACGGTGTTGACGGGACTAATACATGGTGTGGACTGACGTGAGGAGAGGGGATTTAGGCTTGTTCGGAAAGGTGGTGTGATGGTGGCGTGATATGACGTCACGGGGAATAGCCATGAGCTGTTTTATTAGAAATATCGCCTGATTTTGCATATTGCCAACCTAAACAGAAATTGTGGTTACATGATGGTATGAGTGTCAAACTATTGTAACATTATGGTACAAATTATCAGAATATGGTACAATCCTCCCCTCTTAAGTTTTGTGATGCTATCGGTTACTATAATCTTGAAAACTTACAATCACAAATAACAATAGGCCTACCAGAGTATCTTATTAATTTATTATTATTTTTCTTTGCCAATCATTTAAATGAGAATGAGAATCAATCAATCATCAGTTCTAAATATATATTATGTATATATGGTCAAAATATTGAGATAATATCACACATTAAAAACACAAGTAAATGAAACACACACTTGAAATCATAAACCTTAATAGCATTAAATATTGAACCTTGATGATATTAAATAATTATAACACACATGGTACACACAATTCAATAAATACACATTTAAAAATCATTGATAAGGATATATAATAAATAAATCTATATACAAGTCATGTCCGGGTATTCAATTAAAGGTCTAATCTTATTACAGGTTTGCGCTCCCGTACAGGAAAGCGTCTAGTAGGCGTCTGTCTGTTTACATTTGGCGATTTGTTTACATTTGGAGGCGAAGCCAATGACCCCGCTCTTTCAATGTTTTGGTTTGCGTCAGGTGACCTAGTCAATATCGGAGTTTTCTGCCCGACTGTGCCCGGAAGAGCTCGCATACCTTCGCTACTGTTCCCTGTCAGTGTGCGCTCTGGCGAATTTTGCAATGTTGCCGGTTTTCTGTCTGGAAGCGACGTTGTCAGATCGTTTTTGGGAAATTCTACTACTAAATCTGACTGCTGCCCTAGCTTAGACTGTATAGCTATCAACTGATCTATGTGACGCTTCCACTGAACGCCTGATTCTAGTTCAACTAAATAAGTTACAGGACCCAGTTTTTCAATAACTGTAGCCTCTATCCATCTCTCCATTCCCCTGTAATCTTTAGCTAACACAGGTTGATTAACAAATAATCTACGAGTTGTGACACCACCATAAGCTGAAACTTGTCTGTTTTGATTACTACTAATGACATCCTTCACATTAGGTCTAATTAAGTCTAACCTCGATTTCAGAGATCTGCCTAACATTAACTCTGCTGGTGTTTGATTGGTTGTGGAATGTACTGTATTTCTGTATGTAAACAAAAAATTTGATAATGCTAAGTTCAAATCAGAAGTGTCTTGTAGTGCTATTCTAAGTTTGTGTTTTACTGTTCTTACAGCATTCTCGGCTAAGCCATTAGTCTTTGGGTTGTATGGTGGAGAAAATGTGTGTTTGATTCCATTTTTTTGCAAAAATGTTTGGAATTCTGTACTTGTGAAAGGTGGTCCATTGTCACTGACAATGTGATCTACTAAGCCAAATCTAGCAAACAATTCTCTAAGATGAGATATTGTGTGTTTTGCTTGCGTTGATGGAACGGGTAACACTTCCGGCCACTTTGAATAAGCATCTTTAACTACTAAAAATAACTTTGATTGAAAAGGTCCGAAAAAATCAATATGAATCCGGGACCACGCCTTATCTGGTACATTCCAAGTGTGCAAAATCGACTTGGGCGGAGTTACACGTTCCTTCAAGCATGATGTACTATTACCAGCAATTTGTTCAATATCTAAATCGATATTTGGCCACCAAACATAGGATCTTGCCAACGCCTTCATTCTTACTATCCCTACATGGCCATTGTGTAATTCTTGTAAAATATGTGTTCTAAACTTGCTTGGGATGACGATCCTGTAACCCCACATTAGGAGTCCTTGTTCAAAAGTTAATTGTGACTGTCGCACAAAATATGGATTTAACATAGGATCTCTCTCATTTACGTCATTTGGCCATCCAAATCTAACATAACCTATCACTCTACTTAGTATAGGATCTAGTGCTGACTCTCGTTTTACTTCTACATAACTTAGAGGAAGTTCACTCTCAATTAAACACTGTAAATAGGTACCTACAATATTTACATTTAAGTCATTGTCATTGATTTCATCGTTCACAGGATTACTTACTGGTAAACGTGATAGACCATCAGCATTTCCGTTACATTCGGATTTAACATAAGAAATGTCGTACTGATAACCTGATAAAAACAATGCGTAGCGTTGGAGCCTACTAGCTGCAAATGCAGGTAAACCTTGTTTAGGTCCAAAAATAGCTACAAGCGGTTTGTGGTCTGTTTTTAACAAAAAATGGTTACCATACAAGTACTGGTTGAATTTTTTTACTCCATACACTATACTAAGAGCTTCTTTGTCAATCTGTGAATACTGCTTTTCAGTATCATTTAACACTCTATACTTGTAAATGCAATAGGTCTTCCAGTACCGTCTGTTTGAATTTGACTTAGAACTGCACCTATACCATAGGCACTAGCGTCACATGCTAACGTTAACTTTAACTTAGGGTCAAAATGAGCTAGTACTTGGGCTGATACTAGTTTTTGCTTAACCTCTTCAAAAGCTTTCTTACACGCTAAATTCCATACAAATTCAGTGTCTTTCCTCAATAACATATACATAGGGGTAAGTATGGTTGAGATTCTAGGTATGAAACGAGCGTAGTAGTTAACTAAGCCTAAAAATGCTTTTAATTGGGTGACATCTTTTGGTTCTGGGGCGTTTACAATGGCTTTGACCTTGTCTTGTGAAGTTTCCAACCCTCGTTTGCTTATGACAAACCCTAGATACTCTAAACTTTCACAGAAAAATTTACATTTACTTTTACTGACTGTGAAACCATTGTCTTGTAGTCGTTTACAAACTAACTTTAATTTACTAATATGTTCAGAGTCATTTTGTCCTGTTACAAGAATGTCATCTAGAAATACCGCTACACCTGGTATTCCTTGTAAGGTTTGCTCCATTGTGCGCTGAAAAATACCAGGAGCAGATGATATGCCATAACATAATCTATTGTACTCAAACAAGCCCTTATGGGTACTAATTGTACATAACTTTTTACTTTCATCATCTAGTCTTAGTTGTTGATACGCTTGTGACAAATCTATTTTAGAAAACCTGTCTCCATTTTGCAAACTGGAGAACAATTCTTCAATCTTAGGTAAAGGGTGTCTGTCTATCTCTAAGAAAGGATTTAGCGTTACTTTATAGTCTCCACACAATCTTAACTGACCATTTGTTTTCAAAACTGGTACTACAGGGGTAGCCCATTGGCTTGAATTTACTGGTGAAATAATACTCTCAGCTTCTAAACGTGCTAGTTCTGCTTCTACTTTATTTTTAAGTGTGAAAGGTAAGGTCCTTGGCTTATGATATTTAGGGGTTGCATTAGGTTTTAGTTTAAGTTTGACTGGTTCTCCCTTAAAACAACCTAGCTTGTCTGTGAAAACATCAGGGAATTCCTCATACAACTGTTTAACTAGCTGCTTGCCCTGCTGATGTACTGTGACATTTGTTTGTTTGTTTACATTGGTAACTGCGGTGTCGGCCACCTCAGTCGGCGCGCTAGTGTCGACCATTCTGCTAGCAGAACAGCTGACAGGTGTACCAACTGAGCTGTCATCCACAGCTGATTGAACATTGTTTACTTTACTACTATTTTTGATACTAACAACTAGCTGCAGTGCTTTCATCCAATCCCTACCCAACAATGGGTTTGCACCGTTAGGGACAACATACAGCTCTAATTGTTTACAAATACCTTCATGTTTTACATTTACACATAGTTTACCAATAGGTACGATCTTTTCGTGTGTGTACGAACTAAGAACTAAGCTTGTTGGTAGTAACTTTACGTGACTTAACTTTACTTTGTAATCTTTTTCATATATAACTGACACACAAGCTCCGGTATCAATTTCAAATAGGATCTTTTTGCTCTCTACCTCTAATTGCACTCTAATTGGTTCTACTTTTTTCCTAACTTCTACTCCCTGTACCTGAAATAAGTTAGATATGTCATATACCGTGTCTTCGTCTACACTTTGTTCAGGGACATTTTCTGTTACATAATGTTGCCTAGCATTAGCATTACTGTACTTTGAATTAAAATACAACTTATTTCCTCCCCTAGACTGTCCATTAGTCTTAGATACATCATTATACTGTTTACTAAAATGGGGCCTATTTGCACTTCTACTCTTAGATCTACAAGCTTTTTCAAGATGTCCTTTCTTCTTACAGAAATTGCAATTTTACTCACGATACCGACATTGCAGAGTATTGTGATTGTTCTTTCCACAGCAGTTGCACTCCCGGGGCTGTGACGTTGCCGAACCTCTGTTGGCTGCGAATTTTCCCCCGCTTCCGCTTGGTGCTGTCCTTGTCGTCTGGCTGAGGCGCTGAAGTCGTCCTCCTGGATTAAGCGTCATCTGGGCTGCTCCTTTCTCGGCGAACTCCATTGACGTTGCCAGCTGTACTGCCTTGTCGTAGGTCAGGTTATCCTCCCCCAGCAGTCGTCTCTGGATGTGGTGGTTCTTGAGGCCTGATACCAGTCTGTCGCGTAGATGGTCTGGAAGCTTGTCCCCAAACTCACAATGTTGCGATAGCTGCTTAAGTTGTACGATATAATCACTCACTGTTTCATGTTCTAACTGATGTCTGCGGCTGAATTTAAAACGTTCTGTAATAAACGACGGTTTCGGGTGTAAATGTTTACCGACCGTGTCTACAATTTCCTCGTACGTCTTGGACGAAGGTTTATCAGGTGTGATTAAGTCCTTTAACAATTTATACGTCCTGACTCCCATTACCGTTAGTAGTGTGCTCGCTTTCTTTGTGGCATTAATCCCGTTGCAGTCTACAAAAAGTTCAAATCGCTCTGTATACGATTGCCAAGTTTCTTCGGCGCTGTCAAAAGGACCGATATTACCAATTGTTGCCATGTTTGTTGAAAAATACGTTTCCGCTAACTGTCCGAATTGTTCGAAATAACTTTCAGTCAACGGCATAAGTGCCTTTTTTACACTTATTTAACTGTCCGTAGTCTAATATTACGTCCATAAAACAAAGAATAACGTTATGTTAGGTGTACCTTTCTACACTCACGAAAACGTTTCCGCCAAGAATATGAGTCTGAGTCAATATTCGCGGTTGTTTGACGTTCGTCGACCGTTTCTTCACGTTCACTTGTCACTTTGTTCACTTGCACTGTCACTTTGTTCACTTGCACTGTAACTTTGTTCACTTGCACTGTCACTTTGTTCGCGAATTTAAGTTTTAAAACGCGATAATATTCCGTGTTCCTCGTCGCCAGTTGTACGATACGTCGTCATCGTACTGTACGTTTTGGGGTCAGGGATGGGGCGTTGTAATAAATACACTTGTTACATTTTAAAAGGGCTCAGAGGGCCGCAAAGGGTATACGGTGTTGACGGGACTAATACATGGTGTGGACTGACGTGAGGAGAGGGGATTTAGGCTTGTTCGGAAAGGTGGAGTGATGGTGGCGTGATATGACGTCACGGGGAATAGCCATGAGCTGTTTTATTAGAAATATCGCCTGATTTTGCATATTGCCAACCTAAACAGAAATTGTGGTTACATGATGGTATGAGTGTCAAACTATTGTAACATTATGGTACAAATTATCAGAATATGGTACACAAACCATGGACAAAATTCTTGAACAAAAATAGAAAACAATTAATTGAATAGACAATGTGAGCCAAACGTCTTAAAAAATTGTTGGACAACATTGTAAGATCATTTGAATACAATGTCCCAATGCTATGATGTTAAGAAAGATAACTATGACTCACTGACTATTATAGTTGGATGTTCTGCAGTTTCAAGCAGGAACAAGCAAACCTGGCTTGCAAAAGGAAAACTTCCTCGTTTACTCAGTTTCATCTCCTGTTATCACTTATCAGTCTAGTTGAGATTGAATTATTTGGCTTAGTTACAAAATATGTTATATTCAAAATAATAGTTAACCTGATAATTATTTTCCAGTGGTTGGTTGTGACGTAGACCCTAGAGGCAAGGTGGACCAGCAAGCCTGGCTGGAATATCTCGCACCGATCCTCAACTTGTGGAAGAAGCTTAATCAGGTAAGTTAGGAACATGTGTTGTTGGGCTAATTATGATATGTCAGAATCCTCACCACCCACCAAACTTCCTCTAGGATACCTTGTGTACACACATTCACACTACCTGAAGGAAGTTCTTGAAAGAAACCTTTCCACCTTAGTACAGGAGTAGGTTGACTAAAAATAGGTTTTGCCTTTTGTCTACAGCTCAATCAGCTGTAACTTGCGTTGCAGCCGTTTTGGCATTAATATGCCATCATCAGACATCTTCAGCTGAAGTAGCGTCAACACATAACACATATACAATTACGAAAGTAAAACTATCAGGCCTGTCGCACAAACGGTACAGGTTGACATGATCTGAACTGGATACCGACCTGAGGTTAAAAACTACGCTGCTTCAGTTGAAGATGTCTGATGATGGCATGTTAATATGGAAATGGTTGTAACGCAAGTTACAACTGATTGAGCTTTAGACAAAAGGTAAAACCTATTTTTAGTCAAGTAACCAACACCTGTCCTAATGTGGTAAGATTTCTTTCAAGAACTTCGCTCAGAAGGCAAGTTGTATGTGTGTTGAGGATTCTTGCATATCACAATTCGCCTAACAAGGCAGTGTGTATGTGCGTACGCAAGGTATCCTAAGGTGAAAGCTCTTTTTCAATTTTAACTTCAACTCTATTTGAATTCACAGGAATTATCAATTCAGCAATTTTCATACCTTGAATGTGTATTCTTATTTTGTACCTCATTGGACCTCCAGCAAGATCTTAACGTAAGAGATAAATACATAAGTACAGTATTGGGAAAAGCCAATGAAAATGGGTAGAAACTAACCAAACTTTCAGAATAGCCGACTTCAAGGGTGCTTATAGGAATTTTTCAGGAGGGAAAACCAGTATCTGGTTCCAGGAGTCCCTCACTCCCTTTTTCTTTGTTAGTGTATTACGATGCAAGATTTATTTAAGAGTTGGCCTATTTATAAATAAATTACACAGGTTTATTTTGGATGCAATTTCCAAAACCCATCAAAGTTTTATAAATTTTTTTATTTGATTTTGGTATTACTATTTGTTAAATTTAGTCCATGGCACCCCCTGCAGGTGCCCGCAAACAACTTCAACCACTTGACAAGTTTTTCCTATTTCATTTTGTTAAAGCAAAAATATCTTCATATTTCAGGGTCAAAACTATATCAAGATGAAACTAGTAGAACCCAACTCAGAACTGGGTCCTGTATCCGCGTTCTTGTGGCGAGAGTTCCAATTTGGAGTGGTTTTGGTCCAGAAGATCCACCAGCCCTTGTCTGGAGTTACCAGAGTTATCAAGGGTCAGAGCTCTCCTTCCGCAGAACTACTGAAGCTTGTGGACTCTCTTTTGCTCACCAAGGTTAGCTTGATTGGTTTAATAAGTGATACTAAAATGTGTTAGTCTGTTTAATGTTTTTTTTTTTTACTTTTTACTATATTAAATTAATATATTTCTTTAAAGTTTAAATTTTATTCAATTTAAATACAATAAATTATCTATACTTATAAAAGACAAATACCACTCACTCACAGATCACAACATCTCAAAAACTACAAGTAATAAGAACCTGTGGCCTTTAAAGTTCCCATAAGCATAGTCTTGGTAAAGTAAAAGTGGTATTCAGTGCAAATTTTCCTCTGGAAGTATACTTCAAATCACTTAACCTAACACCTTACATTGAGCTTTGCTTCCGCCCAAAAATATATTCTACATTCGCCACTGAGTAGGTTTACAGCACTGGTAAAAAACAAGAATACCTCCAATTTAGCCAAAGTCTGTAGACCCCAGCGAGCTGGGAATTACTGGTTTTTGGTATTGACATGGCATATGTTTATGTATATGAATAACCATGACATCAAGAACTCCTTATTGTAACAAATAAACACTTTATTTTATTTCTTTTCAGACTCCTGAAGCCTGGAGTACTTCATGGTCTGGTCCTTTGAATGTGACCCAATACCTTCAGAGTGTCACTGCTAAAGTTTCTACCCTCGATAGGCTCAAAGACAATTTCTCAAGTTCCATCGACCTCAGTGATGTGTTTCATCCCGACGTATTTTTCAGCTCTCTTCGCCACCAGTCATCGAGGTGATAAATTTATTTACATTGTCATTGTGTAAGGAAAGAGATAATACTTGGATAAATACAGACAATTCGACAACCATACCAATAGGATGGAATGTCTAGTGGTATCAATAATCAACGGTTCTATCTAAGATTTAAGATTTTGCGCACTGAAACATTTTAAACTCATAAGTAAATTGCATGAATATTCTCTATATTTTTATTTTACACAGGGACTTGCACATTCCGGTGGATGCTCTAGAACAGCATTGTAGCTGGTCCGTGGTGAAGGAGCCTGGAGCTACTGCAGTGAATGGTCTGCAGCTGGAAGGTACAAAGTTGTTATTGTAAATGTTTGCACAATTTTTTGATCTCCCAGTTTCAAGATCTTGAATTCAATCTTGAATGATCTTGAATCTTGTCGAAAATATTAAAATAATATAAAATAATATCGAAAATTGGTTTAGTATCGGTTGTTACACCTCATTTAACATAGAACAGGACAGTTCTTACACTTCTCGCTAATTCGCGCAACTTACAGTTGTACTGAACTGAGTGAACTCATAGTGAACTGACTGAGACTGAGTGGAGTGACTGACTGCGAGTAGCCGGCTTAGTGGGCTTCCTCAACTTAACCAACCTCAAACTCAAGTCAAGCAAGATAAGAAAAAGAAAGAAATAAGATGACTAATAGTAATACATGAAGAAAGCTGTTTGTTTGGTCGTAGGAGGTATCCTATCCTTAATTTAGCTATGTCCGTAATGTTTCACCACCTCTAATTATTTGTGCTACTCCAAACCAAACCTCTTATGTCTCTTGATTCATTACCCTTCGATTCACATACGTGGCTATGTTCATATCCAAAAATTTTGTAAATCATTCATTTTTTTACCTTTACTTACTCTTACTCTCAGGGCCATGCATATCTAAGAAGATATTTGGCCGCACCAACAAAGCCTCTCCATCTTGCTCTATCCTCTGCATCCTCCTCAGTTGCTCCATGTCTTTCTTTACTTGGCTCCACCATTTTTGTTTTGGCCTTCCTCTCGGTAGTCTTCCTTCGGGATTTCTTAGTAAAACTAATTTGAACTTATTTTGCTCCTCTCTTCGTAAAACATGTCCAGCCCATCTAACTCTTTTACACTTAAATTCACACACCACATCTGGATCTCTGTAGAGTTCTCTCAGTTCTCTGTTGTGTCTCTTCCTCCATTCACCACCTTCATAAATTGGTCCATAGATTTTTCTTAAAATCTTATTTTCGAATGTGATTAACTTCTTTTCTTCTTTTTTATTTGGTTTCCATGTTTCAGCTCCGTATAATAATACTGGGCTGATTATTGTCTTATAAATTCTAACTTTGGTGTTTTTTGACAGTAACTTAGAGGACATCAGTCTGTTGCAAGCGTAGAAACATCTTTTTTTTACCTTTAGAATTACCAAAAACCATTTAGGCAAAGTTGTGTATTTCAATCAAAGATTTCAGGTTAGTTCATGAAAAACTGTTTAAATCAGTAGGCCTGAATAGCATTGTGTTCCGTTCATTTCAATCAACTCAAATAGTTTACATCACGATTTATGGGTAGACTTCCGTATCTGTTGTCAAAAACAACCGAATGAAACTATCGATCGATATATCGAATGAAATAATCGATATATCGAATAATTTTTTATTCGGTTGTTTTTGACAACAGATACGGAAGTGTACCCTTGAATATTTGCACAATTGCAATTCATTTCAAAGTTGGCATGTCATTTCAAGTCTTTATTCAGGTAACTTATAGGTTTGCATCCTGTGGGAGAAATTCACTCTCATTACCCTCTAGGTGCATTTCCCTTGGGTGAAATAAAGAAGAAAGGTGCCCAGATTTAATGTTTTTTCACATTAAGACAATAGACAATAGACAATGTTCTTTATTTACATATTTGTGGGAGAATAGTACATGCGTCAAATTAATTAACCGGACATCTATATACTCTACGTGTAACACAGGACGCATAACATGACTATAGGTGTACAATCCAAACAGACCCTATAGACCAGAGTGGAGCTATCTCGTTGGGGGGATTGGGTGTCGGTGGGTGTTCGGGTGATATGTGGTTATATAATTTTATAATTATATAATTTTTGCTGATGATTCAACTTTTTTCTGCAGTAGACCTAATCACAGTTTAGATAATCTTAATGTTTATATGTCCAACTGTCTCATTGAATGTAACGATTGGTTCAAAAGTAGCGGTTTTCTATTGAATAATAGTAAGACTCAATCTATTTTATTTAGTTTAAGTAACCATGATTTAAACTTTCCTCAACTCTGTGATAATGTTAAATTATTGGGTATATACCTGGATTCTAAATTAGGCTGGAGTGTGCACATTGACCATGTTTGTAGTAGGCTCTCAAGAGTTATTTACTTACTCCGCAAGCTTAAAAAATTAATCCCTAGACACTACCTACGGATGGCCTACTTTGCCTTCTTTAATAGTATTTTAAGCTACGGTATTTTGCTGTGGGGCTGTGGTCATGATGTTAGCAGAATCTTGCTCCTACAAAAGAAGGCTTTAAGAATCATTACTTTTTCTAAGTACAGAGCCCATTGCAAACCCTTGTTTATTCAGGAAAAAATACTCACTGTTTTTAATTTATTTATTTATGTGTGTCTTGTTTATGTAAAAGTTAATATTAATGCTGTAGCCTTGAGATCACATTCACATAGTTATTTTACTAGACATAGGAATAATTTAGAGTTACCTTTAGTCAGGCTAACAAAGTCACAAGAATCTTTTTCTTATATAGGGTTAAAGATGTTTAATCATATGCCAGCTGAGGCACACTGTGTTGATCTTAAGTTATTTAAAAGTAAACTTTTTTTCTGGTTATTAAATCACCCTTTTTATAGTTTAAGTGAATTTTTCATGTCTGACATTGATATTAGTTTTTAGTTTCTGACTGATGTAGGCCTTAAATCTGTGTAACTTACTTTGTTGTTTAAATTATTTAAAGTAGCCTAGTTATTGAATGTTATAGGCCCAAATGCTAACCACTGGACATTTCATATTGACCTCAACTATACAAAATGTTTTTTTGTAATTTGTTGTAATAAATTCTTGATTCTTGATTCTTGATTGATTGATTCTTGATTCTTATATGTAGGGAACCCGTGTCTTTCGGCAATCCCGACTACCCTCTCACTGGACAACCCTAAAGGAGTGCTTAACCTTTTGTATAGGCATTTCCATATAGAGGGTGCCAAAGCGCTCTTGATCGGAATATTCTATAAAGAAATAATTTAACATTCCTAGCACTCCCGCTAGGATTCCATTCCAGCAGGACATCAATCACCTCTTCAGACTGCCATGGTGGTGAGAGTGCCACATCAAACGCATGAAACAAAACGTCAACGCCACATGAAACAAAAACATGATTTTTTTTTTGCATGGGTAGAGAGAGAGAGACAAATTGACAAATTCTTTATTTAACCTGCCCTGAGTTAGACCAAAGGTCCACTCTTTTCCCAGGACAGGAGAGAGAGAGAGATAGATAAATAGATAGAGAGAGAGATAGAGAGATGTGAAACTAACCCCTAATTGATTGTCGATCAGCGAGTTTTCACGATGTAACACTCCTGATAGAATACTCCCATCACAACTGGGACTCATACGTCTCATACACAGCTGGCATACAGTCCATGTGCAACAATTCGCCTTTGCACTAGCTCTTGGAGGCGGGGGCCCGTGTACAGCCGCAATGTAGACATCATCCTGCAGATTGGACACACTTGTTACATGTATATCTTTAAAGCACAAAACAAAAATTGACCATCGCCCTATGATAGTGAACACTCACCAATATTAAGGGTGAGGGGATGGCAAAATGTTAATTTTATTTGCTGGGATAGCAAAATAGTGTTAATTTTATTTTTTAAATATTATTCTATCACACATTTGAAATTTTTTCATAGAGATACCATTTGAAAAACTAAAGCTTCAGTTCCAATTCCTCATGACTATGTACCTTACTAAATACCTTACCTAAATCTACATAGCCAACATTTTTTCATCGTAAATTACCTATCTTGGTGATTCAAAATTGTATGGTCAAACAAATAAATTATAATTATCAAGAGGTTTAATTTATTGGGAGGAAAAAAAATTCAAATTACAAAGAGTTCAAATTTATATAATATATGGTTCCTTTTTTAATTTTGTTGGATTCCTTGGTCAAGCATATGCAACTTTGATATTGTGTTGGCAGAAAAGTTGAAGTTTCATGTTTGACAAATGAGAAGTGTTGTTGAGGACAAAACAATTGCCAAGGAACAGGATAATTTTATGATTTTATCCTTATTTGATGATACTAGCCACTCATTGAACAAATCAGTTGTTATTCCAGCTTATTTTGTTTGAACGATAAGTTACAAAGAATTACCGAAGGCACCAGGCCTTTGCGGCTATTTATAAATAACTACCGACCTTTAAAAAAATAATTTGTTGTGAGTTCCAAAATTCAATTTTTACTATTGGCTTTGGAACAATTTAAATTTAGCACCTAGTGAAAGTGTAGCAAAGATAATAAATAGCATTGGTTAACTTCACACCAATGTACCTTGACAAATCTTGAGGTACTCATGAGGGGAACCTGCACATGTCCCATGTCAAATTGGTTTTTTACCTGGTACAAAATATTGTTATCATTGACAAGGTAGATTAATGTTTGCATGATGATTGGTTTAAATCATTTCTGAATTTACTGTATAGATGACCGTTTACTTAACCAAATTCCTTTGTCCAGGAGCGACGCTTAGTGGAGGAGTGCTGACTTCAAACTCCGCAGATTCTGCTGATGTTTCAACCGTCTCTGCCCTCTACGTTTATTGGACCAACAAGGTTTATTATCTAATAACTTCTTATCCAAATCTCTTCCAATTTCATTAAAGGCTGACTGAACTTTGTTTGAATATTTTGGAAGTTTAGGGATGTTCTTGACTTTTTCAATGCGTGAAATTGTATCTCTAACTAATTTAACATAATTTCCTTTTAAAGAATTTAAAACATTGCCATTATTTTTTAATTATACCTTTGACTGCCTCTTGTCCATGTTCTATATAGCTATCTCCTTACTTTAGAAATCTCTAAATTATCACTCGCTCATCTGTAAGATTATGACTGAACCCCCTTTTACGAGGGTAAATTTATTTCCTGCCTCAAAGTATATAGTTTTTTAAAATCTGAAACGGAAATTAGTATACCTCCAAACTGCTTCCCTGACTTCAAATTCCTTAATTATTGAAACGTTTGATTCTTGATATAAATAGGGTTTTACCCAGTTGGCTCACTGTACGTATTAAGTCCATAGTTTAGACATCTTTAAAACCCACTGTTTTACACACATTTGTAACTACAGTTGCCACTTAACAAGGAGAAGACTGGCAAAAATGACTGATGAAGTGTATTTTATCCAATACTTTCATTCCACTAATCCATTTGTCTCAGCCTGGATTAATAATAGTTTTCCCTACTGTTTAGAATAACATTTCAAATTGCAATTTAACTATAAGATTTTTATTTTCCATCCAACGACTGTTTGTTGACTGATTTCCATTCTGCAGAACAAGCAAGAAGACGCCAACAACTGGATTGCTCTTCCCCTATATCGATCTGCAGTCCGGGACTTGGTTATAACTGAGTTGAAAGTTCCGAGCCGAGCGAACGAACACAGCAAGTGGATCTTAGCAGGCACTGCCTTCTATATCAAAGGCTGAACAACCCTAGTCATAGATCTAGTCATGAAGATACCTTATTTATTATGTGGTGTCTTAACTTGCACCTATTTGTTTATAGTTTTAGTCATTTTTTATTATTAGTTTTAATTTGTGATTAGTATTAACCTTATTTTGTGATCTCAATAAAATTAAATGATTCCTGAATAGTAATTATTCTCTACCATACAAATATGTGTTTGTTACTACAGTACTTAGAGAATGTGTTTTAAATTACGTATCATCTTTAGGTCATTTCTGACTAACCAAACTTTTTTGCCCTTTTATACACTGTTATTGTTTTATTCGTAATTTAATCAAGTTTGAAGTGTTGCTTCTACCTCTTTTACGCTTTTAAGTTTACCTCAATCTTCATGTACGTGTAGTTAGTGTGTTCTGATTCCCTAAACATTCAAATGAGTTGTTCTATAAAGTGAAGGTGTTAATTCTGTTGTACAATCCTGCTGTCCTGTGACGTTCCCATTAGCAATCCTTCATTACGATGGGAATTTGATCTTTCTCCGATAAAAAGTACTCGAATAAGTTCTTCAATTTTGTGTACTCATGGTCGGGAGCTTAGCTTGAATCTGAGTTCACATATTATTTGCTTGGGCTTCAAAAAAACCAACGCAGCACACATGTTGAGTGTGCAGATCTAACTCTTTATTTCCTCCTTACTCTTCTGCCAGACCCAGAAATTCTTCATAATATGGAAGCAGCACCTACTACTTAATCGGAGGAAAAACTACAAGTAGAGCCAATATTACTGTTACCTTGTAGTTAACCACTGCTGAACTGCTTCACCAATAACACAAAAAAGGTGTACGTGGGTTTCTGTCTTCTTGTTAGAGGACAAGTCAAAGATCACTGAACAAAAAATTGTTGTGTTGTCAATGACTGAATTTCCCTACATTTCTATAGTTTATAGTTAAGACGTTGAGTACTTACTGATTTTCAATGTGATGAGATGGTATAGAGAGAGGTCTCAGGTAGAGAGATGCTTGAATGTGAGATGAGTTGTTTGTGATGGATTGGCACAGGGTATTTATACTAATCTAAACTCCCAACTGCTAAGTTTGATTAGTGGGGTCAGTTTGCAATCTTCTAATGAGGTCAATTTGGAAAATATTATGTAATAATCTAAGCTAATTTAATGTTTGAGTGTTCTAATAGTAAATTCGTAAAAAAACAATTACTGGGGCTCTACAGACGGGACATCGATGGATCCTTACCACACATGATTGACAAAACACGTGCCCACAGTAACGTAAAGCTACCGTAGGCAGCCGGTCTAGGCAAACCCTACAGACCGGAGCCGGTTGTGTCGGATCATGTGGGCGTCTTGGGTAGTTTATGTTCAAATTAAAATACCCATGACGTTGTGCTAAATTTTGAAAATTCTCATCTGACGTCCCCAAGGGGACACTGATACGTTCAAACAACTCATGCCATATGGACGGTGCTAGGGCGAGCCTTTCTTGATCGTCACACGAGACGAAAAAGTATGTCAATATCCCCAACACTCCGGCCAATATCAACATCCATTGCATCAAGGTGTTCACTGCCTCAGGAGTCTGGAAAATGTAAAAAAAATCTGAAAGTATTGATTTCTACTAGTTTTGTGTTTCATTAGCATTATTATTTAGAAGTATTTTTAAATTTGTAATATGATTTTTACTGTGTGACTTCAATAAAAAATTGAAAAAAGTTAGATACACAATCTTAAACGTACACTAACCTGTCGTAATTCTTCGACAAAAGTGTTCTCAGAGTGTAAGAGATCCAATAAAACATTTCTCTCGGCAGCCGGGATCATTCGTCTGGTACAGAGCTGGCAGACGAAACATAGCTGATTGGACCTCGTGCGCCTCCTCCTGGTCTCTTCCTCAAAAATCCTCATTGATTGCGAAACAACGCTCCTGTGAATTATAAATGCTTAGTTTCATGTAAAAATTGTTTACTTATTAAAAACCTGTAAGCCAATCACCTCGATTGATAAACCATAATAATTAAAATATTTAAGGTTCTTCAGCTGTTACTATTTATAGTTTGTTTACTTTTACCATAGATAAAAAGAAATAAATATAGACTGTCAGCTGTGCTGCGGTTAGCGTATATTCCGGCGCCGACCGCTAGGGGTAATGTGTAGTTACGGCGCACACCGCTGCAGCGTCAAGCGCTAGCGACCGTTTCCATAACAACTTTGGTAGTTGGGAGTAGTGTTGCCAACTTTGGAGGAATTCCCCGGAATTGGAGTTTACTGACTTATTTAATATTATGTAATAAATTAATTTAAATGCCATCTTTTTTTGTATTTTTTTTACATAAATTTGTTATATTTTTGTGGTTTTATTACAATGATTTAAAGTTTTTCTTTATTAATCCATAATTTTAGGAAGTGGTTTATTGGAAGGTTTTGTTTTATATTTGCAAGGTCAAAATGTTATTAACCGGGGTGTCTATTAGTTGGGAAAAACGGGAAGGTCAGCCAATTGCAACGTATCTCTTGAGATGCTTGGTCATACATACCCTACCAAACTTTCTGTCATGTCTAATCTCTGTTCAGAGATAATTGTAGGACGAGATTTACTACAACTTCATTCATCATTTCACTTTGAGCTTGGAGGGGATAAGGATCCTCTAGCTGTAAGCGCTCTCACTGCTGCAAATGTTGAACCTGCTAACCTATTTACTAACTTGACTTCTGATTGTAAACCTATAGCTGTCAAATCCATTCGCCATTCACTCAAAGATTTTCAGTTCATTGAATCAGAAGTGAATAAGCTGTTAAATGACGGAATCATTGAAAAGAGCAATTCACCATGGTATGCCCAAGTGCTTGTTACTTCTTCACAAAATCACAAGAAAAGGATGGTCATAGATTATTCTAGAACAATAAACCGCTTCACAAAATTGGATGCCTACCCAATCCCTTCCATTAATGGAACAATCTCTAAAGTTGCTCGTTTACAAAGTCTTTAGAACGATAGATTTGAGAAGTGCCTATCATCAAATCCCTATTCCTGAAAAAGACCGACTATACACTGCTTTTGAGGCTGCTGGGGAACTGTACCAGTTCACCAGAATCCCTTTTGGTACAACAAACGGTGTTGCTGCTTTTCAAGATCACATTATAAGGAAAGAAAAATTGAAAGATACATTTGCTTACCTTGATGACATAACAATTTGTGGTCACACTCAAACTGAACATGATGAAAATCTGAAAATGTTTATGCAAACAGCTTCTAAATACAACTTAACTATCAACCATGAGTAAAGCTCATTTTCTCTACGCAATATCACCCTACTAGGTCACTCCATCAGTGATGGTGTTATTAGCCTGATCCCAAGAGATTTCAGTCACTTTTAGAGTTTCCCCCACTCACTTATACTGCTTCTTTAAAGAGAGCCTAAGGCATGTTCTCTCACTACTCCAAGTTCATATCCTGCTTTTCCGAAAAGATAAAGCTCCTAAAACCAGGTTCTTTTCCATTATCTGAAGAAGCCCTTTCATCGTTCCAGAATCTCAAACAAGATATACAGAAAGCGTCTCGGGACTGTATAGATAATGAAGTTCCATTTTGCATGGAGACAGATGCCTTAGATACTACAATAGCCGCCACTCTTAAGCTCATCGCACACTACAGCCAAACGCGCCGCGCCGCGCCGCACCGCCCTATGGAAACTTCCGCTGTGAGGTCGCACATACTGACCGCCGTCACCGCCGTCCCTCACCGCACCTCACCGGCAGTGGGGCAGTGCCTGTAGTTCTGTGCAGTCGTGTGTCTCGTTTATGTGTTGCCAAGTGTAGATTTTTAGTTATTTTCCAAGATGAGCAGCTCTGAGGACGAAGATATGTTTTTATTTTGCCTACTGGAATCAGAAGAGGCAAAACACTGCGTGGTTCCATCCCATAAACGAGAAATGGGGAAACATTTGGGGAATTTCACCACCTTTTCTCCGATTTAATGAAAGACAAACGAAAATGTTTCCAATATTTCAGAATGTCCCCCGAAAAGTTTTATGAACTACTTAACATGCTCAGACCTTGAAAAACAAGACACAACTACTGGAACGAGGTAGTACGAAGACATGCGAAGGTGGCCGTGGTCAGAAATCGGTTCCGTTGCCTATCGCACACTACAGCGCGCCGCGCCGCCTTCAGCAGAACAATTCCACGCGACTTCTCCCGAGAGTTCTGGCAACGGAATTATTCCGAGGCGGACACGGCTGCGCGGCGCGGCGCGCTCAAGTGTGCGCACTCTCATTGATTCCCATGCAAACTATTCGGCCGGATTTATTTCACGGCGGTTCGGCGCGGCGCGGGGCGGCGCGTCTGGCTGTAGTGTGCGATGAGCTTTAGTCAACAAAATCTAAGAATCGGTAGCATTCTTCTCCCAACTCTGTCAGACTCAGAGAAACGCCATTCCTCTGTCGAAAAGGAGGCTTATGCCATAGTTGAGGCTGTGAGACATTGGAAACAATTCTTGTTAGGCAGACACTTTAGACTCATCACTGACCAACGATCGGTTGCATTCATGTTTGATTTAAAACATGGGAGTAAGATCAAGAATGAGAAGATTACAAGGTGGAGACTAGATCTATCGTGCTATTCATATGACATAGTATATCGTCCGGGAAAGGACAATCATGCAGCTGTTGCTCTATCTAGAGTCAGTTCTGTATCATGTACTGTAACTTCCACTGATGCACTCAGCATAGCAACGCTGGTGGCGCTGCCTACGAATTGACAGGCAAAGCTCTCTCAAAACACTAAATGCTTTTTAACATGCGGTTGGCATTCTGGGTTATAGTAGGCCTAGTATGTTTTCTGTGCTCTGGCCTAGGAAGATAAAACATTAATGTTGATCCTCCTAGCCCCCAGCGGGTGACACCATAGAGGATCCTCTATGCTGATTCGACTAAATAAACTTGACAATTTTGTTACGACCAAATCGGCAAATTAACCTAGGTGGCTAGGACACTAGCTAATAAATAATTTCATTCTTTCATTAATGCTAAAGAAGGATTTTCATTTCATTTCATGTCTTACTATTAGGAGGCCGCCCTTTAGA